CCCGTCATACAAGTTCATGCTCACTTACTTACCTTGATTCATTGTAAGTGCTTTTTCATTCCTTTTTTTTTTTTATTCTAAAAATAAAATATATCATAAAATCTATCAAGATTAAAATATCACAAATTCTCCTTTTTATCTAAATGAGAAATGATGATATTTGCAGAGCAGCCAATTACATTGGTTATTTGCCAGGTGAAGTGATCAATCATTCAATATTACATCTTTTACATCCATATGATATGGCACAAATTAAGCAGATACATGCAACTTGTAAGTACAAACTTATGCATTTAACTTACGTTATAATCGATAAAAGATAATTTGAAAAATAATTGAAATAAATTAATGATAGCTTATATTCATGTATTTTTAGTGAGCACTCAACGAAACGAAATAGTCCGTCAACGTCGTCTAAGATGGATTGCATTTAATGGTAGTATAATTCACACAAATTCGGAATGGTTTGCACTTTGGAATCCGTGGACTCATAAAGTGGATAGTGTAATCGGACGACATACCTTAAATGAGCAACCGATAGGAAATGCGGATGTGTTAGCTGAACCATGTGCGCCACGTATTATTACTCCGTTGGATGAGTTAACAATACGCAATATTGAATCTGAAATTACTGCTATACTGAATAAAGTTAGTTTATTGCAATTTTAAAGTATTATTAAATTTAGTGTTTACTATTTTCCTAGAATAAATCAAAAATTGATTAAAAATCGATCATAAAAAATTATCTGTACAATACAAGAATTTTTTTTTCATCCAATTTTCTTATTATTATACATTTGATTTTTTATTTGGATTTTTTCTCCTAAATTTTACTTGTTAATTTGTTTACTAATTACTGTTAGTATATTCATTGTATTGTAGAGTCAAAATTAAATTGCAATCATATAAACAGGTAACAACCATACAAACAAAACTTATTTTCTAATCATTAGTTTTAGGAACCAAGAATAGTGACAAAAGATGAAAGGTACAAAGTGGCACCAATTGCGCATCAAAAGAACTCAAATTCAGTTGACTTAAAGTCATCAAGTACACATCTTGGCACTTACATTGATAATCTTATCGAATCATTCGTCGTAAATGCCGGAAATTCCGGAAATAAGGTAATAACCATATCTCATTTGTTCGGCATAATTTATGTAATTTCGTTATTCTTAAAATTAAACAGTAATAAAATTCTTTGAAAAATAAATCACTGCCTCAATTTATATAAACTATTATATTTATTAAAGAATTTGACACCAGTCGTTGTTGATACTTGTCGATCTCCAATTAATCCAACTGATCTTTCCGCAACAAATTCTTGTAACGCTATCCCTTTGACATACAATCAGGTATTATAACTGTATAAATCATTCTTCTCATTTTTATAAGATTAAAAAAAAAAAAAATTAGAATTTTTTGTTGCACTATTTTATTCAGACTATCATGGTAGCTAATAAAGGATTTCCAAAAGAAGCTATCAGAAAAAAAAAGAGAGTGTAATTTGATATGTAAATAAGAAATTTTAAAAATTACAAAATTTCGATTCTAGATTAACTGTCTGGAAAATGTACATCGACTACTGAAAAGTCAACATCATGGAGGAGATATTGCTGTAACATCAACCATTGAATCGACACCAGAAAATGTTTCATCACCAAAATTACCACCATCAGAGGATTCAAAAAGTCCACTTCCTATACCGGAACAAGAGGATGACAATAGGTAAAGAACTTTCTTATTATTAAAGAAAGAAAAAAATCATAATATTTCAACAAAATTCGAATAACATTAATGTATGTGAAATGAATTAGGGTTACTACCGATACAGTAGCACCAGCTATGCCTCTAACAAGAGAACTTCTGCAACAACATACTCGAAAATGGGAACAAGAATATCGTGACACATGGAAAAAACGACTTAATTTGAAAAGACCCATTCAGGTTTGTGACTGTTTTTTTTTTATGTACCAACAAAAATGTATGATAAATTATTATTCAATAAAGTATTCATATTTAAATATTTTGAAAAAGACTTCAAATTTAAATTTTTATTTCTTTCTTCATATTCTACAAAATATTCACTTGTTTTTTTTTTTTTGTAAAATTTTGCAATCTTATAAAGATGAATGTGATTGCTAAATATAAATATAGCAAACGGAGTTTGTTGTGCCGGTATCATCGAAAATTTTCCGCGAAAGCAATCATAGATCAGCTATAACACTAAGTGCACCAGCTACGCTACCTTTATCTCGATCTGATTGTTGGCCAACGATGAACAAAGATGATTATTACAGAAGTCTTGGACCAAATCCTCCTCCACCACCAGGCAAAAATTTTCAAGTAAGTTTCAAGTAATTACAAATTCCACTGATAAAATCCCTTTGATTACATTATACTCTTATTTTGGTGATGTTTTCAGATCACATCAGTGCCATTGCCGCCTCCGTTACCAATTGAGGAACGTCGATCTGCGTTTGTTCCGCTTCCTAGCACTACATTTTCGAACACTTCAAAATTACCTCGTGATATATCACAACCGATCAACTTATCATTGACAGGAAGTGTGCAGCAAGCACATTCGGCAGTAGGAATAACAACCGTAACATCCGGTTCTGTCGAACGGCATTTTCCAACACAACAACCACAACAACAGCAATACCGTTCCGTTATAAAAACTGCTTTAGCATCCGCACCACAACATCAACGACAATATCACGAATCGAACAGATTGGTATTACCATCATTAGCAGGAACAGGAATAACAACACAACGTTATTCCAGTACCGGAAATATGATGGATACAACTCTGGAATGGTATCCAACTACGGAATACAGCAATGGCATTCCTGAAGAAATTGGAGAAACCTGCGCAGCACGATTAATAAATATGGCGCAACGAGCACAGCAGCAGTTAGATCAGAAACGATTTCACTCTCCGCTTACTACTTCACCAGTTAAGGAAGCTACTGATGCATTGATGTTGCTACAGGAAACAACTTCATTTTAATTAAATCTAATTTAGAATTTGCAAATATATTTCGTTTCTTTTCATTAATTGATAGTTTTGCTAAATTTATTGCTAATGATCGATTGTTTTTTTTTTTTTTTTCTATTCATTGTAACAATCATTTTTAATCAACAAAACTTCTTAAAGAAAATCAGCAACTTTGATGGAAATATGTAGATTTTGAATACTTTGGACTTACCTATCTCAATTTCAATTAGATTTAATTGCCAAAAATTATTTGATAACAAAAAAATATCTATGCCTGTTTGCTATAAATTTTAAAAGTACAGGAATAACAAAGGTTGGGAAATTATTTTGCTGACTTTTTTTATTCCTTGTTTTTTATTTTTTTCTTTTTTTCTCAGCTTAAACAATTAAAATGCTTAAGCTTAAACTCAAAATATAAAATTAAAAATCAAAAAACAAAATAAAACAAATAATGGCCAAATATCGTAAGCCAGACTAGCTTAGACCAGAGGAAGCATTACATGCTAACTTAACTACTCAATCATTCATGAATTGAGATTTTATCTTTTCATTTCAAATTTACTTACACTTAAAATGCGCGTAATTCTCACACCGACGTCTTTCTGGTTCTGGAACGATTTGTGTGCTTGTTGTCTCTTCCTTTTCTCTTTTTTTTTTCCCTCTATAATTTAAAATATCGTTCCAGTTTTTCAACTCTTCCTCTTCTTCCTACTCTTTTTTGACATTCTGCCGATTGCTTTATCTTGAAAATTGAAAACCATGAGAAGTAGAAATGTGATTCTCAAGAAATTTAACATTCAAATGTCTGATAGACAGCTCACTTAAGCTTACTTTTGATATGGAACTTAACTATTGTACAGTAAATTATTTGAACATTCTTATCTAAAAGAAAATTCTTCAAAAATTTAAACTTCATTTTTCTGTTTCTCTCAGTTTTTAATGATTAAAAATTTTTTATAGTTTGTAGTTTCTATTTTGTGTGTGTTGCCTCATTTTTGTTACTGTGATTTTTATGGTTCTCAATCTTTTCTTTTCTCTGATATTGTAAACAAACAACTGAAAGCTAATGAAATGCAAGTGATATCGCCTCAAATTGACTTTATTTTTATGCTGCCAAACTAAGTTCTTTCATATCTCAATGCTGTTTGTTGAATATGCAAAATGATTTGTGAATATTATACTAAACGAATAAGTTTCTTTTTTGGCACTTGAGAAAATCTTTCAAGAAATTACAGCAGATGCAAAGAATATGCACGACTATACTTCAGCATGCTTCTGCCCAAAATCTTAAAATATTCATCGAAAATATTCAACATTCATAGCTGAATGTTTCGCTTCGTGCCAGATTTTAGATAATGTCTAAAATATGAGAAATACGTGAGGAATAACAAAGATACTAGTGTCTATTTAATCATCAATAATTATAAATACTATGAAAATTATGAATACAGGAAGTTTATAAAGATAAGAAATAAAACTACGATCCTTAAAAAAGGACTATTAAGATACCAAAATGTAAGAGGATCAAAAAATAAATAAATATATAAATAAAAAACCTTTCCTTGTTTGCTAACAAATTACAAGCTGAAAAAGTGCATAAATCAAAATCAAAAATAAACCCATCAAATTATCTTCTGTATTGTTCCATCATTTTTTGTGTGAGAGAAATGGGAAGTATCTACGAAGAAATAACAAAACAACAAAAGTTGTCGATAATTCTCAATCTCAATTTAAAATGGGAGATACAATGAACTCGGAAAATGGGTTTACGTTTTATGTTAACAAAAAAGGGTTAACTTAGTGGGTTTACATTAACGAAAAAAAAAAAAAAAAAAACGAGAAAATGACTAGATTTAATAACCAAGTAAAATTAAAAAAAATCAATGAATAATAGCAAAAATGGAAAGTAAAACACAATCACATCAGTTAATAGTTCACAACTGAGAATTTAACTCTTCTGCATATAAAACATAATGAGATACTTCATAAAGTCACCAAATTATCTCCTTGATGTAACTCGACCACGGCTTTTCATTGATATACCTCTACCGCGTTTTTGTCGCATATTAATAGGTTGCCGTTGAATAGGCTGCTCCGCACTATATGCATGATTAAAATTCACCAAATGTGAAATAGATTTATCACAAAAAACACATCCCCTATACGTGGTTCTCTCCTCTGGCAAAGGTGACTTATCCTGTAAATGTTACAGTTTTTTCCATAGCTATTGCATAACAGACCATTCATAAAAATAGTTTCTGTTACATAATATGCTTTAATAAAAAAATTAATTATCCCTTCAAAACAATATAGTTACAATTTTTAGACCAAATCCCTTTAAAAATGGATACAGAATTTCTTTTTCTTTTGACTTCGATTTTTTTTAACAACAAACTTCAATTTTTAACAAATTTTAACAAAAAATTCGATTTTTAACAACAAATCTTGACCCCATGTTATGCATAAGATTACCTTGTATTCAGCAAAAAACAGTTGTGCACCACAATCTTCACACTGCTTGGTAAGAACCTTAACGCGCAATGCACCTTCGAAGAGACCTACAACAGCAGAACATTTGTTGCAAGAAATACGCCATTTTGGTGCAGATTGTGGATCCAGTACCAAAACTCCATGACCAGCGCCACATCGACGTGGACACTGAACCACTCCCAGCGTTCTAGAAATCAGAAGGCATAAATTTTTGTGTACAAAAGAATTTTCGATTCATTATTCAACTTTTAGAAGTTTCGATTTTTACATACAACTTAAACCTAGAAGCTGCAGTAAGGAAATATTATTTGCTGCTTACTAAACATTATGCAGGTGATAGATGGTTGTTCTCAACTTACAGGAACGAATGAGGACACACAGGATTACAACATTCGTGACATCCTGAACCTTTCTTCATTCCCTCAAACGGCGGATTATTATAACAATAAGGACAAAGTACATATGACATCGATAATTTTCCTAAAATACAACGTCTGCTTTAACTTTTGCTTCGTCATTAATTTCTTTACCCAAAAATTTTTCTCTGTTATTGAGCGTTAATCACTCTTCAAATGTTTGCATTCTTTTAAATTCCTGTAATAATAGCCTTAAATAGGCCTTAAAAATGGAATATACATATATGCTAAAATCAATTATTTAACAAAATAATTCAAGTTTTCAAAAAAAAAAAAAATGTTCACCTCCGGGACCTTGCCAGTAAATCAAATCAAAATCATCCAAAGGGCACTTGTTTTCACCATGAAGTCTCAGTAATCCATCTTTAGCAGAAGGCAATGAATATGTATCCTAAAAGCGTAATAAACAATACCATCTCTTTTATCAAGTCTCGTTAATATAAACCGACATTTTTGCTTAATTACCTGACAATTTGGACAATGAAGACGCTGTGGTTTGGAAGCGACAAGTTTCATAAAACGTCGACATTTTCCACATCTGCTAAATGGCTTTCCCGAAGCGGCAAGTGAAGTGAATGAATCTGAACAAACATATAAAAGGATATTTCAACTTACATTCTTCAATTTGGGTTAAGAATGCTAAAGGAAGAACACTGACTCTATTAACTATATTGTATTGTCAATTTTAGACTCATTACTGTTTATTTTCTTTTTCATCTTTAAAAGAAACAATATTGTTTTCTTTTTACCTTCAAAAAGAGAGTCCACGAGACTAATATTTTCTGCAAAATAGATAAATTTAAGGCGGAAATTTTCGAGCACATGATTCTTGACCTACAAATATGCACATAGTAAAAAAATTCAGCAACAAAGCTTTATTAACTTTTTTATTCTAAGACTTTAGTCGAAACACTACGACCATCGCTGCTTCTTTACTACATTTTGAGCGGCACATTTCAATCATTAAAATCTATGCTTAGACGCATTTTTAAATTTCAAGAGTTTTCAAATTCTTTCAAGCAAAACAAATGAACATAATAGTTTTGAAATCAACGAAGTTAATTAATTGAGCTACTTTATGGTAGAAAGAAATCAAGAATGACATGAAGCATTCAATAAATGGAACCGTGTAAAGGATCCATCAATCATTAAAATTGACATTCAAGAGTCACTAAATCTTGCAAATTCTCCATGCTACGCACAATTGCTTCAATCTCATAAACTTTTCTTTGGCTGCAAATGATAGCATAAGTTAAACGCTTACAGAGCAGAAATCGGCATATCCTTTAGCAATGAGATTTAACTGACTTTCAACTTCGGACCGCATCGTAGGTAATACTAGTTCCGAATCTATTCTCCAATAGCCATGTACAAGTGCAATGCCTAATTTTGTTGGTTTTAAACGCCTTTTAGATTCAACCTAAGAAATTGTAAGTAAGTTGAAATTTGAACTTAAAGAAATATGAAAATTATCTAGTATATTTGATAAATGTATTTGATAAAACTAACAGTAACATAATTCCGCTGACAAATATTACTAATGTGGACAGGGATAGATGCATCCGTCCCAATACCATGCTTTTCCATTAACGAGATCAATTCTGATTCAGTGAGGTAATCCGGTGGAGTTGTTGCATACTCACATATTTTTGCATCTCTTAAATCACCCATTTTCAAAGAACGATAATTGGAAATAAAAATTGAATTCTAACTGTACTATAATATTAAACAACATTCTTTTTTTTTCATACAATGTGAAAAATCAACTTCTCTATTGTGACTTTTGTTATCATAAAAGTGAGATAGAAAGTTCAACTACACCATTAATAAATACATAATATCAAAACTTGAATAAATACTATCAAAATCGAAACTTACTTTAAATTGAGCTTTGAGCCTTTAACTATATTATAATTCTGTGTATCTTCCTCAATTTTCTGCCATACCATAATTTCTGTGTAACCCAAATTGATAACACACTTGCTTTTTGCAATAAATATTTCGTTCGCGATATTGATTCTTGAAAAAATATATCGTTTATGAATATTAAGAAATAGCAGAGCAATAAAAAATTAAGAAGTAATAAACGAAAGAAGATATAAATATCAAATTAAATCTTACTTTATACTCTTGACAAGATATATGCACGGCTGCATGAGTGTGGCAATGAAATGCTGTGTAACATAGTCATATATTTTTAAAGCATCTAAAAAAATCTAGTAATTTACGAAGAAATTTTTATATGCGTTATTTATCAGTTCGACAATGTCTTAACTTCTCACCAATATTACTGGATCTACAAACTGCCTGCAGAGATTAGCAGATCCTATAATTTAAAAAATTAAGAATTAACCTCCGGTGAGTGAACCATCATTGCCGCGCAAAGGTGATATCGGCGGATGATCACCTTTATCTTCACCATTACGAGGCTTTGTTATTCCTTCTGATAACAACTAAATTTAAAAAATAACATTGTAAAACTTTTAAATAAATATACCAAAAATTTCTTTTATATAGTCAACTATATAACAACTGATCAAAGTCAAATAACCTTTTTTACAATATCCTTCCAGCGGCTATCATTCTGCTGGTGTCGCAAAGCTTCAGAAAAATCAAAATTTGAAGGATATGCTGTAGTTTCCGTTCGTGGATAACTTATGAAACCCTGAAAAGCAAAAAATAAGCTACAATGAGCACTACAATATTGTATGAAAATGATATAATGTTTTTTGGTCTTAACCATAATTTATTTACTCGCTAATTAGAATATGGAAAGAATCAACTCCATTTTCTAAAACAGCTTTTAAATTCTTTTTATCATTTAAAAGAAACTTTCAAAAAAGTTATTGGAAAATAGAAATAATGTACCCTAGTGTAAAGATATTCTGCAGTACTCATAGTTTGCGTTGGACTAAGACCTAGGCCACTGCTAGCGACCTTTAGTAACTCAACGGTATTGAGAGCTTGTGGACGCTCTTTCCGCAACTCCGAACTGATCACATCAACAACAACACCTTGATTCTGCTTCTGAAAATCCAAGCAAACCACAATATGAAAGATGGTAAAATCTTCCAATAAAATTAACAGTAAAATTATATACCACATAAAAAATAACATTCGAAGAAATAAAAATAAACAAACTTTAATTCGATCAAAAAACAGCTGACAAACATCTTTATCAAATATACGACCTCTGACATGAGTTGGTTTTAATGTATCACCCGCCGAAGTTTCGAAGATTGCCTAAACTTTTCTACATATCAAAAATATGTTAACCATCTGCAATACAATCTTTAAAAGGTACTAACACCTAAAAAATCCCAAAAAATCAAAACTAAAATAATACTACCTCTAAAAACATCAATCCGCCTATTCTCAAAACAAATAAAAACAAAAAAATTTAGAAAAATGAACCACTAATATCCAGTACGGCTCTGGCTTAAACTGTGTAATCAAATCATGACGAGTCACACAGAATCCCAGTGTTGGTGTCTGGCATGGACCAAAAGATATGGTTGTGCTATCAAGATTACCATATTTGCCCTGAAACATGTAAAAAATTGTTAAGCAAACTGCCAGTCCATGTAACTATATTAAATTTTAAGTATACCACTAAAAAAACTTAACTTAAGAAATACAGAAATTAAAATATTGCTAACGACAATCAGTAAATGATTAAAAAATAAAAAAAATAAAAACTGGAATATTGTGCAAAAATTACTTGAAAATATCGTGTTTGGAAGCGTGTGAAGGCACAACCAATTCTCAGATCTAATTCTTGACGCGCATCAACGGACAAGCTTTCATTGATATTAGGACGACCAAGATTCCGCATTGCCGACTTAATATCTTTCGCAGTGATGGCTGAGAAATGTGCCCTAAAAATAGTTTCCTTCAGTTTACATAAGATTTTAAAAATTTTTGGAAACGGTTTATAAACAAAGATCACAAAAAAGGAGTTTTCCATTTTAAGAAAATTAAAAAATATACCGATAAACATTTCCCATAATATCTCCTGTTTTTGACTTTTTAATTGAATTTCTGACTGCTTCAATTACCTGTCAATTTTAAAAATAGCAAAATTTTGCATTATTTTACTTCAAAAGGTAACGAAAAAATAAATAATGTGTAATATTTATTAATGAATCCAATCAGGCCCGAAAAAAAATTTTTTTTAGTTCAAAAGCAGTGATATCCTTATATAAAAACTAAGATTGGCAAGATACCCCTTATCTGACCGAGCAGTTTGAACTTAGAGAATACGAATATGCTATAAGACTATTTTAGTCGGAAAAAATTTAAATACTATAAAGATAAACAAATACTTAATTCCGAAAAATAATGAAAAAGAAATCAACTTCAAAGCAAATATTTTCGCCCTCTTTATCGCAATCCAACCACAAGACCAAGAAATCACAACCTTTTGCTTCCGAAGCGAGATACTATAATTTTGTTAAAAGGTAAAGAACATCAAAAGCTTGCTTCGTGTTAAAGAGAATTACTAATTCCAAAAACTCTCATTTTTTTTTTCTTGCTCATTAAAGAAAGCATCTTTAAGAAGCGATGCAAAACTAACTTTGATAAATAAATTTCTAAATTTCCTCCTCCTCATATCTTCTCCTATCGTTTTCTCTTCCCTCTACTTAAACAGAGATCAATATTATTAGTAATTCTTGCATAATATTTCAAGAGACATCGACAACTGCAAACACGCAAATATATTTAAATAAGTTACCTCATTCATTCGCATTTTTGGATTTGCTTCCTTTTTCGCAGTTGATGATGAAAACAACATAACTGGATCAACTTTTTCCCAATTATTCATTTTTGGTGGGAAATCCAGAGACATAATGTGACCACAAGTACTTGTTACCTGAAATCCAGTTTTAATATGCACTCCCTACTTTAAATTCAGTTACAGAAAGAAATGGAATCAGTGTCTTATGATTAATAGCATAAAATAACATCTGCCACATGAATAATAATCGATAATGATTAAAAATATTATATCATTACATATATCAGTAATCCTTATTCCTAACTAATACTTTTTATAATTTTTACCTTGAATATAGCTGACTGTCCTTGGAACTGTCCACAGTATTCAGAAACCGAGCAAACATTGTTCCAACCTTCAAAAATACAATATTTTGAATAAAGAAAAAAAAATAGAAACAATAGCAATGAACGAAAAAGACACACAAATTTCATATTTCTTTTAAAATAGGTCTAAAACGAAAGAAGAGAACTCGTATAAGAAAAGAAGTGGCAAAAAAAGCAAAATAAATATGACTTTAACCTTTCCTTTTCTCAACTTTCCCATCGGCAAGGATTTTTGCAATGGATTCTGCAAGCATCGGTTTTTCGGCCACCATCATCACCGTCAGCGGAGCCATATCCACTTCTCTCTTTTTCCTCCTCCCTCAGTCACCTTACCTGCATATATTTAGTATTATTCCGCTTTTGAAATTAGTGCTATTCCACTTTTGATGAACTGTTCAAGAACAGTGCAACAAAGCCTCCCAACATTTCAATCCACGGATTCACCTTGAAATCTTCACAACAAATAGTCAGTCATGCGTTTGCACTATATTATAATGAAGCATAAAGACTCTACTCTCGCCGCTGGTAAAAATAAAATTCATGACCTGAAAATATAATAAAATGCTTCAGCGATTGAGCGCTTTGTGTGCCAAACATTCCAGATAACAAGAATTTATTAATACAAGAAATAATTAGAACTGCAAATTGTTTTTTCGGAATAAGTGTATGATAAATCAATTGAAAAAAAAAAAAAAACATTCCTGAACGCTGTTTTACATCGATGATAACACTGTTTCAAACCCATATTTTATAACGGTAATGGCCTGATAATTACAATACCATCTATGGACAGAACAGACAAGTACATTCAGTCAACCAGTATAGCAAAACAAAAAAAAAAAAGAAAAAGATTTCTAAAAACTAGAACATATAAGTACTCAATAGTAAATATACGAATAATTAATTATATGAAGAGGTAAATAACAGTGTGAGGAGATACCTCCCTCACTTCGGTGGCCATTCCATATCAACGCCTTCAACATCCAGTTCAAGTATGTCAACTTCACCGCATTCTACTCCTAATAAATCTGCTAATGATGGCCGAGTTCGACCAAAATCACCGTGCACAAATTCTTTTACATAAGTCCCCGCCTGTGTCTCCATTCTAAAATAGTGAAATCACTGTTTGAAACTTCTTTAAGGGCTTTCAGGAATCTTTTCATCATAATAATGAACTTTTGTCCATTTGCAGAACCTATTATTATGACAGCTACAGCAATTTCATTACAAAAAGTTTGGCATAATAAAACATATAATTCTAGTAAATCAAAAACAAAAATCCAATTCCGAAAATCTGCTACTTTCAATCAACACAACGTCCCAGACGGCTAGAACTGTGGTAGTGTTTTCCGTTAAAGCAACAAAAAACTAGAACTACACCTTACATAAAATTACGTAAAAGAGTTTCCGCCTATCCGGAATTAAAAATGGAAATTATCCATTTTCAAAGAAGTATACCATTACTAACTGTGGTTACAGTAGATAAAGCTGCATTTCAATTTTTCAAAAGTGGGCATTTCAACTATTGCACAGCATACAATTTGGATTAAATAAAGTAAGCATATTCCACTTACCTGATTAGGAAGTGATAATCATCCAATTTCAGTGCTGCTATGAAAAATATCATTCTTCGTCTTTCGAGCAAAGGACGACGTTTCAACACCCGCACAGGGGTTTTTTGAATCACTTCAATGGGTGCTTTATGATGAAGTTTTTTCAGTGCGAGATCATCAAGCTTCCTTGTACTGCAACAGTAACCGGTGTATAATTTTCGCCTTTCTAAAACAAAAGAGTTCTAAGTGGTCATGGAAATTTATAATTCAAGTCGAAAGTCTGTAATGTATATATATATTCCAAATCTATCTATCTATCTATATATATATATATATATATATATATATATATATATATATATATATTCCAAATCTAATTTCTTTAAACACTACTAGCACATAAAAACTGATAAAATAGCTTACCATCTTGGCCATTTTTTATTAGAGATGCTTGGTCTGAAGTGATTTGTTTCAAACCGGGAAGAACTTTAACATCAAGATTTTTATTGATACTATCCTCTAAACGTTTCAATGTAGTCTTCAGGTTATTCCTTTGGAACGGAAAAATTCTCTTGGGATTGATTAACTGAAAAGAATCGATATCATATTCAATTTACGATATTAGTTTATATACATTCAGAATTTTTGAAAGAAAAAAAAATTTTTTTACTTCCAATACAAATGGCCTTCCGTTACCAAGCATTCGCACATCAATATCTTCCCGCCCTGAAGCTATAAAACGTGCAACATCACATCCAGTTTCTGTGACAAATGGCGCTCCAACTTTTTCCGATACCTTAAAAAAACTTTGAATTTCATATGCAAACTTTCAAAATTATCAGATTCTCTCTAATATTTTATGTAAACTTACTGAATGTCCAATAATTTTCTTCATATCAGTTGAAGCAGACCATGGGCTTTGAGACATGTTTCTAGAAAATTTGCAATATCGTCCAGCTATGAACAATGGACTACGTTCAAATGAAATTGTATAATGACATGATGTCGACGGTGAAGCCATCTTGTAACTCCTATAATCTATTTTTTTTTTTAAATCACCAAATAAACAGTACAGAGCAAAACTAAAGTAGAGATCTTTTTGAGAAAAAAATAAAGAGATATGAGTTACATAACATTGTAGACCAGGTATAAAATGCTAGGGAAGTTCTATATAATTCTCGCATTTAAATGCATATATCTTAGCTTAGATTAATACAATTTTTTCTAGGATCTAGACGAATCATGAATACTATCACATACAATAATAATAGGATGAACGAGGTGTATTATTCTTTATTAAGTTATAAAAAACTTGCTTCAGATAGCATCAAGTTATTTTCATGATTGCTCTGAATTAACAAAATAAATGTCCGAAAGTTATGAACTGGACTCAAAATTTTCTTCACAACTCCCCAAAAACTTTTTTTAAAAATCCACATCGAATAAGCCCTACATAATTGCTTAGAAAAAACATAAACAGCTAAAACTATACAATGCATATTCTCGATTTAGTTTGTGTATCAGGCCTGCAATTCGTACTTTTGTATACATTGATAAGAGCGTATCATCCATATTGGCAAATCTCAGTCTTTTCCGTGATATTTGGAAATCATCAGGGAATTCCTTTACCAAATAATCAACATCGCTTTTGTTAAATTCATCATTCATAAATGTAAGAGTAAGAATTAAATCCGAATTCAGTGATGGTGACAAACCGGTAGCCTGCAATAAGAAAAACATATAAAAATGTACATAATAGAGTAGTAGAATAATGGATTTTAGAATAAATTCTACATATTAAATATGATTCACAGATATTGAAAAAATTAAGTATATATCTTGAATAAAAGAATGCAAATAACAAAGACATATTAAAAGCGAATAAAAAGCAAATTCCACGAACACCACGAATTCTTTCCAAATAGGCATTGACAATTCGTAACTTGAAAGGAACCATAGAAAGAGTGCCATTTGATGAAGAATCCCGATGGACAAGTTCATATAATGATTCGCGAAGAATCGCTGTAACAGGCATATTGATTGCAAGTAGGAATGATTTCGAATCATAGCCACTGCTCTCATATATTTTCTTTGCCTGAAAGAAACACAACAAGCATTTCAAAAACATTTAATTAGCAGCCAAAGAAGCTTTCATATCTATTAAGCAGCTTTTCGAAAATTTCAAAAAAATAAAGTGGAAAATCTGCTGTAATAATCAAACAAATTTGTCCAACTTTATAATTTGATTTAAATTAGATTTTAATTCATAATTAAGTCTGAAGATTTACAAATCAATGCGCAAATGCTTTGTAATACTTGAAGGAAAAGAAAGCTTTACCTCGGCTACCACTTCGTCAGCAAACTTTTCATCCAGTACACCAAAACAAAGAGCGCAATTGAACGGTTTCTCCACATTACCACTTTCTTCCGGTCCTCTCAACTGTCGAGTACAGAGAGTGCAAAGAGGAATACGATCATCTGAACTGGCATCACATCCCATCCTTGTAATCAGTGTCAGTGGTTAGTGGTCAGTGGCGAGTACTGAATGAATGAATGCACTCCTAACCTACAGATTGTCAGTCACAACCGTCTGCAATAATCTCCATTTCATTCAGAACATGAAATTCTATTGGCAACGATAAGAAAACGGTTATAAAAGATAATATTGTACTTAGTGATGATGGAGAATGAACAGGTAAGGGAGACTGGATGGAGATGAACAGGTAAGGAAGATTGTGTGTGCACAAGAAAAAAAGAATAAGTACGAAAAATTGAAAATCTAACGAACACAATGATTGAAATAAAGGTGATGTAAACGATTGCAGGTATGCACTGCAATCATAGGAAATAAATTTTTTTTATTTCCAAGCAAACTACATCTCTTAGCTTTCACTAATTTTATGTCTATCTGAGATTAGCATTGTATGGTGTAATAAACAATTGAAATTAGCATAATTAAGCGGACATATAAAGAGATAGCAATGTCACTTTTGTAGATTTTGTATTAATGTGGTGATCGGTCATTTGACTGTAGTATATTTATTTTATGGTTTGCTGAGAAAGGAGAGGTACGGATGTGTCGATTGAAGAAGAAAAAGGTGAGTATTGCGATCCGAAAATATTTTAACTGAAGAAGTAACTGAATAAATTTATTTTATTTCGGAATTTATTTCGAAAATATTTGCTCATCAAGAGAAAGTTATTTAATCGGAAAAAAAAAATGAATTTCAGAAGCTGTCCGTACCAGCTCTTCCTGTCCAACAATCTAAAGAGAAAGCTATTGTTAGAAATCAAAATGTGCATCGTTGGTTGATACTATAATAACAGTTATTTTGAGGAATTAAAATTAAAATTGTGAAATAAATTTGATAGAGAAATGGAATTTCAGTTTTGAAAAAAAGAAAAAAAGATAAGTGAAGTTTGAGAATTTAGTATTCGGTATGAAAAAAACTTGGATCAACGGTCAAAATTTCTAGGAAAATGAAAAAATGAATGGTAAGATAACAAAAAGTTGGAAGCAAAAATTGAAGCAAGATGAGCATGTAAAAAAAACTAGTGAACCGGAAAGAAGCCACAGTGAACCGGAAAAGAAATCAGGTGAGAAAGAAAAGAGTGAGAAAGAAAAGGAGGAGAAGGACAAGAAGGATGCGGAAGAGGAAAAAGGAAGTGACAATGAAAAAAAGGAAAGTGATAAAGAGAATGACGAGAAGGTCTTATCGGTATTTGTTCATTTTGTATTTTTTGTTTTTAAAAGTATTTGGCTTCTTAAAAAGTATACTTAAAAATATTAATAAATTATTCGGAAAGGATATATGCAATAAGATTTTTGTTATCTGTTCAGTTCAAGTAGCTATATGTTTAATTAAATGTTTTTTTTTTTTTTTTTGAATTTAGACAAAAAGAGTTCGACAAAAGGATGTAACATTTGAAAAAGTGGAATAGTACATAATCAATTAACTTTTATTTTTAGAAAAAGAAATTAGTGATAAAAGCACCAAGAGCAATTAAAAAAGCAGATGCTGAAGATCCGCAATATCAGGTATAATGAATTTGTTAGCTAGCAAATTTTTAAGATAATTTAAAAGCAAAAAAAATAAAAATGTTGAAAAATGATGATTGCTTCATAAATAAAATAAATAATTAATATTACATGTTCAGACACTTGCTGGTTTAAATGATGAAGATTTGTTTGGCAAGGAAAATGATCATAAGCCAAAAAAGAAATTAGTTATAAAAGCACCGACTGGTTTTAAAAAGGCAAAAGCTGAAGATCCGGAGTATCAGGTAAGTATAATTCAGTTTTTTTTTCCTGAAATGATACTACTAATTTTTATTGATCAACGAACCTAGAACTGATGAATGTAAATGAATTGATAAAATGATTTAAATGAATTAATATTCTCTCTGTCTCATACTAAAAACTTTTGAAATTAGAAATGCTAAGCTTCCCTTTTACGTAGTTTCACTATCTTTTCTGTATAAAATCGATTATAGTTGTTGGAAAAGTCAAATTTGTCCAATTTTGATGAAAAATATAATTTGAGCAATGATTTATCTTTCGAAATAGCTTAACGATAAAAATATGTTCGACTTATTCCAACAAAAATGCTTAGGGAAAGAAATTAGAAACTAATTAAATTTTCCTCAAAGTTTATCATCAGATGTATATTTTTGGCTATTTTTTTTCAGAATTTGTGGTTTTTCAGGGGAAAAAAAAAATGATATTTTTTAATAGTTCATAAATTAATCAATAGTTTATCTATTAGTGGATTCTATCAGATGTGTTTTTCTTTTTCTAATGTTTAAATGAAAATTAAAAGGAAGTGAAGTAAAGCTGTGACATTTTTTGCAGACACTTGCTGGTCTAAACAATGACTTATTTGACGTGGAATTTAAAAAATGAAAACTGAAATGGCAAAAAAAAAGAATGAGCGAAAAAAGCTTAATGTTTGTGCGCTACAGATACTTTCGTAGAATTGAAAAAAAAAAAGTCCTCATTTGTGAATTCTATTCTATGTTAGCTTAATATAATACATTTTTTTTTTAAATCATGATAAAAATAAATCTTTATGAAGTATTTAAATATAAAAATAAAAAATATAAAATTAGTTTCACAAATTTTTGATAATTTGATAAACAAATGAATTAGTTTTTCAAATTCTCTTTGCTATATTACTAATTTTATTTCATCTCATAATGTTATAATTATGCTCAATAAATAATGAAGAATTGTATCACTTCAACAGACGATGCAATATTACTGAATGTGTCGTTGTTTACTTGCAGGTATGTCAACTAACACTAAATTTCGTTCTTCATTGTGGAACCAAAAAATAAATATTTCTGTTTAAAAAAAAAAAGAAAAAAACCTTTCTTGACATTAACAAGAGGATTGAACTTTAGAATAGGTAGTTGTTTAACAATTTTTTTTTTCTTGTAACGGTTTTATTGAAATAGTAAGAATAGGTATTGTTTGAACTTTGAACTTTCATTTATTCAACACTCAGATAACTTAATTGCGAATTTGATAGTGGTGTTTATTAAATAAAGATGTTTAATTTGGAGTATACATCATCGTCACTAAAAAATGGTCTCAATTTGTAAAACTTTTTGGTTGAAGATTTTATTTCACTAAATGTTGCCATTGTTTTGATTTATTGATGACAATGCCTACAATATTTAATGCATAATATTTATTTATTATTTTTATTTTTTCTTAATTTTTTTTTGCTTAACATTTATGAAACATGCAATTTAATAAGATATAAACAATTACATTTGGGTAATATTTCATTAAAACAGATAGCAAATACTGATTTGCTTCAGAACCATAATAATTTATATGTAGACAAGTCTATATATATATATATATATATATATATATATATATATATATATATATATATGTATCGCGTTGACTTGTCAATTAATTTACAGGTAAATTCGCAAATTTCAGACATTTCGATACAATAACTAGCTTACCCTATCTTATACATGTTATCAATTTAAAAAAGTTGCATTAAAAAAAATGATTTTATTAAAAAGTTACATTAGGATTAGCAGCAACACCAAATGTATTAGAATGAAGAATTAAAACTTTCACCAAATTCGGTCATTTTTGAAAAAATCCTCTCATCAAAAAAGTATATGGAATAGTTTATTTGATGGCTAACATAAGTTATTTGACATTTCAAAGGTAAAAGCTGAACCTATCACTTCAAATAGGCATTGAATTTTTGGCCGAAATAAGTCGAAAGTACAGATGAAGTATGGAAATTAAATCATATTCTGAGTGTATAATTGTTCTATGCATCAAAACTTATTCTTCATTTCATCCTTAGCTAAAAAAATGAGTTAATCGAATTGAATCGAACTAGTTATATCAGTTTTATCAACCCTTAATATTGAATATTTCAAAAGAATCAGTTTAGAAAAAATAGAAAATTTGAACAAATTATTGTGATTCTGAAGATGTCTGTTCATCACTGTTCACTTCATTTAAAATTTCTTCTTCAGTAGTTGCTGCAGTATCATCCTGAACATGTGGTATTGTTTCAATATCCTTTCCTGAATGAAAATTTTTTCTTCGACCTATAATATAATAACAAATTTTGACTTTTTTTTTGAATAGAAAAGTAAGAATAATTTGTGATGAGACAATTTTCTACTTTAATCTATTTTTTTTAAAAAAAAAAAAAAAAAAAAAAAAAACTTTAAATAAAAATTGTTAATATAAAATCAGGGGGAAAAAAGTGCCATCATTAAATTAATTTACTAAAATAATTTATTAAAAAGTATCATATTTTACAACATTTAATTAATTTACTAGTTCCGCTTGATGCTAACGATGCTTTCTTTTCGCGAATACATTTGTCGGCATTCACTTCATGTGGCATTAAAGTCATTGGAGCACGAAAAAAGTAGAAAAGTGGATAGTAAAGTAAATTATAACAACTGGAAGAGTAAAGATCTGCAAATCGTTCCACCTAAAAATTAAAAAAGTTTGAAAATAGTTACTCATCAATCAAAATTTTATTCATTTTTCTTTTAAAAAGCAAATTTGAAATTTAATTTGAAAAAAAAAAAAAAAAACGAACAATCGCTCAACCTAACCTGTGATGCAAAAAATGTAGTGCGTGGTCCACTTCGAAATAGCGAACCCATTTTACTATAATAATTATCCATTTCTTGAGTTCTTTCCTGTAAAAAAGAAATAACAAGTCTAACATGCTTAAATTTCTGTATTTCAAAAATTAGAGAAAAGTAGATAGGAAGAAATTTAGAATAAATTGATAAATTGCTATTTATACTACCCGAATTTGAATGTTTCCTTCTTGAATAATTGACTGAGCAGAAGTAATATTTATTTGATTGTACATCGCTTCAACTTGTTTAGTTAATTCGACCACTTTTTCGAATAAATCATGCCGTTGTGACCAAATGGATATTTCTTTTACTAGTTCAGGTATCACAAGAAATGTACGCCATCCTTTTCAATGGAATTCAATTTAATAAAATTCATTTCAATTTCGTTACAGTAATATCTAATTCAACGATATTTCAACTTCATTCTTACTAATTGTATTTACTAGAAGAGAAGTTTAAAGCATAAAGAATAAATAGCAGATAAAGTGAAACTAAATAAATTAACTCAATATATTAAATCAATTTCTATATTAAATTTGTCAAATGAAGGAATAAAGATGAGTATGTTCATATTATTAGCGATTACTTCGGGTTACTATTACTTTGATAGAAAGCTCACAAGTTTTATCTTGCCAGACTAAAAGTAAACCTTTTGTTTTTTTTGATTTAAGTACATCACCAAAGATGTGATCACCAATATACAATACTTCTCTGTCACGAGCATTAAATAGTCGACGAAAATCATCTGAATTTCCTAAAAAAAAATTAACCAAAAATTTTGATTGAAATGGAAAAGTTTTTAAAATATTTAATTCATAATTTAATTTACATTTCATTCTTCAAGATGATAACAGTTGAAGTATGCTAGCAATTATAGTAAGGCTTAAATAAGCCACAAGGAAATATTACTTTAAGAATTAGCTTAAATTTTTGAATATTGAATTTGTTTCGACCATGAAAATTATGTTTATATTATGAAAATAATTTTTGGAAAAAATATGGACAATTTTTTTTTTTGTTTAAATAAACAAATAATTTTATTTAGAGAACATACCGCCAGCATAAACATCACCCTTTTTAAGTAATCCTTGATGCACTCCAATTTTAGGCGTTCCTGTTTCGGTGTCAATTTGTCGAAAAACGGTACCTTTCATGAACCATAATGGTTTTTTTGCATCAACAATTGAAACATCAAAGTATGATGTCCAATCCGATCCAATCAAATAGCTTAATACTCCCTAAATATTATTCAAAAAAATAAAATTTTGTAAAACTACAAACAATCATTCATAGGAATAAAAAACGCAGAAAATAACTTAATATAAACGTAAGTATAACTTAACACAAACATTAGTATAACTTAATATAAACATAAGTATAACTTAATACAAACATTAGTATAACTTAATACAAACATAAGTATAACTTAAACAAACATTAGTATAACTATAATTGCTGTTAGTTAGGAGAAATGTTCGTCCTCCATGAGCATTAATTAATTGCAGAAGCGGTTTGATTCGATTATCTTTGATAATATATTTGTCCAAATTTTGCAAAACATCAGTTTTTAGTGAGCTCTTAAAACAATAAATGTTAATGAAAGCCAAAAATGGTTAAATTTTAATATTGAAATGAAAAAATTAGTGTAATACATTTATATACAATATGTTTTAAGTAAGAGCCATATTTGAGACTTTAAAAAAAAATTCATTAAAATGTTTAATTTCACAGGTAACCTAAAATTATCAAAATTTATCAAAGTATTTGCAAAGAAAAAAAAAACAAAAGCATTAATAAAAGAGTTAAAAATTTTAAAAATGATTTAAACGCTAAAAAATCAAAAAATGCATACATCATTATGAACATAATTGACGGCGCTTAGAACATCTTCAGCAAGCGATTTATAGGATATTATTGTATCACCGTTTCGAACACCTGTGCCATCACTGGTTCTGCAAATTAAATATTTCAATGAATTTGTAGAAGGACTTTACAACAGATAGATCAAAGAACTCAAATCATATCTTTAACAAAATGAGAGAAATTAATAAACAAGTGGTTATTTTTGTCTTTAAACTAACAAATCACTTTTGCTTAGTAAATTGTTAACTTTCAGATATTATTTCTGCCAAAGTAAAACACTATTCTTCGCTTTAGTTTCTTTTGCTCAGAAGAAGAAGAATCATTAACAATCATCAAAAAATTTTTTTCAAATAGATCTTATGAAGAGTCTGCATTAAATACATACTAAATTGATTGAGAAATAATTATCCATCAGGAAATCCGGAAATTAAATTTTACGAATGCAATTTTTGAAAATTTAGCGAATCTCAATATAACTACTTCATATCTTCTGAACGAAGATGTAAATATATTGCATATGGATAATATATTAGTTAACTTTTCAAAAAATCATTCGTTAAACATTTTTTTTTTTCATGAAAGAAATATGTAATTTATTATTATTATCAAAAAAAAAAAAAAAATATGTGATATTATTATCAAAGATAACGGAAAAAAAATTAAAGACCGGAAAAATTTATCTAATTAAAGATTATTTTTCGAGTGGTATTTGTTAAATAACCATGAATAAAATAATTTTAAATTGCTAGACAGCTAAGAAAATAACTCATTGAATAAATATAAATGAAATGATGGAGAATAAAAGTTCCGTTAATTCAATTTAATTTTCTTTTTTTTTTTGTGTCTATTTATCTGGAAATTCATCTCTACCTATATCAAATTCATTGCTACACATACTGAAATTAGAAAATGATTACAAAGAAATAATTGCAATTTGAAAAAAAAATGAGCTAAGTATATCAGATTTCTAAGGCAATATTTTCTTTCTAAATTAATAACATCTCTTATTTAATTTAATAAAAAAAAGTGCCAAATTAAATATTAAAAAAATTCCTTCTTTTTTTTTCAAATAATTACTTTCTGTTTTACCTTTCATAGTTTTTGTGATTGTCGAAATAATGAATAAGTGTAGTAAGTACATAGGTATGAGCTATATCAAATAATGAATTCATCACCAGGACATTTTCCAAATGTCTCAATGAGATGAATTTATTGGGATAATGCTTCTTGATATCCGATCTATGACAATTTGTTAAATTTTCTAATTAATTTTTTACTTACTTATGCTACATCAGTTCCATAGCAGTTAAAAAAAAAAAGAAAATTTGCATATCGATTACTGAGAATAAAACAACAAAAGCTACGAATTCACCGACGAAGATAATTATAGCCATGTATTCCGACCAGAATGTTACCAAATCCATCAACTTTTAGCAAATTACCAAAAGTTCGATCAAACCATAAACCTATAAAGAATTGCTAATCTTGTAAAATTAAAAAATATCAAAAAATAACGAGTCCAAAAATGCAATAATGCTTGATTTTGCATGATATCATAGTCTTTGATCTCCTTAATGAAATGAATTTTTATTGATAATTAGTAATTCATTGATATCTGATTGTTTTTCAAGTTTTATTTGAAGAAATTACCACGAATAACAAAATCTTGTTCATATGGAAAGCAACGTAATTGTTCAGGATAACCGAGTAGTATCAAACGATTGATAATATTGCTATAGAGCAAGATATCATATTCTGGTGATTTGTAAACTAAAAAATATTTATATTGACACAAAATCAAATATAAAATTGAATTAAAATCACACTAAAATGTCTTATCAGATTGTGACATAGAATTCGAGAATTGTTTAGTGATCTAATGAAGAAAAAGTTCCTAAAATCATATATTTCTATTGCAAGATCTAATTCATATCAAATCTAATAATTATCAGCAGATTAAGCTCGATGAAAAAATTTTTAAATCTTTCATTAAAAAAAAAAAGTCAATTTAACAATTCAATATTTAATTTTTAATTTCTACTCATTCAGTTACTTGCTAATGTGAAATCCATATCAAATCCATAATATCGAATTTTTTGAAGATATACTGATCGATTAGCAAAGACTCTAAAATAAAAATGAAAATATTCTACTGGATGAACAATATACTTATTATATTCAAAATTAAATACATTTTTTTTATTTTCCTTTATTTTTTTACCTTCGTTGTCTTGGTGGTATTTCATTTTAGGCATTAAAATTCTAGCACAATCGATAAAATATGCTTAAATAAGTATTGTATTGCTACAATAAAGAATAATACTAACTGATATTCTTGGAACTTGTGCTGTTATCAAGAATTTATCACTTTTTTTGTTATCATTCCATTATCATATAATTATCATCAGCTAATAGTATTACTAAAAATAAACTGAAATGATTACTGCTTGCATGGATCATTCTCAGAAGCCCTCAAATCCATTCCGACTTTAGCGCTCTTAGCAGAAGTTTGCGCAAGATTAGCATTTTTACCATCGTTCAATTTTTCACTTTTCTGCATTCAAATTTTTTTGAAGTTGAATTCTGAAAATCTTTTAAATATATTTTAATTTAAATTTCATAAACTTCAATCTAGACAAAAATTGTCTTTGAAATACAAAGTATTATTTTTTTTTTTAAAGTTTTAAGAGTAGTTTTTGCCCGTTGCCAATTTATTCTACTGATATTCTCGGAAGTTATACTTGATATCTATCTTATAGATATCAAATTTGTCTTTTGCTCTTCTCTCTCAATATTTAAGATAACATTTTTTGAAAAAAAAAAAAAAAAATGAAATTGAGGGTAGTTAGAAATTCCAAACAATAGAATATAACTTCAAGTTTTCAATAAATTAGGATGAATTTTTAAAAAATTGAAAAGTGTCTGCTGTATTTTTATTTTATCCATCGTCTTCAAGCTACTTTTGAAGCTAGACTATTGTAATAATTTTTTATTTCTCTTCAAAACTGTTTTTAAAACATCTGTATCGGAATTTTTTCCAATAATGTAACTCGGCCAAGAAAAATTGCAGCTGTCAAAGCAAAAAGCCAAACCGAAAAATCTTCTAAAAGCAACTAGAAATGAATTCATTCATAAGAAATGATTTTTTTTTTTTTTTAATGAATGACTAAAAATTTGAATATTGCGAGATATGCGGTATTTAAAGCTACAAATTAAAAGAAAAAAAACACTAATATTGAATTATTTCATTTCATTTAAATACTTATTTTATTTTTTTCTGTTATGAAGCAATTTGTTTGTCTGTGATAAGCGCCAGAATAATTTCGAATAAAAATTTGTATGTCTACATATTTTACAAAACAAAATTACACAGGATTATTTTCAAATTCCAATTGTTCAAATACAATTTTGAATATGTCACAAAATATTACAATTAGAAATCACAATTCAAATTACTTCTTCGGATGTATTTTCGGATGATATTAGCAATATATTCAACCTGTGGATGTGTACTCCTTTCTAACAAAATCATCGCTTCACGAAGATGATCACTAAAATATACTTTTTACTGAAATTTGATTCCATTCAATAAAAAGTATGAATAAATTTATTATCATCAATTAGATGAACACTTAAAGATAAGCGAAAATTTCTAGACAAAAGTGAGATTTAAGAGGATTTGCGATTATAAGCTGTGTCTAAATAGCATTTTATTACATTTTAAAGTAGAGAATTAATGGTACAAAATTAGCTTTTAATGAAATATTACATTGCTTATTTAGAGATGTCAAAAATAAGACAAACCAAAAAAGTTCATTTTTTTCTTCTACTTTTGCAGAAGTTTGTTGAAATTTAATCAATGATAGCAATTTAAGAGTGTCCATTTTTTTGCTCGCAATTAATTTCACTTCCCTAACTTTTGCATATATTAAATTTGCCTTCTGTTTTCTTTTTTTTTTTTTCTTCAATATTTTAAGATAACATTAAAAAACTAAAAAAAAAAAAGATACTAACAGTGGCGCTTTTTGTTCTACCACCAATTTGAACACTCCAATAATAGCTCCACGTTTACCTTCCCAATATTCAGGATTTGGTTCAGTTATCTCCATGGAATCAAAAGATTTTGCTGAGTACAAGTAATCACCAATCTTAATAACTATCATAGTATATCTATTGGTAATCTCTATTAATTATTACTAATTTTAGTTGACATAATGTCCAATTTCAGAAATTTTAAATTGCAACAACATCTACCCATTTTTCTTACTGTTATATGCGAATATATCTTGTTTAAATCTTTTTTTCTCTTTTTTTGAAAAAAAAAACAATCAAAAAGATATACTCTATAACAATCATTCGCAATTATAGATAATAGTTGAAAGCTATCATCACAATTCTTCACTTTTCCATACATTTCCCAAGCTAAGTCACTCTTACCATTTTGAATATCTAAAAACGATGTCAAATCGAAATAACCATAAATTACAATTTTCTCTTACAAATATTTTTCAAATTTCAAACTAATCATTGATGTAAACAAAAAGCTCGTAGAAGATGCAAACAATTTCGACCTACTATTTTTCGGTAAATAATTTTAATTTCCTAATTAATTCCAACGTAAAGATAAATTATTAGAGAAAGAATAATAAATACATAAGAAAATTAATATAGTAATATTTGAAGTGAAAAGAAAGGAGGAAAAAACAAACAAGCACGAGCAAGGCTAAGAAAATATGCTGGCTTTAGTCTCAATTCTTCGTCTACAACCAACAATAAGCTAGTTTCAGCTTTTAAGCTATTACCACAGGCTAATAAAGCTTGGCCAATGTTGAAATTAAATGTATCGTCATCGTGAAAATAAGTCTAAAAAGGGATGGAAAATGATAGATATGTTAATCTTTTCTTTTCAATTTGTAAAACATACAAACATACAAAAACATATTACAACTCTTTAAAACTTGAATTCAAATAAGTTTAAGCTAAATTCAAATTGGATTCAAATAAATATACCTTGATTGAGTCCAAATAAACGAGCACTTCGTCAAATTGATTGTTTAAAAAGTAAGAGGACGCCATAGCTTGTCGGCCAGTAATTGTATCTGTTAAAAAAAAAAACTTATAAAATACGCATAAGAACCAATTTAATTATATTTAAAAATGGAAAGACTTGAAAATTTCAAAGTACAATTCATAAAACATACATACCACATTCAGCAGCCGATTTGCCAACTATACTGAAATATTCTTGCGCTTCGTTCAAATGTTTCTTCCGTAATTAGAATTAAACATAATGAGAAAAATGGAAACTTTTTTCTCAAACAAAGTTTGAAATAAAATTTAATTCCTTGAGATGAAATATGAAGCACACCCGGTTGAAATCTAAAAGTTCAAATAAAATATTAGAACTTACAGATTTCTTTTGATAACCAATGATACAGTAAGTAATTGCTTTCAGAAGGTATTCAATTGAATGTTGTGAAATCATATTGTTTACCAGATCAAATGCTTCTTCTATTTCACCTATAAAATTAATCATTAAAAATTTTAAGAAGACTTTATGCTTGATTTGCAAAGGAAAAATTTTGAAAATAGCTGTGAACAAAATTTTACCTCTTCTAATGGATCATTCTCATTTAATTTGTTAATTCAATTTATATATCAATATGTTATGCAATTCGATTTAATAACCTTCGATTTCTACATTAATTTTAACATCGAGCAACAAAATTATAAACGTTAACTCAGATCATATCAGAAAAATTGCAAAAATTATTTATTAATAAAGTAAATTTCTTATTTTGTCTTTTATTTATATCCTTTCCTTTTTCCTATGTTTTCTTTTCTGCAGCCTTTTTCAAATTTTCCTTCTGTTCACAAACATTTCAATCATTTTCACAAATCTCGAACACAGATCCAAACAAAGTGTTATTAAAATTCTAGCCCGAAATGTCTAACGTATAGAAGAAAATTGCATTTAAAGAATAATTTAATTTAATAATTTAAGCAAAATAAAATGTTCTATTCTTTTTACAGAAATATATTATTGCAAAAAATGAGATGATAACAATTAAAATGTATAATCAAAATAAAATTTATTTCTTTTTAAACGGAAAATTATCAAATTCAGTCTTACTTTAGGTAAATATTCATTGATGGTGAATTTAGAATCAAAATTTACCTCTTTTTAAATAGAAAATTATCAAATTCAATCTTGCTTCAGGCAAAGTATCCATTAATGGTGGAAAGACTTGAAGTGCTGCATTTCCGTCATAAAAGACGACCTAAACAAGTGGATGTTTAAGAAAGTTCAAGAAAAATTTTGTTTTAATGATTAAAAGATTTAAAATTTAAGAAAGATTATTAAAAAAAAAAAATTATTCATATAAGTAGCAAACAAACCGTATTGTGGGAAATGAGATCCTTCACATATGTAAAAGTCGAAACTTTCACATTTTTTAACTTCTGAAGTTCTTTTGTTGCAGTTTTGCCATTATATAATTTGTAATGATTGCAGGCTCGCAAATTTATAGCAATCGCACTATCCGGATTTTCGTTCAAGTAAAGTTGTAGCATTTCCTGCATTTTCAAACAATATAAATTTTTTCGACAAATTACAGAAATTATGGTATAGACAAATTATAGAAATTACAGAAAAGGTATAAATAAAGGTATAAGTAGAAAATTAAGATATAAATAAATAATAGTACAAATAAGAAATTAAGGTATAAATAAAATTTGATAATTTTGCACATCCAATATTATTTATAAGGTGTTTCTAGATAAATAAAATGAAAAAGTTGTAAAATAAAATATATGATTTAAAAAAAAAAAAAATACTGTAAGGTACTACAGAATGATAGAGAAAAAATGCACTTAGAATTTTTAAAAAGCTAAACCAATTGATCTATCGCGACACTTTCTATTTTTGAAATCATTTATAAACACTTACTATATACTTTCAGCAAACGCTCTAATATTAGATACTTACGAGTGAAACATCGTAATAATCAAGCTTATAATAGCATAAAGCAAGATAGACATTCAATGCAATAAAATTTCTGAAAATAAAGCTATAATTATTAAGTTATTGCAATATCTATTCGCACATTAGACATTTGAAAACTTTAAAATCAGATAAATTATTGCGAGGCAAATTTAAAAACTAATAAATTTTTAAATTATTAAAACAAAATACTTTTTATTAGCTAGAATTTTTTTGTAGATATCAATAGCTTCCTGATAATGTGAATTTAAATAATGCATTGCAGCAAGTGATAACTGATCTTCAGCAGTACTTTGTAGATTATTACGATTTACTAGCAATTGCTTTTCATCCTTTAGGCGATATGCTAGATGCAATAACAAACGATTTTGAAGTGCACTCTTTGGACCTAAATTAGCAGTGATTAAAGCAAATGCAAGATATGATCTTATCTTTTCTTATCACTTAACAGTAAAGATAAAAGATATTGTTTAAAAAATGACTAAGTATCTTTAACTTGCTGAAACTTTCTCTCATTTTCAGTCACTCATTTCATGTAAAAATCACTTCAATAAGCTACAATAAATTCTTTTTCTTCTTTTTTTTCACATTCTCTATTTCCATTTAGCACAACATTTGTGATAACAAGAATCATTCATTTACTAACTAATCTTTAGGATTTGAACATTTGCATATTATTAGATTTCAATTTAAATTATTCAATTCCAATTACCTTTTTCTGCATATTGTTTAGCTTCTGCACATAAGCCAAGAAAAAAGAAGCAACAAGCAATATAAACATTTACTTCCGGTGGACAATTCTTCCTAATTAGCATTCTTTCGTATATCTAAATTTGCCAAACAAAGATTTCATAGAACAAATTTTTTAAACAAGAAAAGAAGAAACACACACACACACAAAAAAAAAGAATTTGTCTGAATTGAAGGACAAAACTTTAATTAAAACAATTCATATATTTCGATTATTGCGATGCCGGAGAGAAATTAATCAGTGATTACAGACTTCTGCAGAAATCAACTTCTTCACTTCAATATCAACTCTCTTCGTCACTTCAAGCTAACTCTTCCTTCAGTGGCTGTTATATTTTTCAGACTTAGTACTATGCTCAAAATTACTCATAGATTCTGTTTCTATAAATTCTTTTTTATGACATCATCTGACCGATATTGCTTTCCGATATTCGCCAGCGTGAAAAGCACAATGTCCAAACCAAAGTTCTGTCAACTCATCAGTATTCATGTCTTTTGATTGAAACTGCAATTTCTTTTTTTTTAAAGAAAGCTTAATTTTGTAATTGGAATAACTATTTTCAATCATTAATATTATAATATTTGATAATTTCGATCGCACATGTTAAACATCATTTTAAACCATTTTACACCTTCTCCGGAAATGTTTAAATGATAAATTCATTATCATAGAAAACTTTGCAGGCCTGTAATAACGACATAGCACCGGTATAATCGCGCTTTAAGAGGAACTCATCCAATTCTGGGATTTTTTTATCCTTTAATTTCTGCTCCGATTTCTTCCAAGTCGGTCGAAGTCTGGATAACAACTGCAACAAGTAATCATACAGATGGGTGTGAATATTATTCCAATATTGTTATCAACTGGCTAAAGCTTCTGGAACATTAAGCAATATATTGGAGGAATAATTTATTTGAAACTCTCAATTTAATCTTACTACCCTTAAGGCAATAACAACCTGAAATTAGTTTTTTTTAATTAGTTAAATTAATTTTTACAAAATTCTCTTTAGGTATTTAAAAGAGTAAGTATATTTCAAAAACTTGGTACTTACCATGATTCCGCTAAATTTATCAATCTAGCTCACCAGTGAGTACAGAATGGAGGTATATTCAATAATATGAAAATTACTTATAAAACACAAATAGACTAAGGTGAATGACGGTCGTCACGGCAACCTGACACGATGTTTCAGTAGGTGCGACACATCGTTGTTTCTTGGAATAAAAGAGTATTTGAAAGGAGCAGAACATTTCATATGATGCATATCAGGTTCATACTGAACAAGTTCGAATCCCATTTGGATTGAAATGTGTAGTTCCCGGTTTCTTGGGCTTTATTGAATCCTCCCAGAAATCACAATTCAGGTTGGCAACGAAGAATAACCAAAATCAATTTAGTGTGTGTCTAAAGGAAACCCACATTTCCAGCACAATGCTAATTATGTTATGGAAATAAATGTAAAAATCAGGCAGAATATAAAACTGATAGAGTGTAATCGAATTGCGTTCTGACATCCGCAACAGCAGAATCTAATGATATCATGTAGAAATAACAAAAACTGTAAGGAATTTATTGTAATATAAGCTACAACATTTTTACTAAGAGACCAGTTCTTTTACTTCTTTAAGCTGAGAAATATCACTGATATAAGAGCGGGCTGAGCGTCGATGTTTCACCTGCAATGAACTTTTTATTTACATTTGATATTCGCATTAAATCTGATCTAATTGTTGTCATTTTCTAGATAAATTAACACTAAGTAATACCATCTTTCATGCTGATTTACAAAAAAATATTTTAAAAAACGCAAAAATTCCTTACCTGATTTTTGGTAAGTCGCCTTCGCCTTACTTCATCATCCAAAGCATCACGTTGCTTTGCGTGTTCTTTTTCAGCCCATAATTTTTGCATTAAATACGCATCATCGTCAAGATAAGGCACTTCATATTCTTTTTCATTGTGCTCATTTGGAGGAGTAAGATGTTCTGTAGCACGTTTCCTAAACAGAAGAAAAGTTTGTCTGGAATATATTTAGTAATAGCGTAAAAAAGAAAAAAAAGCTGATTGAAAAACTAGAAAAATAATACAAACTGATAAGTAAAGCCTGCAAAAGATGTCACAGTTCGCATAGGTGGATCTGCACCATCTCCTGTTTCAAGACGAAAATAGGCATCGTTACGTTCATGTACCACTGCTTCCAGGTTATGCATGCTCTGGAACAAAAGGTGACTATTTATTTGCTATAAGACTGAAGTGTAAAAAACAACATTTATATATTTTCACTACCGAAGACTTGAAAAAGTTAGCTGTTATAAACTTTTCCAAGAATTCCAAATTTTTTTTTTCGAATCTTTTGGGGTGTTTAAGAGAGAAATCAGAAACTGATTTTTTTGTTCACAAAAAAATGAAAAATTTCATTCACAAAAAGACCTCGGCAACTTTCTCAATTCGATCTGGATTAGGCATACGACGAGCTTTCTGAACACTAGCTTCCAGCATTGTTAGCAACATGTTGCGCTCTTTCAACAGTATATACCTACAACAAAGAGAAATTTAGTAATTTTCTCATAAACTACTAATAATTATAAACTTCTAATAAACTCCTTAGCTCTCTAAAAAGGCAGAAAGTTAATCACAGTTGAACAATGTGACAAAAAATCTGAATTTCTTACCATAATTTATGAAGATCAGAATTTGATTTTAATCTTAATTCATCCTTACTCCATGGACGACCGGGCTTACTCTTCTCATCAAGTTCATCCTTACCATAATTTGCCGGCTCATCAAAGAATTCGCGTAGACCTTCAGGAAGAGCTGTATTTAGCTTTGCAGTGCAAAGAGTTATCACGGGCTTGCTGACGCTGCTGGAAAGAAATTCTCATCAAATTACTGTAGACTTTTCTGTTTATAAATAAGTTAACGGATATGATAAGTCAAATATTAAGAGTTATGGTATCACAAATGAGAATACCAGAATATTACCAAAGTTTGAATTATTTAAGTGATATTAAAAATCGGAGAACAAGCTGGCAAATCTCAGTCTAAAAAGAGATCTCAAAAACAATAATTTAGAGCAAAATCCATTCATTCATTTTCTTATTCCAATAAATACTTACAAGCGATGGCCAAATTGTTTTATAATAAACATTGAGTTCAAATTACTTCCACATTTATCATTTCATCGTTCTTAATGCTTTCCATTTATTACTTCAAACCTCAAAATAACAAATCGAGAAATATCACGCAAATGGAGAGAATCAGAGATCTGCAGGAGTCAGTGCATTGAAATTTATGAAAAATGAATGAGACAGATAAGATTATTTCAAATGAATGAATTTAGTTAGTGGTGACTATCAATCTTTCAACCAATCCGTGACCTCACCTTTTGACCTTTTAGGTCGTTAGCAGTGATCGGTGTGACAGGTGTTAGCTCAAGTTGCCAATGATACGACAAGGTGTGTAGTGAGAGTGAAATGAATTTCTCTTTTTCTGAAGAACTGAGTTGAGGTGTCAAAGTTAGTCTTGAAAATGCTACTGCAGGTAACAACAGGTAGGAGAAGTGCCAGGTAGACGATCACTGTGAATGAGGTATGACAGAACGGTATATGCCAAGCATCTTTCCGGAGTGTGACAAGCTGAAACAGGTTAAGTGTTTTTCTCGTTTTACGTTTCCGTAATTGTAAATAGCAGTGATACATTAGCTTCTTGATTGCATCCCACATGCAGAGTTATTGCATGTTTTCATTAAATTTATTCAAAATTTCAACTGATTAGTTTAGAAGCACTTAGATTAGATTAGATGAATTGATTAACTGAGAATGCACTATTTAACTAAAGGGTTATGTAGTTTAGAATCGAATGTGAGCATAAGTTATCCTATTGATTCGATAGATCAAATTTTTATTTTATATGTAATTCATTCTAGTTTAAGCCAGAATGAAAGTCCTTTACAATTTGACAATACGCTGTGTTTTAATAGATAGCTATATTTAAGCCTACTGTATTTCTTGAAATTCATACATATTACCACAAAAATATATTTTTTATGAAAATCGCGTAAATTCTTTTTAATGATCATTGATTATTTGAAGAATGATAATAGCAGTTGCAATGACAACCAGTATTTCCGGATTTTCTATTAGCAACATGTTTATAGGCATACGACAAGTGTTTTTCTGATTTCTTCGAAAAATTCATTAGTGCTGAAACTTTGACGGTTTCAAATCCCTGCGATCGTTTGCACGAAACATATCGTTATTGCATTGAAAAGGTAATTTCTTTTTTGTTATTTATTAAGGTCTTCAGTGTATGTCAAGTCTTCTCCTTAATACATTGGGAATTAATTGGCAATTGTCATAACAGAATCTTGAAAAGAATAAAATTTATGATATCGACCTCAACGAACTTCGAAAAGACGTGCTGAATACAAAAGACGATTTGTTGAAGGGTTCTCAAACCGCCGATAACTAGCTCAAGTACGCTTTTGTATATTTCTTCTGCGATTTTCTAGACATAATTAAAGGAAAAAAAAAAAAAAAAAAAACTTTATTTATCATTTACATCCATTCTGATTGCTTTTCAAACAAGCTACTGTTTCAGTGTTTCCTTTTAACATTGCCTGTTCCTAGGCTGTTCTGAATTCACAGTTTTCACAGTTGAATTTCTCTATACATTCTAGGTTCCATATGTTCTTTATTGCGACGGAAGTTAGTTTGTGACTAAAATTATTTCAGAATTAAAAGGAAAATTAATGGATCCATCTTTAATGGGATCAATGTCAAATGCCCCAATTTTACAAGAAACAGCAACTGATACGCGTTACAATCATTTGGAACAAACTTTAGAAAATTTTCAGGTCTTTAACTTGTCCATTCAATTTTATTTATTTAGATAAACAATGTTTTACATCTTTTGCTTTCTAGGAGAATGCACGACAAATGGGCGTAATTGCGAGTGATTTCTCAACTCGAAGTCAAGAACCATTAAATCAGAAAATACATACTCTTATATCTGGCCTTCATGTAAGCAACTTTTTTCCTTATACTAGTAAACTTATTAATAATGATTTCGAATTCATGTTCTGAGGTTAATTTTTCGAACCGGGCTTTTGAAAATGATATACAACAGAGTAACACTTGGGTTTTTATGTAGGAGCTGGACCACTTAAAGAACCAATTTATGGATGTGAAAATACCTCTGGAACTGCTTGAATATTTGGATCAAGGAAAAAATCCGCAGCTTTATACAAAAGAGTGTTTAGAAAGGACGTTGAACAAGAATAAAGAGGTGACAAGTTTTGATTTTTCTAAAAAATTGTGTTTGATCTTCAAGCTGAAATTGAAGGCCTATTTTTTTCCTTTATCCAAATTTTATTCTAGATGAACGGTAAAATTGAAATGTATAAGAAGTTTCGCGCAATGCTGCTGAAAGAACTTGGTGAAGAAATGCCAAATGATATGGTTTTGTATCGTAATTTACGAGACAGAAAAGATGCCTCACCACAACATGAAAATTGTAATGAGGATGCTAGTGATTGATTTTCAAATCTAAATCCCGTACTGACTTTGCTGTATTAACTTCTTTTGATTACAATTTGGACAAGAAGATATTCTTTCCATTGTCTTTATTATGAAGGAATTAGAGTAGACAAAAGGAATTTTGTATCCAGTTTCTTCAAAAAGTTTTTTCAATTCGATATTCTTTATGCTGATTTATATTCCTTGTAAGATCTTGTATTTTTATGAGTTTTTATTAAACTCGGGTTTCATGAAATAGCTTATAAGCTAGCTTAAATAAGTTCTCCCTACGTTTAATTATCTTCATCTTGTTTTAAAACCAGCTCTGTCTTTTAAAGAAATAGTAACGCTAGTTGTGTTGTATTACAGTTCATGGCGCACTACTCTTTTCATTATTTCTTGAATTTTAGCCTTTTTTTTTTCAAGATTTCAGAGTTTTTTTACGGGTTATTTGCTCCTCCAATTTGTCTGGTTAAAGTGGTGTTAGACCGTTGTTGTCCTGCCCAATTTCAAATAAATATTCCATTGCAACTGTATCGTTTTGCTTCGAAGTATCAGTTTTGCTGGAAGTTTTACCTCAGGGAAGTAATTATTTTTGAAGGAAAGGTCCAATTCGGCAAGTCACGCGTTCCATTTGCTTCTGATAAATTGTTCATTTGAAGGTTCCGAATGTTTATTCACTGCACTTCTTTATCAAGGCTGTAGAGAGAATTCACCATGTCAGTTTTCTTACGTGGTATGCAACCACAGAATGGCTTTACTGCCAAAACGATAAAGTTTGTGAAACATTGCAAAGGGCTAGAAATTGGATGGACTCATAATAAACTTAGAAGTCAAGGTGTCGAAGAATTTGTGGAGGAGTATTTGCCACTGATAAGGTTTGTTACTATGTTAATCAAATTTTGTCACTATGTGGGAAATTGAAAGAAGTTTTTTCAATTGGACGTCTGACGTAGTGGCAACCGGTCATCTTTTTGGCTCGTAACTCATATGGTCCCAATTTTAGGCCATAATGTACCACGAAACATTTGGGTTGTTAAGCATCTAAATCTTTAACGACCTTTTTGTAAGAATAATAAATAGTTACGAGATTTGTTTCTAGTGATTTCTTTATAAAATCTTAGCAATTTTTATAAAATTTTGTTAATTTTGCAGATCTTCGAATGAACTTTTTTCTTTTTTACAGAGAAAATAATCCACACATTAGCATAAGATTATCTCGAACTCATATTAATTGCGATCCATTTGTAATTGGGATGTAAGTTTTTTATTTAAATTCTGTCGTGTTCATGTTGTATTCAGATTTCTTCTTATTATTGTTATACATCTTCCTCTACATGATTTTAAACAAAGAGAGTGGTTGAAAAAATTTTTTAAATTTGGGAATTTTTTTATAATTATACAAACAAATTAACATTCAGATATGAACATTGTCGTATGAGGAAACGGCGTTGCGACTGGAAGACTAAGCATCAAGTGTTATCATTTGTAGAAGAAATGGCTATTGGTGGAGATTATGTTAAAGGTTAGTGTTGAAGACTTAAATTTAATTGAAAATGCATTTTTGGTTTCCCAAATTTACTCCTTTTCCAACATTTCAAATTTAGTTTTGTTCCCAGTCGATTAATTGAATTTTCAGGTCGGAAACGAGGAGTGAAAACTATACTGCCACGTGGTTTACAATTGTGGAATACGGAAACCATTGGCCATGATGTATTTAAAGTTTATAGTAAATGGAAAGGAGATCCTCCGGATCCTATGGAAATAACTAGTTCTTCTCATCCATATCTTACGCATAGAAAGCATGCTTAGAAGCGGTTGTTTTCGTAATTGAATCGAGAGCTCCTGAAACTATTCATTCGTATTCAAATAAACAATCAAATTCATCTAAAAAAAGAAAAAAAGAGAACAAAAGATATTTAGATTCCAAAGAATTTTTTGCTCTATTATGTATGTATGCAAATATTCACTTCTTAATTACATCATTTATAAGTTTTGCTAATGTCAGTTTCTTATCATTCATCGATTTTATCGGTAGAATTTAGTGCAGCATAAAAATAAAGTATGAACGTTTTGAATTTAATAGGCATTGCAATCGGTGTTAAAGTAAGCTTTCCAGAACTAAAATTTTTTTGTTATAGATCGTGCTGTCTTAAAATTAATGTATAGTGCTAAAGAAATATTAGTGCCACTGACTACCGTTAGCTTATTGCAATTTAAAATGCGAAAAATAAATGGAAATAAAGATTCATTTTTCATGTCTTGTTTCTAATCTACACCTTCACTTTATATGTAAATGTATCTTTATTGTAGTACGCTTCTCTTACTGATATGAAACATCAATAGGATGATTTACGTAATAGTAAATGGCTACTAAAGTATCTGAAAGGCAAAAAAGGCAGTGAAAATAGGTTTTCTCCAGTGATTGTTCCTACATCATCAATTTTAATTAGTTAACAGATCAAAAAAGTCTTGGGTGTTATCTGTGTTTCAGTTAGGTTATTTTCTGCATTTCACTGTTATTTATGGACAAAGTCGAGGAATTGAAGCCTGAAGTTGAAGAGGTGCTGGTTTTTTTTTTTTCTTTTTTTTGGCGTTGCAGGAACTGTAAGCTTGCAAGCAGCTTTTTAAATAGTGGATTCTTTTCTTCACTGCATTCCTTCTAGCTAAAAAATGTTACAAAAATTTTTTTCAATAGACAAATTTTTTATGATAATGCATATCGAATTTCAAAAATTAGAGTGTCGACAGAAACACCAATATTTTATAAATATTTTAAAGTGATTTCATGCTAGTAATTTCTAATCTTCTGCCTGCTATGTGAAGTATTGTGCTTCAAAATGGATGTTATTAAATATGGATATTATCTGGACTCTTTACTACACGACCGTATCGACATATCAGGCTTATAATGTAAATGAAATTCTTGGTCTGCTTTTGAATTGGTCATTTTATTAACAAATTTCTTACTGTTGTATTGCAGATTTCATGTGATGAAGTAGAAAATCGCGATAATGTAGGTGAAGGAAGTACATCAGTTTCACAGAATGAACATGATGAAATTATTGCCACAGAGAAAGTTCTCAATGCAATGTTATTCTACCGTCGATATGGAATTACCAGGATTCAAATGAGTATCTCCTCATACCAGTAGGTTTTCCAATTATGTTAAACTGTTTTAATTGACATTTTGCGATCTTTCATAGTCTGTTGATAATTTATTAGATCCAATCCTTTTTCCTGATTGTTGAATAGGCAAAATATTGTTACTCTCAGAGAAAACACCATAGCAAAACGCTTTATTTTGATTAGGTTTGGTTTTATTTTTGGTATAAATTACCATGAGCTTACTAATCATTAGAATAAAGGATTCATTAAAATCAGCTATTTTTTTTTTTCTTAAACTGACAGCAAGCAGAATTATCTCAGTGATAAAAAAAAATAAATTTTTGTCAACATATTATTTGTTAGATCTTTATTTTTATAGTTCGTCTTAGTCTTTCGTTTTGGTTTCTAATTGTATTTTTTCTCCAGAAAACTCTCAAAAGACCAACAGGCGGCGCTTTCTCCAGCATATCAGTATCATCTTGTAAAAATGAAAGAATGCATTATTCACAATCAAAAGTAGAGATTTGTGAATTCTATAACTACTCTTAATGTTGTGAAGCAATTATCTTGGATAAGACATTTTTCCACTTTAAATTGATTTTTCAGTTTTGTCTTTTCTGAATTGTTGCTGAATGATGTCATCATATTTAACATAAGTTTCCGAAAATCTCGCTTAATTATCAACTGATTTTTATTATGTTATGCTTAAGGATGATTACTTATAGGGTGTTGAGGGAAATAATAGAATGCGGAATAAGTATGTTTGGAGATGATTTTGCTCTACGTGCTGCTGCTCAAATGACGCAATTGAGGCCATCCAGTGATCATTACATGTCGAAAGTGAGAAGTACTCTGAAACAAATTATGAGGGATTGGAGTAGTGAAGGTATGATTAATATTTTTTCTTCACACTGTTTTTTTTCTTAAAAATATACTTATTGCTTTCATAAACCGTTGTATAGGAAATTATAGTCTAAATAGTGCGTATATACACCATTTCAATCTTCAACTGATTTAAAGAACTAACAGTTAGTTGCTACCTTAAATTATTGGTGATAATTGATAAGTAACTAATAATTAGTGTAAACTATGAACCTTTTTCATGAAGCTTTTGCTCGTTTCTTAGATATCACTTTTGATATGTTCAGAGGTAATGATTACTTTGAATTGAATTTACAGCTCACTGCATTGTAACACTGTAAAAAACGACAAACTTATTTCTGTTTAAGGTAAAATCGAGCGGGAAAGTTGTTACAGCGATACGGTACAAATTCTACGTCAACTTTTTCCGGACAAAGAAAATCGTTCAGCCGTCGAAGTTCTGGTTCCGGGCGCTGGGCTGGGACGATTAGTTTGGGAGCTTGTTGCAGAAGGATTCTCTGTCCAAGGAAATGAATTTTCGATTCTAATGTTGCTTACGTCAAATTTTATCCTGAATAAGTGCAAACAGGTATTTTCATTTTATCCAATTTTTTTTTCTTTATTTTTATATTTTTTTTGTTAGGATATGTTTTGATTAGTTCTAAAATTTACTACCGATAACTTATATCCTAGCTGAAATGCACATTTTGGTATTTTGAATTGTCTGTCTTTTAATTTGCTTTCGAATTATCTTTTCAAGTTTTGCCGAATTTTATTTTCCAGGCAAATGAATTTAAGATTTATCCTTTCGTGCTGGATACATGCAATAATTGGTCATACGCAGATCAGTTAAGATCAATAAGCTTCCCAGATGTGTGTCCTGTTATGCCTGACGATGTAAGTTATTATATGTTTCTAGTTTTATTTTATGTTTTTTATTTATTTATTTATTTTTTTTTTTCTAGTTTTATTTATTTTATAATCTTATCTTATTTAGTAATCTCTGAGCTGCAAACTCCGATTCTTTTCTTTCATTTCACTTTTACAAATGAAAAAAAGACATTTGAGCTTCTTTCTTGCAAATGCTTATGATTTACTTCAATATTTAACTCTTTTTTTGCTAGAGACCAAATAAATTTTCAATGTGTGCTGGTGATTTCCTGGAAGCAATGAAAAATGATAAAGAGCGATGGGATGTTGTTGTAACAGTCTTTTTTATCGATACTGCAATCAATGTGCTCGATTATATTGATACAATTCATAAGTAACATGCTTTTTCACTCCTATTCAAATTATTATGTCTGCTGAGAAATGGTAATTTCTTTCTAATGTATTGCTGAATTTTTGAAGGATATTGAAAAAAGGTGGTCTGTGGATCAATTTTGGACCGCTTACTTTTCATTTTGCTGATGGAGAAGCTGAGGGTGCTATCGAACTACCATATGATTCAATTATTCAGTATATTGCCAAGAAAAACTTTAGGTAATGGTCTAATTCAGTTTTTGCAAATATTCAAATTTTGTTGATTGAAAAGAAAGATTTATAACTGAGTGCTTCCAGGAAATAAAATTTTTAATTTTCAGGTTTGAGCGCGATGAACGGGCTGACAGATCAAATCCTGCATTATATGCTTGCAATAAGAAATCGATGTTACATTATCAATATAATTGTGGATTCTTTGTATGCACGAAATTATAGCTTCTATGAGAATTTGAAATGAAGCCATGAAAATTTAAATTTGAACTACTTTTTGGGTTTACATCCAACGCAATAATAAGAAGTGATGTAAATTGTTTTATTTTAATGAATAAGACTAACTAATAGTACGTCATAAAGTTTCATAAAACTTCCATAAAAGCTAGTTTTATAAAATTAGGTATCGCCGCTAACAATTTCTGCCACAGTTATACTAACTGGTATTCATTATTTCTACTTTCTTTCTGAAATGTTTCCTGTTGGATCTTCGGCATAGAGAAAGAATGGACAGCAATTCTTTTGTCCTAAAATAAATTCCTTACAATTATAACTTCTTTTTTTTGCTAATTATTACAATGAATGTTTTTTATATTGAATAAATTTTTGGGAGATTTTTTCTGTCATTACGAATAAGTCGCTTTCTTATAAATTCTTATATTCTAGATCTGCAATTAAATAGAATAGTGGAAGTCGAGATTACGTATGTTTTTCATTTGCTATTTCATTAACGCTTGTTGCAGTTTAATCATTTCATCACTGTTATTTTTTTTATCATCATATTCATCACTGAATATATTTCAGTATGGAAAGATTTTGCTTCGATCAAGAGATATGTTCAATATTTAAAACAATTCTTTGAATTTTTTTTATTGCCTTGTCAATGAATACTATCTACTCAATTAGTGAACTTCCATATAAGGAATCTAATGTTCGTTTTAATGTTTTCAGCCTTTTATACTTTGATTTTTATTTTTCCTATAAATCATTAGATGAAATACAATTGTGCAGCCTACATCCTAAGTTTTCTTTTCGAAAATAATAGTTCAAAGATAGCTGTACAAGTCATTCATATTAATAGTCTGTAACTGGAAATTTTCATAAGATCACATTTTGAATGATTTCTCATCCTCAGTTTATGGTTGCGAAGTGGCGTATTTTTCTTAAATAGGTTCGAAATGCATTAACCGGATACTTTAATATGAAACTCAGTAATAAAAATATTTTCTCAATGAGGAATAAGAAGTGAAGTAAAATGCAAAAAAAAAAAATTCAGAAATTATATCGTTTCGGAAACTTTTTCGATGATCATTTAGGCCAAAGTTACTTAAGTTTTATACTTTTAGGCAACTGTACTTGACAATGATTTTACCGAGAAATATATGTGCATTGGATCGTAAGTTTCGAAGTATTTCACAGGACTTTTGAAATCTCATTTTGCAAACTCCCAAATTCTGAAACTACTGTATATGGTATAGTCTGCGTTGTTGGGCATTGTATTGAGGAATTTCTCTGTAGCATTTATTAAATAATAAAGATTCTATATTTATTCTCTGATTATAGACCTGGATCCGTGTCTGTTGTGGAAAGCGAAAAATATTCAGCAATCCCACGAAATACCAGAACAAATCGACACAGTGCTCATATAATACGTTGGCAACGTCTTAACGATACCTCTGGTAGTCATATCATTTGCGTGGTAACTATTCGCAAAATCTTGAAGTATTTATGTTGAACCTTTTCTAATATCTTTTCCATTTATGAAATTGGAAATAATTTTTCTTCCAGTATGTTCACTTTTTCAGTCTACTCAATTTTTCGATATCTTTACTGTGAACTCTGATTGCTTGAATCTACTAGATTCTACTTGTGCTCATCCTTTCAATTTAACAGACGTTGATTGGTGTCCATGTGATACTAATTCTCTGGTATGTCTTCTTTCAGAAGAAATTTGTCTCTTTATTTGTTCTGGATGTCTCTTTTTAAAACTCATATATAGATTTTATCTGAAGTTTCTTATTTTTAACTGATGTATATTTCAGTTATCATGTTCAGTTGACGATGCAGTGAAATGTTGGGATTTACGAGATCTACGATGTCCTTGTTTGCAAATACAAACTATTGGTGGAGCAGAGCAGGCGAAATGGGCTCCATTATCAGTTAATTCACTGTGTACTTCTCACGGTACTGATCTACGGCTATGGGATAAACGAGTAAGTTAAAAGACTGAATATGTTAACGGTGAATGTAAACTCAATCTGTATGAATTGTATGCTTTGGCTACAAACAGATCATAGCCTTTACAGTACTCTGCTAGATATGTTAATTTTGTTAGAGTTGAAAATAAAAGATCTATTTACTTTTATTTATTTCATGAAACAAAATAGTTTGCAGCATAATGAATTAACATATAAAGAATAGTAATATTATTTTAGTAGTCATCTTTATTCTTAGTCACTGATTTTTTCAATAGTTTGATTTTAAGGAAAAACGGAATGAAATATTGCTAAGGAATAATGTAGAAAAAAATTCTACCAATTAGAGAAAACCTAACTTGTTTTTATAGAATATAAGTTTACCTGTGCAAACTGTCTCAGCTCATATGCAAAAAATTTCTTGTGTTATGTGGCATCCGACAACCGCAACATGTTTTTTAACCGCTGGCCTGGACGGATATATTAAAGTAATTTTTTTTATTATTTTATGTGATCTTTGTTCAAAAGGAAATCTGTGAGTCACTGAGTCGTTTGTTTTTTTTTTTTGTCTTCATTAGCAGAAAATAGAATGATCTAATGCTGATAGTATTGGGCTGGAGAAACGATATTTAGTTTAGAATTCAAGACGCTTTAATTTTCGTCATTATAATTGAGATGTGGAATAGTAGTGATCTGACCAAGCCGCGACACTCATTGGGAATGCTACCGGCTCCAATTTGGAAAATCAAGTTTTCGGTAAGCAGGATTGAATCCGTTGAAAGATATCTACAAAATCAAATTAAATTGAAAGAACAGCTTTAGATATATACAAGGCGTGAATAATTCTGTTTCTTAATTTTTCTATATTCATTATATTCGTCTCACAAATATATTTGAATTAATTTGAATGTTTTGCATATCTAGAGTGATGGAAATGAGTTCGCATCAATACCGCTGCCAATGTATGGGCAATTAGAGGAAAGCTGTGCATTAAGCTTATGGAAGACCAGCACACTTGAGATCGTTCAAGTAATTGGAGTTAGTATTAAAACTTTTCCAAAATATTTTCTGTAGTTACCTAGTTTTTTTTTTTTTTTCTTTATTTATTACTGAGTCCATTTCTGGTCAATTAATGTAGGATATAAAAGAAGTTTAAGAAGTTTTCATAATTTTCAGTGTGAAGATGATGTTCTACTTGACCTGTGTTGGCAGAAATTTCACATGCAGAGGCAAACTTATAGTTGCTTATATTCAGCATCAAGATATGGCAAATTACGAAAATACAATTTGCCACTGTTTAAAGATCTAGTAATTATTGAAAATTTCGTTTTTCTTAGATATTTCTACATTAATGAGAAATCGGGAAATGAGTAGCAGAACCGTACGTTATTCATAATTTATTACAGTCTGAAGAAGTAGTAGAAAAAAGTTGCTGTTCAAGAGTTGGCATAAATACCGAAAATGCGTTTGTTTTTGATGAAGAAATAGAAGAATCGAAAACAAAAATACGAACTCCGTTAACAAATACTGGTATGTTATATACTATTTCTGGTAAAAGTATATTTGTCGTTCTCATTATTTATTAAGCATTCAATCACAAACTCATCGTTTGTGTTTAAAGTGTCAGAAAATGAATCTTTGAGTTATTTTAGTTTTTACACAATTACACGAACTTTTTTGCATTGAGAAACTGAGACATTTTGGAAAATATCTGATGTTTGGCAATGAAATTTATTTTGTAGGCAGCACCAGTAAACTGAATAAACGATCATTAATGATGAATAAGATAGAAATTATCGAAAATGGACTATGTTTAACGGTGCCTAGACAAGTAGATGTTCTAATAGCTGAATTGGTTCCTTTGAGATGTATGTGCACTGAAGATTTAACCGTTCAACAAGTAAGTTGCAGGTTTTTTTTCGGAATCAGCTTAAAACTTTTCATGATATAATATTTAATTCTTACTGTTAGCAGAAATGGTTTATTGGATATCGATTTATCTTTTTCTTCCCAGTTTAGCTGGACGACAAGCACAGTTTAATAACGTGGAAAAAAAATGCAGATTTAAAATTTCAAATTAAAGCTGCCTTGTCGTTGGAGGAGAGAATGGAAGGATTCACACATGTAATTATCCAGATTATTAATGAAGGAAGTTATTTGTCATTTAATGAAATGGAAACTATTGTTAAGGTGAATTCAGTTTTTTTATGAAAATATGAGAAGTTTTGTGGGTTGATTCTTGAACAGTTGATCGATTTTGTGACATATTCATTATTTCAAAGAATAAAATATTTGAAGCTTCATCAAACATCCTAAATATTGTTCTGTCTGTATCAAGTGCGAGAGCGTAAAAAAAAAAAAAAAAAAAAAAACGAGTTTATTCAATCTGACTTCATGTTTTCCAAATTAATCATTCAAAAATTCACTTTGTGAGAAACACAGTATTGTTTTTCAGAAATTATCGGATGAAACGTCAATCATGGATATGTCTTTGGAGAAGGAACCAATTTTACCTATTGTCTTACATAATTTGCTTAAAATAGTAGCTTCGATGGAGGTATGCTTTTTTTCTGTTGAATAAAAATCATTATGGATACTTCGTTGTTACATTAGTACTAAAAAATTTAATTTGGGAAAAGTGGAATGAAAGACGTGAAAAATATATGAATCTTTAAAATCATATTCCTTTATTTAATTAATTATATATAACTTACATTTTTAAGACTCTTACTCCTCAGTCGCTTGATATCCCACAACGCCCAGAAAATGTTGTCCAATTTTGTGACAGTGCTTCAAGTGAAAATGGCTCACATAGTGTCACGTTTGGAACCATTTCCTCTCCTCTACCAAAAAGGTAAATCTTAAGAAATAATTATGTTATTCCATGAGTCACTCAATTTATTAATCTTTTAAATTTGTCACTCAAACTTATCAATTTTGTTAATGTTTGCATTATTTTACATCATTTTCAAATATTAATATACAGCGAGAAAAGAAAAATCCTCATTTAGCTCAGAAGCTATGCCAGTTTTGTAAAATTCAGTTCACTTTTCAGTACGCTATCATCACCATTACTTTCAACTTCATATGATCGTTGGATACCATCTCCTCGCACATGTGGAGCACGTTTTAATGGCTCAGGTTTGCTCTTTCTTTTTCGAAGAATATAAGTTTTTCAGTTACTCATGGAAGTTGTATTTTTAGAAGTCCAGCTTTGATAAAAACAAATGCTTTGCTAGTGATAGTTATGAATATCATTTTGAAGGATTTCTGGTTATCTTTGGGCGAAATGAGCTAGCGATGCGACGTATGCAGTCGAGTAAAAGTTCCTTTCAGGATGAATCACTCTGGCTTTCTGCAGAACGGATAACGCAGACTTTAAAAGGCACTTCTTCGAAGGTTCTTTTATTTTCGAAATTTTTTCCCTGACCTTTTCATTTCATGCATCATTTGAAATCACTTTAGAAAGGTGCGCTCAGTTTTCTGGATGATGGACATGAAGTTGATGATGGACATATTAGCAGTACGCCTCGTTCACTCGATGATTACAAACATGAGTTGCTTCTGTGTTAGTTACTGTTTTTCATATATTTGTATTAAACTGTGTGGAATTATTTCGAACTGTGTTTTAAATATGTAAGGGAATAAAAGACTTACGTAGTATAGGATAGTTATAAAATTTGTATACATTTATAGTAAAGAGTCTATCAGTTTCTCTAATTCATATTTAGACTTGTAAAATCTTCTAATTTTTCGGATTTAAATTCAAATTTACTTGACTCTTGAATAATACATCATGTTAATTTTGAAAGTAAATTGCAGCTCTGGACGATATGCATACTCATTTGCAAAATTTTCATGGTAACGAGAAATGTAATTCACCATTGTGCCAGTCGATCTCGAGTACTCCGTTTTTCTCCCGTAACATGGCTTTCTTTCATCAAAAATTTGATATTGCAAACAGTGGAACATCTTCACTACTAGAGATGCGTACAAGTAATGTATGTTAAAGTGTGTTTGTTAATAATGAGGTATTCCAATAAGATGGAACAAGTTATAAATCAAGAAATCACCAAGATAGAGCTGTTATTTGCAGTCATTGGCAGTGTTGAGTAATATATGTAACAGTACGCAAAATATTCGTTCATTTCGTCGTCGAGGTAATTCAGGGACAAATGTTCTTGCTGACGGTAACTTTTATTAGTATATTATTTTTGAAATTTTTTTGAATTTATATGTTAAATTGACGATTTTGTTATATGTGCTTATCTTTGTTTTTTTTTTTTGTACTTACTGTTGTTTAATTTTATTTTTAATTTAATATTTTTCTTGTTCCAGATCATCATAATCTGGATGGCTGTGCTGCAGTATCTGTGGTTGTTATTTATGATGTATCAGTGCTCATGTCAGTTAGCAAAGATCTTGCTCGTAAATATCGGTTTGTTCTTTTGTTTTTCAATCATTTTATTGCGTTAATTAAATAATAATTTTGAAATTTCTTTAACTTGACTACCCCTATTCCTATTACTTCGAGGAAGCTTACATAAAATTACTTTAGGTTTACATAAGAATGTTTTAGCAATGGCTAGTGAATATATTTAGGCTTATTGGTGCTAATGCATTGGAATTATGTTTATGGAATCGGAAAGTAGTGGAGGAAGTAGGACGCAAAGATTTGGAAAACATATGGCAAATCGTTGAGCTATGCATACGAATGGGAAAATCAAGGTTAAATTTGTCTAACCTTGGTTTTTTATTATTATTATTATTATATCGACCTTAATGACCTTATTGAAACAGACCTTAATAAAATTTTGTAACTTTTTTATTCTCAATATTTTAAGAAGACTTGCATCTTATGGGGATATTTCTAAAGGTAACCATGTTTTCTGCTTTAAAGTTTCATAAGTTCTTATCTCAAAATTTCTCGAAGTTTGTAACTAACTTTACTTTCTGTCGTGGAGTTTCCATCTGTTTCTTTTTATAAATCCAGTTTCTAACTTTTAAACTTTTTTTTATTTCATTTTCATTTCTCTTTACCTTCCTATTTTTTAGCATCCAAACGAGCTTTTTTTTTCACTTCTACACGAAAAAGATTCCACAGTTTATAGTTTTTTATTTCTACTTTAAAAATACTCGAAATCTACGTAAAGCGAATAATAGTTCTATATTCTTGGGATACATTTCCTTTTGATTGTGCCAGCATCTTAGATTTGACCGAGGTAGGCCTGAGACAAACAATCAGGCCAATGTGAATGATAGAAACAATACAGTTTAGATCTGTTCATACATATTGTTATTGAAAAATGATCGATATTGTTTCAGATACCATCTTAAGTTAACAAAATAATTTCAGTTGGCGTAAACGTTATCCTCTTGATCAGTGCATAACAATGACTAACATGTTAGATTTCGATTCATCGGAGGAAAATATATCTGAAGAAGACAGTATGGCTGTAGCAGTGCATCCGTTCGGGCGTTCATTAATTAATAGTTTGTAAATTTTTCTCCATATCTTTTACATTCTCTATTCAAAACTGAGATTTGGAATGCCGTAAAAAAACCTTTTGTTTTTTGTTGTAATTTAAACATATTTTGGATGATTGTTCCAGCCTTGATATTTCAGATTGGATTACTTTGCGCGTATAAATGATTATCAAACTGCTGCAGTGATAATTTGCGTCTTAGGTTTGCGATACAAACGGTGTTTTGAAATAGATAGTAGTATGGAGTCATCAACTACTCCGAAGTATGCTGCCCACCATGAACATTCACTTAGTACTTATGACATAAGTCCTGTAAGTTCAAAATACATTTTTTTTGTTAGAGTCTGTAGTGACAATAAGCTGAAAAATATGAAATTAGCATAGTGATATATCTATCTGAAGACATAAAGTCTTAAAAATTTATGGTTTTACAAAATATGCAGAAGTCTGGTGTTATTTGGCAGCCATAGCACTGTTTTTCTAATAGTTTAATAAAGTTTCTTGAAAATAGTTCATAGTCAAAAATTGACACTGTAATAGCATTGTTATGGTTCTGCGTATTGCCTGATAGATTGGTCTATAAGAAATGACAGTTTTACATTTCTACAAGAAATGACGAAATAATTAGAAAAACAGTCCTATGACTTATCTTTTATAGGATCAGGATATAAAGAAGAAAGCATCAGAAAGTCATGAAACTGATAATACTATATTATTATTGAACAAAATGTAGGAGTTTTCAGTTACTAAACTTGGGGTTTTTCCTTTTCTGGTCTGGTCATCTTTTGATTTTTATTTCATAATTTTTATTGTTTTTTTTTTTTTATTGATTTTCTGTTTGTGATTGGTTTTTTTTCTTTTTTCCATCACGCTATGTCAATTTCGAGAACTTTTGAAATCAAAAGCTGTTGCTAGTAAGCTTTTTTAGCTGCTCTAACATTCTCTCATCACTAAGAATTAATCATCTGAATTTCGCTATTTTAAAATAAATTTTGCAATTGCAGGATAGTTCGGTATGCAGCACAATCAATGCGAATGCTAAATTAGATTCAAACTTTCGAATCATGCAACAAGAAAACGAAAAGTAATTTGCTGTAATTTTTCTAGATAAGAACAGTAGCTTGTCGAAGTTGCAAATGTTTGCTAAACTAGTTTTCAAGCTGGTTGTAAAGGTTGAAGATAGTTTAATATTAATATTAGTTTAATATTGTAAAAGAAATCATAGAATTTGGAGGAAAACACTGTCCTGAATTTTATTTTTGGCAAATTCTTTTCTGTCACTCAGTATATTTCCGAGATTTCCAATATTTTCTACATTATTTTTGTTCCTTTTGCATATATATTCCCATTTTAGACTACATATAAGAGAACAACCATCATTAACAACTCCCGTATCAAAAGCTGCGAAGAAATTTCCTTCTTTATTTCAGAATGCCCTAATTGGTCATCGATCGATGCAGAACCTCAAAAGTTCGTTCATTGTTTTTCTTCCAACCTAATTTAATTCTATTGATTATGAAGTTAGGCGTTTCATGATGTGCAGACAATAAAGATTAACAAAACAAAGAAAATTGAGCTTGTTTATTTTCAAATAAGATAAGATCTCCACTTTAATCTGTGAAGACTGATTTTATTTTGATTCTAATTTTCAGAACAAAACAGAAAGATATCATCTAGTCATCGAATATCACATAAATCAGTGATGTCGGAAACTGTAGAACAGTCTGAACAGGATTCTGTTTCAAGTGCAACTAAAAATAAATTTCATTTATACAGGTTTGTGCCAACGTGGAATTTTTTTTAAAGTTCTGTTTATTTTAAGTCATCCATAAATGAAGTGTTTTAGTGAAAATGTTTTTTAAAATCGAGCCTGAAGATTGATCTATATTTTCTTTATGCTTTGTACTATTTAACAAAAAGAATGGTTGTTATAATTATGACAATGCCGAGCTTTCTTTCTATTAAACATTTGAAACATTTTCTTATTTACAATACCTGATTCTCACAATGCAAATGTTTCCTATAAAAGTATGAAATATTTCGTTCTTCGAATGCTACATTCATGTTTATTTTTCTCTTTGATTTTTTTACTGCTAGAAATTTGGAAGTGAGAACTAATTAATGTCACTTTCAGTCTCTTAGATCCTCTTTCCAATGATCAATTCGATGAAGTACGCCATCAGTACGCTAGTTTACTGTTTAGGTGGAGGATGTTTTCAAAAGCTGCTGAAGTTATGAAATATAGTGAGACTGCACCTTATTCAGCGCCACTACAGGGTAAATTTCTGAATTACTAGTAGGATATGACAGTGATAAAGCTGGTAGCATAAAATGTTAATAGAAGAAATTTACAAAATTTGAAAGGCTTCAGAAATAAAATTTTCTGTAAACTATAACTTAATAAGTAACACTCAATTCTCTTTCTTCTCATCAACTCACTATTGCACTATAAGATTGCAAAATAAACTAAGAATATAGCTAATGGAAATCACATCACGATTACTATAGAGTTTGATATACTTTAATATATCTTTCATACTAATTCTTAGATTTTTTTTATTCCTCTCGAGAATGAAAATAAAGTTCCATATTTTAGTTCAAAGCTCATGTCCTCAATGTAATAACAAATTGCTGCGTTTCAAATGTGATAAATGTCACATCCACTGGAAATTCCGTTGCTCCTTATGTCAACTTCCTGTACTCGGTAATTTTTCATGGTATGATTTCAAGAGATTGGAAGGACAAAAAAAAGAAAAAAAAAAAACAAATATGCATAGTTTTTATGAGTATTTATCTTTTTATATATTTTGCGAATATTTGCTTAAAAGCAAAAATAGTAAAGCATTCGAAAAGTTTGCTTTTCTTTGCATGTAGCTCCAGTTCATTTTCTTATTACGATTCATTGCTTTTTACTAAACGCATATTTCGGTGGTTGATTTCATGTTTTCCAGGTATGCTAACAGTATGTGCCTTATGTGGTCACGGTGGACATAGTGAACATATGGTTGTTTGGTTCAAAGAGAATAATCACTGTGCATACGGTTGCGGATGCGATTGTAAATTAGCCTGTTTTTAAAAGAACACTTTAAGCTGATCAATTATGATTTTAAAATTGGGATTTCACAATACTGATATTTTATCATATGTGTACTGTTAAATGTGTCCGGAATGATAATCAAAATATCCATTTCCAGTTGCATGAAATTTGCATAAAAATTTTATGTAAATTGTTGATTAATTCCTTCAAAATAAAAATAACTGATAGATATTTCTTTCTTCACTGTTAATATGTTTGCTAAAGAGTGGTGGTAGAGTATAAATATATAAATGGATGCAGCATCCACAACCTCTGCTATTGATGGTGAGTAAAGAATGGAATAAAATATATTTAATTCACATGGTTACTTGAATTGAATTAGTCGAATCAAACTATACTAATTAAAATTCATAAAAATTAAGCCAATTTTCAATTGAACTTGCTAATACTCTCATTAATCTATGAAAAGAGCCATCAGATGCAACTAATGAATCATCATTTGAAATTTACGTGAAGCCAAACATGGCTGTCGGAGTGGTTTTATCACAAACAACGCCACCAAGAATAATGCAACTTCTACCATGCTCAGCAATGCTTGGCAAACTGTTCGTTAATGATACAATTATCGCAGTCGATAATAAAGTTCGAGTTTAAATATTAATTTATTAGAGGAGATATTCTTCTCTTCTTGCGAATTGTTCTTTTACTGAGTTACATCAATACAAGTGAGATGTATCAAAAAAAGAAAACTTAACTTTAAAGAATTTCGAATATTTCTAACAAAAGTATAAATCATTACAGCCAATAAAGAATACACCGATGTTTATCGAAGCAATACGTGCAGCAACTGGACGAAAAATAAAAATTAAATACAAAAGAAAAGAATGGTATTCCAGTCATATGAAAATGTTACCCATGCCAAGATCTGGCTGGGAAAGTTTTGAGCTTGATATATATTGGAGAGAAGCTGATGTACCTTTGGGTATTCTTATTCATGAAGTAACTTCTTCATTTTTTATCTTTTTTAAGATGAAGTTTGTAATAGGCTGAAAAATACTGAAATATCATGAGTAATCCTGTAATATCTTTGATCTTTCAGGAACAATTTCAGTAGTATGGAGGGAGAGTGAGTGAGAGAGAGAGAGAGGGAGAAGTAAAAAAAACACTAAAGTTTACAAATTATATTTATGGAATGGCAAATAAAGATTTTTGGAAATAAATATATGCAGATATCTACGTAGCATTTTGTTTTTGTTTTTTTTTTTTACTCATAATTATGAGATGGATACCTTTGAACTTTAGGATAGTTATGGTCGCATAGTTATTAGTATGGTACAAAATGGTAGTGTTGCTAGTAAAATGCTGAGACCAGGTGATATATTGGTCAAAATAAACAATAAACCAATTTCGAATAAATATGTCGCCAAACAGGTTTGTTTATCAATGTCATGATTAGCGTTATCAATATTGATATAGTTTGAATGTCGAGATTTGTATCAGAAGGATGCATCAGATGCTTATATTCATTCATTTACAGTTTTATCTTACCTTATTTAGCATCAGAGTTGGTACTTAATTATTTATTCTAAGCGATAAATGACTAATTGTTGATGAAAATAGTTCAAATAAATTTATTAATTACACTTATTCGTTTAAATTATCAAGAATAGTGATTACAGATGATAAGTGATTGTGTAAAGGCAAACAACACAATTAAATTTACAATGGAACGTCAATTAGAAACGAATTCGTCGAAAATAAGTTAGTTGACAGATCGAATTTGTGGTGTGACGATAGCGAAATCAATCATTGCCAATCAGGACATTAGTACTAGAAGACATACAGTAGAAGGTGGAATGGTGACAACGAATAGTTTCATGGTTTACAGCATTAATGTTGCAAGAATTTTTTGTATTCATTTAAGTGACAGTATTCTGTCAACTCTCGTTAAATATACCAATCATTCATATTTTTATAAAAATAAGTATTGCTGATATAAAGTTTGATTCTTGTTTTAGTGATAAGTCACAATTTGATTTAAAGAAAAAAAAAAGATTCAAGTTTCAAAACTAATATTTTTGAGATGGATGAAATTTGTGAATCCTACAAATTGTAAATGCGAATTGCATTTAATTTCACTAGGGAATATTCTAGCAACCAAATCACCAGTAACAACATCAGTTCAAACGTGTATTGCGAGTAACACTTGCAACTCCATAACTTCCACCACCTTATCGAGTAATCCTACGTCAACAGCGCCTCAAATGCCGCCTTCGAATGTGAATGCAGATAGGAAAGAAGCAAATGCTATGGAAACGAAAAGCAAAAAGTCGGAAAGCTCCATGGCAAATGTATTCCTGGAACAAATGCATAAATCCGGTTCGAAATTACCGAATTGCGATTACTGCTTACCAAAGGATGTGTTAACAGTGTTGACTGCAAATAGAAATTTTTACAAAAATGATTCAATCTATCAACCAATTCTTTTGAATCCCATACAAGAGGGAACTGGTAATTGTTTTCATTTTCAAACATATTGTAAAAATATCAAAAATATTTAGCACTTGGACCACATTCTTTATTTATAAAATTTATTCATTAAATTTTTTTTTTTTTCTAATGATATTCTTATGATCAGGTCTACATGTCAACTTAAGGGAACCTAAAGAAACAGATGAAGAAAAGATTGCTTTCGATTATGGTGAGGGATTGCTCAAGCAAACACCGAAGAATTCTTGAAATTGAATGCATTCATATGGCTTAAATTTATGAAATTTCATCCGTAAAATGCATAAATAAACTATAAAAAGCAAATTTGCTATCTATGCTAAGGAAGAGGATAACTAAGAGATTCATTTACAGTTAACAGATGTTTATTTCTAATACAAGAATTAAAACTCAATAAATTCTTCTGCAAATCCGAGAAATGAAAATAAATGATTTGAATCAAAATTAATGGTGATATGGAGTTTTATTTACTGATAATTTATTAAATATGCAAATTCTAAACCATAACTTTTAGCCTTGCTCTTGCTTTCATTAGAATTATTTGAAATATCAATTATGTCCTGGAATTAATTATCATTTTATGAGATTTATATTAAAGCAAAATAAAGAATTGCTACTGATCATGTTTATCGATCACATGAAAAAGACCAGAAATGGCGATACTGTGTAAACTGTAGATGACAGACACGGCAATTCTCCCTTTTGACATTCGTATACTCGTTTTAGCGTCACCGCCTTCCATCTTTGTTCGGCTTCGCAGATGGCATTGTTGTGAAGAAGGAATTCAGTAGCAGCTAATTTCGAAAATTGTTGAAGAATTGATAATGGAAGTGATATGGTTTAGATATAATGAAAGGATCGACGAAAATCTTCGATGCAGTTAAGAAGGATTTATTTAATGAGAAATTGCGAATCGAAATATTCTATGAAATTCATTTTTGATTGTCTCTCTCTTTCGATCTATCCACAATATATGGTAACCAAATAGCGAAAAGAAATTGAAATGCGCAATAAGATGACAGAATTATGGTTAAAAAAAAGTGATACATTGAAGGAAGTGATAATATCACTTTCTTAGCTAATAATTTAAACTATTTGAAATGAAATTACATATTTGTGAATTCTATTAGCCATTGTGAAAAATGTGATTTGTTTACACAAGTCGAGAACTGCTTGAATTTGTTAGCAAAGCGGTATTTCTTTAACTCCTTTCATCACTTTCCGCCTGAGTTAAATTCAAATTTTTAATAACATTTCATCAAAATTTACATTACTTCTTCAATACTAATAATTAATTTAATCCATTTCATATATGAGTGCAAGTTACTATTTTTTTTTTTTTTTGTTGTTTTTCAAATATTTAGTGATTAAATAGCTGTCAAGATGTGATGTAAAATGAGTATGCTACTCCTATCGCTGTGCTTCATGCTACGGCGTCAAATGATAGATTTTGACTTGCAATTACCGCCCATCTGATCAGAAATTTAACTTTGATTATACTGAAAACTTTGTTCCCTTTTAAACCAGGTCGCGGTTGCATCAAATTCATGCTGAACATTGCTCGGAAGAGATTTAAATGGAGAAAAAATCGAGCTGGGAAAATAAATTCGATGGTGACACTAAACTAATTCGACATGCTTCATTCATTGAGATCGTTAGTTTTTGTGGCTTTATTAATCAAATTTATCCATTTAGATCATACAAATATTATTATTTTATGGCTGAAAGTTGTTTACACTTACAAAAAGTATCTTAGAATCAAAAAATTTTTGAAATAAAAAAAATTAAATTTAAAATAAATTTTACCCTCGAAATGTTCTTTCCTTTCATTTGAAATTTCCTAACACATAATAATTAATTTCTTCTATCATAATCTATTTTCGTCTAATATAATTGTTCAACGAATGGCTGGCTTCTACAATTAACCAAGAAAAGTTTATTCGCGATTTCGTTTCATCAATTTTATTTCTATTAATTTGTAAAATTTTTTGAATTTTATACAACAGTGGCCTAATTTGGCTATTTGTGTTGAAAATTTTAATTTCATTCGGTGTTGTTATGTAATACAAATACACATACATTAGATGGATCACTGACAAGTAACCACAAAATGAGTTGACGATAAAGCATTTATTTCTTATCTTATCAATATTTAAAATTTCACAGCTACGATATGCTGAACGACGTGATTACATCTTGCTTGCGTTTGGTATCACATTATCACTAGTGAACGGAGCCATATCACCAGTTAGCTCTGTCTTCTTCAGGGTAAATTATGAATTACAATAAGAAGCTTTCCAACCTTTGCTAAAATATTGAACAAAGATATTAAATCGGAAACTGTCAACTATCCTATTTTTTTTCTTTTTATTCATTAATTCAGAATAAAGTTTAGTTTGATGAATTTCAAAACAAAGAAGGAATATATTATAGGTTAGAAAATTACTATCGACAAATTTTAAAATTACTTATTTAATTTCATTCTGAGCTATGCTCAGTGAAACATGTGACGAATAAATTTTGATCTTTAAACTAACATTAAAAGAACAAAGATGCACGAAATGACAGTACATTTTAAATTATTATTCAAAAAAAAAAAAAAAAAAAAACTGCAGGGAATGACAGATGCATTAATAGCTGGTCAAGTAAGTCTTAAAAATGGTACCTTCAATATGGAGGTATATACACACTCGGTGATTACTTATGTGTACTTTTATGCAATACTTGCTACTCTTCTATTTTTGATCAGATTCTCTTCGGTTAGTTAGTTCATTGTTGTTTATCTTAAATCTTATCAAAGTGCATTTTACAATATTCACTTCTAAATCAACAAATATCTCTAAAAAGTTCGAAAAAAATGAGAAGAATTAAATGATCACAATTATATATTATAAATATGTTATTCAATTTTCAATTTGTTATGTTTAATGAAAATTTTGATTTCATTCAATTAAATAAAATAAGCAATTCCTTTAGTATCCACATAATTTACACCGCTATAATTAATTTTCGCATTTAATATCTAATCAAAATTTAATTATCTTTTACAGATGAGTTGCTTCTTTACTCTAAGTGAACGTCAAGCTCATGAAATTCGAAAAAGATTTTTTGCTGCATTGCTAAGGCAACAAATGGCTTGGTATGATAAAAATGAAGCTGGCGTACTTACTAATAAATTATCAGCGTAGGTTTTAGTAAAACTATAAACCCATCAGAAAAAAAAAACAGATCTAATTATGATTTAAAATTTGATGTAATTGCAGTGGAATAGATCGAATCAAGGATGGTATAGGAGACAAATTTGGTATTCTTTTGCAAGCTTCTACACATTTTATCTTTGGCATTATCATCGGTCTCTACTATAGGTGAAATCATTACAATAATTTTGACCAATGCTAAATGATCTAAAAATCTGACTAATATTATCATAATATTATTCTGCCTAGTCAAATCTTTGAAAGAGAACGGTAGAATTAAATAAAAATTCCAGTTTATCAATAAATAATGCTCGAATTTCAATAGTTAGTGTTTCTCACACTTAATAGCACTCAAAAAAATAAAACTTCTCTTCATTTCTAGCTGGAATATGACTTTATTGATACTGCTTGCTGCACCATTTATTATAATACTGTTGTTTGGATCAGTTAAGGTAAGTTTAATTGCATGTTAAGGTAAATTCAGTTGTATTTTAAGGTAAGTTCAGTTATATTTTAAGGCAAGTTCAGCTGTATTTTAAGCTAAGTTCAGTTATATTTTACAAATCGTGTAAAGAGTAATCAAAATAAGTGATAGCGCAGAAATTAGCTATTGCCAGTTAATGACTGCAAAATTTTTATATTCTTCGGAATATAAACAAATTCTTATATTCATAGGCATCTAATAAGTGTATTGTGTCCGTAGGCGCTATCAACAATGACACGTCGAGAAATGCGCGCATATGACAAAGCGGGCGCTGTTGCTAATGAAGTTATCAGTAACATTCGAACAGTTACCTCTTTCAATGCACAGTATGCTGAAGTTGTGAGGTATTTCTTGTTTTTTTGTGATTAACGACTGAATCTTTTTTTTTTTTTTTACATACAATTTTGTCTAATAAAATGAAAATTTGTCCTTTCGCACTCAGTTTTTAATTGGTTTTTTAAAATTTCCATGACATAACCATTAGGGCATTGCTAGTAATTCAAAATGATTGAAACATATTTAATTATTTCTTAATGAGACAAATGGATTAGTGACAAATAATGAACACGTGAATCACACGTGAATCACTTCTTACTTTCAATTTTTCAAAGATTAGTTTTGAAATTCAAAATTGCTATGAAAAAGTGAATAGTTTTAGATACAGAGATCGTCTGAATTATGCGCAAAAAATTGGTATAAAAGGAGTGCTTATTACTGGTATTTTCATGGGTTTTTATATTTTTGTTATCTTTGGTTCTATGGGATTTGTTTTCTGGTAAGTATCATCAAATTATCATAAAATTCGAAAATGTTGACAAAAAAAAGTCATAATTGCTAAATATCTCATAAATCAAAAATTTTTAAAACTTTCTAACTTTTAAAAATTTACTGAAAGATGACAAATTAATGCTCTCTTTTAGTTCAAATGAATCACTGTTGCTCCTTAATTATAATATTGAATATTAAATTAATTTACCTACTATACAAATATGCCTCAAAAAATTTATAGGTATGGTACAAATTTGGTGACCGAAGGTAAAATTACGCCAGGCACTGTATTTGCGGTATTTTGGGCTATAATGATTGGCGCAATTCATTTAGGTCAAGCAATACCGCAACTTGGTGTTTTCACTGCTGCAAAACTTGCTGCTGGAGAAATATTTGAAATTATTGACTTGGTAAATAATAAAATTATTTGAAATTTAAGATAAAAACAAATGGTTCTACAAAATGTGTAGAAGAAATTCAGGAAAAAATCAATTGAAATAACTTAGAAAATTATAATTTTCACTATTTTTGTGCTTATATGCATAGTTCTCTCTGAGGTGAATAAAGGAAGTAATTTTTTCTTTTTTAGGAACCAAATATCAATTGTATGTCACCGCATGGATTAATTCCATCACATGTGGAAGGTCGAATCGAACTTAATAATATCAATTTCTGGTATCCAAGTCGGCCGAATGTTAAAATTTTGCATAACACATCATTTACGGTTTTGAATTTGTACAATCTATTTTTCAAATATTCCTCTAACTGTTTAGTTAACATTTATAATTCCACTTTATTATATTTCGGACAACTTATGCAATTACATTCATTGATTTGAATTGCATGATTTAAATTCAATTTTACAATTTGATCTTAAACCGTTTTAGACAACTAAAATATTCTAAGCATAACGAAATATACCAAGAGAATGAAACGCTTAAATTGTTTAAATTATAATTGCTGTAACCAAATTGATTCAAAATGTCCCGTCGTTCTTTTTTTTTATTCAATTACCTAATTTGTATAAATCAATGGTCAGTGAAGATGAAAAACTTCTATCAGTAACCAACTTTTTCGTTTTGCAATTTGAGGTGAATGCAGGTAGTACGGTTGCTTTGGTTGGACATAGCGGTTGCGGTAAATCAACTATAATCGAATTATTATTAAGATTCTATGAACAGCAAGCAGGAATAGTTAGTTTTATTCCCATATAATATTCCTCAAAACCAGAAGAAAGTGTAAAATAAATAAACAATATACTTTTTTATTGTGTTTTCAAAAACTTTTTGTCTGACCAAAAAAAAAAAAAAAATATTTTTCTATGATATCATAAAGAATGTTTTTAAAAGTGAAATATAATAATATTAGCGATCAAATTAATGAATTTTAGATTACTCTTGACGGTGTACCAATTAGAGATTTGAATATTGAATGGTTACGTAATAAAATTGGATTTGTTTCACAAGAACCGGTAATATTTGCTGCAACAGTGGAGGAGAATTTAAAATTGGGCAATGAAGCATTGACCGAGATTGAATTAATCGAAGCCTGTAGAATTGCAAATGCTCATGATTTCATAATGAAATTACCAAAAGTTAGCTTTAGTTGATTTCAAATTAAATTAATTTTTTTTTTTTGATAAACATAGATGTATAGTTTAAATTTAGGAAAAAATGTGATTAATAGTTTCTTTAATTTTTGATAATGTACATTTACTTTAATGCAAAGTACTAAAAATGTTTTACTTTTGAAACCTTTTAACCTAACAAATTTGTTGGAAGAGCAAAAATGTGCATGATTTTGTTTTAAAATTGTTCCGGAATTTCTTAAAGTGAAAAGTAAATTTAAATTGTTTTAAAGTTTTGTTACACTAATTTAAACTGTTTTAACTTTTGCACATTCCTGATAATACTGTGTAATAATAATGATAGATAATAAACATTCAAGGCTTTTCTGCTAAACTTTTCTTTCCTGAACATTTAGGGCTACAAGACATTAATCGGTGTTGGTGGTATACAGTTATCCGGTGGTCAAAAACAACGAATTGCTATTGCTCGAGTTTTAGTTCGTGATCCGAAAATTTTGCTATTCGATGAAGCAACTAGTGCATTGGATTCGGAAAGTGAAGTTGCTGTACAGATGGCACTTGATCGGGTAATTAATCTATTCGTTATTCCTAATTACGTAAGCTCAAGGATTAGCTGATTCTACTTTAGTTCATCCTTTTTTTACCTTAGTTAGAAATCTTAGAAAAGTATAATCTTTGATATTTGCATTGAATTGACAAATGAATATAACTCGGACTAGTTGGACCACTCCAAAGCAAGAATTTTATATTACTAAAAAAAAAAAAAAACATATAATATAAATAATAAATATAATTAATTTCTTCAATACTGCAGTAAAATATACTGAAAATAAACCTTTATCACAGGTAGATAGATGATAGACAGAATAGTTCCGCCGAAATGTCATCTACAAAGAGAATAAACGTCTCTGTTGACCTCTTCAAAGTGATCGATTGGTCATTTTGATTAAATTAAACAATTACAAATGATTATTAAAGGTACGAGCTGGACGTACCACAATAACAATAGCACATCGTTTGTCAACAATACGTAATGCTGATCAAATTATTGTTTTCAAAAATGGTAAAATCATAGAAAGTGGTTTACATGATGAACTAATAGCGCTGGATGGAATTTATCGGCAAAATGTACAAGCACAGGAAATAGGAAGAGGAGATGTTGAATTTGTGGATAGTGGTATGTGAGCTGATCAATTTTTAGTTTATTTTTGGCAATTAATTATCACCAAATAAAATTTATAAATGGTACACTTTAGTATAAAACATTTTGTAGTAAGAAATGCTCAGGAAATATAGATTTTTTCGGATGAGTAATAGATTGATGGAGTACTAATAGTGAATTAAATTTAATATACTTAAATTCACTAAACTTGGTTGAAAAATGACCAATTAAAGAAATACTAATACGTAAAGTGAAAGCAACATCATTCCTTAAAATCTTAATCGCCTAAAAAATCTATATCTTTTCAAAAATTAAAGTAAACAAACACAATGTGAAACTAATAAAGGAAAAATCAAAAAAAAAAAAAAAACTGAATAAACTAAGTTAATCGCTGATCAAAATTTAAAACCATCGAGAATCTGCCGATGCCTTTCAATACTTTATTCAAAATGATTCATTGATTTGTGTTCTTTGTTATCAGCTTTTATTCAGATGAGTCATCCTTGTCATATCAGTTTGAAAACAATGAGAGGATAGATGAAGAAAGTGATAGTAATAGAATCAGCAAATGGCTTCATCGAAACGAATACTTTCGAAAATCAAATGCTTCTTCAAAATCACATATCAGTGAAATAGATTGTGAAAATGAGAAGTAAATATTTGAAATTATGCAAGCTAATGATTTCTTGAACTTCTAAAAGATTAGTGAAAATATTTACTAAGCTTTGATGATAAAAAGAAAAAAAAGCTTATCTATCAGTTAATTAGAAGCATAATCTAGCATTTTTCAATCATTTCAATAAAGAAATTTGTTTTTTTTTTTGCAGGATTTCTTACAAAGATATTAGTGATAAAGTTAAAAATGCATCGATTTTCGATATTTTAAAGTTTGCCGGGAAGGTAAGGACAAACTTATTATTTCATTTCACATTTTAGTCTAAATTAATTCGAATGCTAAAAAAAAGTTATATTTGAGGAATTACCGATCATTGCTGTGGCTTTAATATTTACAATATTGAGAGGTTTATCATGGCCGATTTTCTCTATTATCTACGGTCGGACATTCTTGGTGAGTTCAACATTTGCAAATACTTTTTGATTTTTGAACGAAAAAAGCAAAAATGGATGATGCATTTAAGTTTATGATCTCAAAAATGTTTCACTGTGTTTTGTATATTGATAGTTAGTTGTGTTCATTGATAATCAATTAATTTAATCATTGACAATTAACTAATTTAATCATTGATAATTAACTAATTTAGTCATTGATAATCAACTAATTTAATCACTGATAATCAACTAATTTAATCATTCATAATCAACTAATTTAATCATTGATAATTAACTAATTTAATCATTCATAATCAACTAATTTAATCATTGATAATCAACTAATTTAATCATTGATAATCAACTAATTTAATCACTGATAATCAACTAATTTAATCATTCATAATCAACTAATTTAATCATTCATAATCAACTAATTTAATCACTGATAATCAACTAATTTAATCACTGATAATCAACTAATTTAATCATTCATAATCACCTAATTTAATCACTGATAATCAACTAATTTAATCATTCATAATCAACTAATTTAATCACTGATAATCAACTAATTTAATCATTCATAATCAACTAATTTAATCACTGATAATCAACTAATTTAATCATTGATAATCAACTAATTTAATCATTCATAATCAACTAATTTAATCATTGATAATTAACTAATTTAATCATTGATAATTAACTAATTTTCAATCAGTTCAGGCTCTGTCCTCGTTGGACAATGATAAAATGATAAAAGACACTGCACTGAATGCAATATTATACCTTATTTTGGGTATTGTTGGTGGATTTTCGACATTTTCTTCTGGCACTCTGTTTGGTATTGCTGGTGAAAAAATCTCAGTGAGACTTCGCATTGCAGTTTTCACGGTTAATTTTATTTTTGTCGAGATTTCGAGAAGCAGTTAATTGATTTTCTCAATTTTTGAATGCAATTGTTATTTAGAATATCTTACGACAAGATTCTTCATTCTTCGACAGCGAACATCATTCAATCGGAAAATTAACAACACTTCTGGCAACTGATGCTCAAAATATCAAAGCTGTATTATTAAAAAATTTTTTCTCAGAAAATTAATGGCAGAGTTTAAAATTTCATTCATTCAATTGACTGAAAACTTTCAGAAGTTATATTCCAAAATTAATATTAGAACATTTCGCTTTTGAATTTTTCCTTGAAAATTTAGTACAATAGCATAATCTGAAATTTCTTAATCCATACAAAATTGAATGTAACTTGATCCCTTCAAAACTCTAATTTCTAGGCAATCGATCAACGATTGGCGGAACTGTTACAAGGAATTGTTTCACTTTGCGCCGGTATAATTGTAGCATTTTCATTTAGTTGGAAAATGGCATCTATTGGTGTTATTATTTGTGCAACTTTTGTCATTTTGCAAACTTCTCTTTCGCATTATCTCAAAATTCAGGGCCAAAAGGATGCTAAAATAGCTGAAAGAGCTACTAGTGTTAGTCTTCTTTATAATATAATTTTCTAAGAGTTCCGGAACCTGAAGGATATTATTTTCAATAATCCCGGATTTCACACAGTTTTTTTTTTTTATTTGACGATTTAAATATTCCTTGAACAATTCATAAATTCTATAATTTCGCATTGTTCCAATTTAATTCTTTTTATCATCTAAAATTTTTTTCAGTTAGCTTCCGAATCAATCGAAAATATCCGAACTGTGCAGTATTTAACTATGCAACCGAAAATATATGAATCGTATTGCTTTTCATTACAGGAACCTCATAAACGAGCGGTTATTCGAGGTTTCGATTTACACTTTTTTTTTCATGCATGCATGTATGCATGCATGTACGATATAAGATAGAAAGATGCATACTGCATGTTACAATATTCGTCTAATTGCATGCTATATCCTATTGGTTTGCAGTTTCACTACTTTCATTTTTAATTTGGAGTATTGTCGTTTTTTTTATTTATAAATTTAAATTTAATTGAAATCTAAAAAAATTTTTTTATTTAAATCTAATAAATTTAATTCAAATATTTTTTATTTTTAACTAGAATCACATGTCATTATTTTATTTATTTATAAATTAAATTCAAATCCAAAAAAAAAATTTTTTTTAAATTATTATCTAGTACAAACTCATATAATTCAAACAATCTCCAACAAGAATCTTTTTAATAGTTAACACCTGAACCTTGGAAAATGAGTGGGAAAATACTCGTTAAGTTGAAATTATTTTTGAATGCTTATATAATTCTAGGATTTTAGGCAAATTTTTATGATAAATTTGAAATTATCTAATTAAGTTCTAAGTTTTCTTCCTAAATGTTACTTTTAAATTATACTTATACTCTAGGTTTTTGGCAAGCATTGAGTTACGCACTGTCCAATAGTTTTGTTCAGTCCAACTTTGCCATTTCCTATCTTTTTGGTCTTTGGTTGGTACGGAATTCATGGTCTGAACCATACATTGTTTTTCAGTAAGTTTTAGCAAACATTTTAATCTATCTAATTAATCATTTTTCAACTTAATTAATTTAATTTGTATATTTATTGTTTATTTTTCCTAAAAATTCCATTAAATCAAAGTTACAAATTTTATTTCGTAATAGTAACATTTTGATATTTTTTTACATTTTTGTTGCTTACAAATTTCGAGAATGATTATATCTATGAAAAAATTTTTTAAAAAATAAAAATTTTTAATTTTCATTTTTGTATAGGGTAATTGAAGCATTAAATATGGCATCACTTACTGCACTTGCGGCAGCATCATTTTTATCGGAATACGTTCGAGCTCGCATTTCAGCAAGTCTAACATTCCATATCAAAAATCAAATTCCACTTATAGATAATTTATCTGAAGCTGGTAGTTTATCTGAACAGGTGCCAGAAATTTTATCTTTTATTCATCTTCCAATTAGAATAAAACAAAAGTTTCAAATTTGATGAAAAACGGTTGCATTTAACTGAAGGAAACAGTTATAGTAGTTTAATTTTTTAATTAATCTTTAAGCAAAAGAATTGTAATCATTACTTCATTAATATTCAACAATTAATTTTGCAAATAAATGATGAATATACTAAAATGCATGACTTTTTATTTCAAATTATTAAGAAATGAGAATTGAAAACTTTATGAGCTAAAAGTTTTTTTCTTCCAAACATCGGAAATTCTATTTTGCAAATTAATATTCATATAAAATAGCTTACTTTTCTTAGATTTCAAAAATAGTTAATTATTTCTTCGGGAAAATTTTTTTCGCAAAATTTTTTCTTTTTAGACAATTAAAGGAAACATTTATCTGAAGGATGTTTGTTTCGTATATCCAATGTTTCGTCAAAATTCTATTCTCAGAAAATTTTCCATGTCTGCAACGTATGGTCAAACGGTAGCACTAATAGGACCAAGTGGTTGTGGCAAAAGTACGGTGATTAAATTGCTGGAACGATTTTATGATGTTACTGATGGTGTTTTGGTGAATTTTTTTTTTATTGGAAAATGAAAATTAAATCTTTAAAATTTTGTTTAGTTTATCTGTGTGACAACTCAAAATATTGCATAGATCTTCTGAAAATGCACTAAATACTTAATGTTGTTAATTGTCAAGACTGAATCTTTTACTGATTTTTAAGCAACATTATTATGTAATCAATTACTTGAAATTAGCTAAGAAACAAATCTAATTGGAAAGACAGAAAATGCTCCAAAAGAATTTGATTTCCAACATTATATATAATTTCAAGTAAATTAAATTAAAGTTTATCGATGGTCACGATATCAAAAGTTATAATATTCGATATCTTCGATCACATATTGCATTGGTAGACCAAGAACCAACATTATTTAATGTAAGTATTCGAGACAATATTGCATATGGCTTGGATGATGCATCACAGGAACAAATTGAAGCAGCTGCGAAATTAGTCAATATTCACAGTTTTGTTGTCACTTTACCGCAGGTTTGTTTTCTTTAGGCGCAAAAGTTAAATATTGAAATAAAGTTAAGGCTTTCTGATATTTAAGTAATATATCTTTGGAAAGTAGAACCAAAAGCTTGACCGAAGTCCAATTTAGAGTTTTCTAATTCGAATCAACTATTCTCTCTATCTAAAATTACTGAAAATCTTTATCGCTATAGAGCAAAAAATTAGAGATGCGACTTTTTTTTTTTTCGATGTTGTAACTAAAATGATTGAACTTCAATTATTTTCAGGGTTACGATACAATTGTTGGCTCAAAAGGAAGTCATTTGTCAGGTGGTCAAAAACAACGGATTGCAATTGCAAGAGCAATTATAAGAAATCCAAAAATACTTCTTCTTGATGAAGCTACTAGCGCTTTGGATAGTGAAAATGAAAAAGTATAGCACTTGTAATGTAAAACATATCTTAAAAGTCTAATGAGAAGAATGTCCATTTAATTTAATTCTTGATCGATTTAAAAAAAATACCTTTATGAAGTTTTTTTTTTTTTTTTTTTAATGAATTCAAATTTAGATGGTACAAGAAGCACTGGAGACAGCACGTCGTGGTCGAACCTGTGTTGTGATCGCTCATCGTTTGAAAACAATTCAAAATGCTGATTTAATAATTGTTTTAAAAGATGGTCAAGTTGTAGAATGTGGTAATCACATTCAGCTATTAGCTCAAAAAGGCTTGTACTGTTATCTGATTGAAAAACAAAAGGTACTGTAAGAATGTACTCGAACATTCCAAAGACACTAATTAATGCTGTTAACTTTAATCTTTTGATTATATTTAACTTTATGAAATAATCAATTTACTATGTTAAAAAAAAGTAACTTCTATCTTTAGAAAACCTGAAAAAGACAACTTATATCTCTAGTTAATCAGTCAATAATATGTATTTCAATCATTCACTTCAGCTATTTTTAAATGTTAAATTCAATTTGAATAATGTCAACTAACACTATTCATTCTATCTGTGTGCTTTGTGAAAAAATAGGAAATAATCTTTCTACCTGTCCTTGGCTAGCAACAATTCATCAATTTATCTAAAATTGTTTTTTTTTTTTTTTTTTGAATTGAGCAGTTTTTGAATTTCTTTTAGGGATTCTCTGCTAACATGAATAAGCTTTTTTTTTTTGACATTATTATTATCATCCAGCAATCCCTTCATCAACCTTCTTGATTTATCATAAATTTCTTCAATACTTTCCCAATCTAAATAGAATTCGATTGATAGCAGAATTCATTGATGATTTGAAGCTAAAATTTATATTCTTTCAATTCATTTCGTCCAATTTATTTTGAATCAAATTTCTATATACAAAATGTTGTATTACTAGGATTTGTTATGTTTCTTGTTACACTATTAGCTTCATTAATTTTGATTTCTATATTTTCAAAGTTTGTTTTAATGTACTCAGTTAACAAACTTAAGTATAGATTATATAGTTTAAATATAGATTATATGTAATTTCAGATTTCGAAATGTTCCATTTTTTATTTTTTTATTTTTTTTTCTAATTTCATATTATATTCCTTTTCCGCATTATGAAAGCTGTTGTATAATAATAATAATAATAATAATAATAATAATAATAATAATAATAATAATAATAATAATAATAATAATAATAATAATAATGATAATAATAATGATAATAATAATAATAACAATAATAATAATAATAATAAATCTGCAATTGTCTTCAAATCATTTGCTCTTTGCAAATTGCTTCAACTAATCATTTTAATCTGGAAATTCTAGGGAAAATTTCCCAACTTACATAAAATATTGATTAACTTTTTGCGTTTGAAGACTGAAAGAAAATAAATCCAAGCGTTGAATTTGATAAATTTGAAGTAAATTTCAGGAAATGGTTGTATAGAACGTTGTTTACTTAAATGACTTTTACCTAAATTCCCATCCAAATATCATTTTAGCTTCTTTGCCACTTTCAATATAGCAATAAGTTTGCATACTTTCACTGTATAAAAGAGAAGTAGTAAAAAAGTAGAAACAAAACATATAATAAAATTTGATGATAAAAAGTACAAAGCGAATAATACTGAAAAAAAAGTGTGTTCGCGAAAGAATATGAGAAGATTACTGGATATTGAAGTGCTGATAGTATAAGACAGTTCAAGAAGTAGAAAAAATCAAATTCTGAAATTTCTATTAGAGTCTTTCTGAAATCAGATTAAAATTATGTATAGCTCAGGAAAGCATAGTAGTGCAGAGTAAGTGATATGTTAACTGTTAACCTATCAAGGAACTACAAATTCCTCCTCTTTATAGCAAATTGTGATTCATCGTGCAGAGCCTAAACTGAAAGAGTAATTTTCAATCATAGATTATCACCAATATCTCTGTTCAAAAATTCAACGTAAGGTATAAGTTATTTGCATTCTGGTTGCCGCGTTATAAAATAGTTAGAGATTATCCGTGTTATCCGGAGGTAGTGGGGCATCAAGTGGGATAGTAGTTGACCGTTTGTGAAAGTTGGGAGAGTGTGACAGTTTGGTGTCGTCTAGGTTTGTGTCATCATTTATTGTCATATTTGAAGGAATTATGAAACGTCGAAGGGATAATGGCAGTATGGTTGCGGGACGAAATGCTTTGATGCGTGCCGTGAAGACTTTGATAGCTGCCTTTTGCTTTTATGCTTTGGGTCTTTTCAATTGTATCACTTATACCATTCGAAGACAGTACCGCAATGTATGTTCTGATTTTTTGATTTATAAGAAACGAATATCGATTAAACTATACTTGAAATGGGGCAAAGTGACATTTATTCCTCGCTTAAGCAGCATAGTACAGAGAGCTTTCCCAGTATATTTTAAAAGCAGAAGTTGTTGGTTCTAGCTACTATTTAAAATTTTCTTTTCAGCAGATACTGCTCGTTCTTTTGAAATGCGCCAAATAAAGCTCATTAAATTAGTTTAGTCGGTCAAACTGTCTAGCTAGTAGGTTTTCAACCTTGTTTCATCAAATATTGAGACTATTATAGCAATAGTTTCTCATACATCGGTATAGCACAGGTGGATTTGATGCAATATCAAGTTTTTCAAAGTTATTCCATAGGTCATACAAAGTAGTTATTTGTTAATGATGACGAAATTTAGTTTTGAAGGAGGTATTTCAATTACTGAATGTGTAATATGCGCGTAAATGATTGCTTTCAAATTCTGCTCAGAAATTATAGTTGCATTTCAGATAAGAAAACGTCAAGTTATTCGTTATGAATACGTTCCTCTCTCACCTTTATCGGCACATCGATTGAGTAAGTTCTAATTTGTACTTTTATTTTGTTCGTTGCTCTTTTTGATGTTACAAGTATGGAACTATTTTATCACTGTTACCTGTTGCTTCCTTTTATGTGGGATTGGTGCATTGAAAATGAAATTTAATAGTTAAAGAGGTTTTGTGATTCATTTTTCTACAATCTGCGAAAAATTTCCAGGCGTGGTGAAGCGGAAAATTTTGGTGCTTGATTTAGATGAAACACTAATACACTCACATCATGACGGTATTATACGTCCTATGGTTAAACCCGGTACACCACCCGATTTTGTGTTACGAGTAAAGCTTATCTTATTCACTCATGGTTTGAGTAATAGTTTTTTAATTTATTACAAATATCTTAGTTAAATAGTTTCTGTTGTTGAAAAAGAGCAGTCAGAAATTTTAGCAATATATGTTGTACAAAGAACTGAGATGCTTCTAAGTCATCCATTCCGTTCCTTGACTGTTATGATTATCTATTTTCATTTCATTATTTTCTTTCATCTGAATGATTTTATTTTATTTTTTTTTTCTGGATACAAATCGTTTTGCTTTAGCAATTTGTACCAACTCGGTTTCGCCTTGAAAAATTCAGCACAGGTCCAGTATAACTCTTGTTACATTAACTCTCTCCATATTTTCCATTAGGAATTGGAAAATTGGGAGATTCTGATGGAATTAAGTTAGGTTACATTATTAACTTTTGTAATTTGCGTCGAATCATAAGCTGTAATTACAGGTGAATATTGACCGACATCCAGTCCGATTTTTTGTGCACTGTAGACCTCATGTTGATTATTTTCTTTCGATGGTTAGCCAGTGGTTTGATTTAGTTATTTTTACTGCGTCCATGGAAATTTATGGGAGTTCGGTGGCCGACAAACTTGATAATGGTAAAGGCATCTTGCAAAGGCGTTATTTCAGGTATGCGTGATTCCGGGCCATTTTTATTTAGTTATTACTTCTCGCTGCTGAATCTACTTTAAGTTTTTGAAACAGTATATTTATGTCTTTAATATATGTTTGTTTTTACCAATAAATTATAATAACATAATCAGACTTTATATTTTCAGTTTAAAATTTCATTCACTTTCAGTTTATTATCTCTTTCTGATATTTTAGGCAACATTGTACAATGGATTATGGTGGATATACAAAAGATCTTTCTGCTGTACATGCCGATCTTTCATCAATATTTATATTAGATAATTCTCCCAGTGCATATAGGAAGTTTCCTCGTAAGTTTGCAGATTTCAGTATTTCTTAATAATGTGTATTTGTATGGACAATAGAATGTCATTTCTTAAGATTTATAACTTTTTCTTTAGATTTATAACTTTCATGATTTATAACTTTTTCCTTATATTTAATTCTGTTAGAGTACCAATTTTTTATTTGAAAAACTTCTTAAGCAGCAAATATAATGGTTGCTGAGTTGTTATTCTGTTGCCCCATGCATATTCAGGCATCATTCGGTAACTAGGCCTTCTTCTATTATTTATAATTTGATAAGTGCTTTACAGTTACATTTATGAAGCGGAGGCTTCCAAAATATAAGGCGTAAAATTTAGAACAAAAAAAAAAAAAAAAAAAAAAAAAAAAAACGGACAGGAATTAATTCACGAAAAACTGAAAGGGAAATCAGTGGCAAAACAAAAAAATAAAAACTATACTGAAAAAAGTTAAATTTTCTATACAAACTCGTCTAGGTTTTTAAATATTTCAGAAAATGCAATACCAATACGATCTTGGTTTTCGGATCCTACAGATACATGTTTGTTAGCATTATTACCTTTTTTGGATGCACTTCGATTTGCATCTGATGTACGTTCAATTTTAAGTCGAAATCAACAGCTTCAACAAGTTTGGTAGCCATTCTGAGAGATGAATCATGCAGATTTGTATGCCATTTGCCGTACCAACATCTGATATCAATTTTAGTCCATAATTTTGTGCTATGTCGCACCATTATAGCATAGTTCGTACAAGTATTTGTAGTTAACTTTAATATGCAGTACAGCATATCATTCTATTTATGATAGAAATTTTATTTCTTTCTAGTTTCCAGCTGCTCATATATTTAGTGAATAAGCGGTTGCAGTTGTTTTCATTGTTATTCATTTAACCTCTTCATATTGTTTATTTATGGGTATCTCATCAGGAATGGCATTATTATGTATGCCTTTGTAAAAATTTGAAGGAGGGTCTTTTTTTTGTTTCAGAATTGAATTGATGGTTAGTTACTGCTAGAATCATGTGTTAATGAAGTAGGTTTGTGAGAGATTAACATTTTTAGTTACACCAGTGCAGTGAAGTGCCATAGTATGGAAATGCATTTGAATTGCAACAGTTATTTCAAATTATAGATTCATAGTTCGTAAGTATTTGTGATAGATAGAAGGAAAATAAACTTGAAATCAGAAATATTTCAAAATTTTATGGCACTATCTTTGCAAGTTGTGAATCTTGTATAAAAATTATCATCGTAATTTGTAATTAACCACAGATGGCATTTGGATCACATTGTATATTGCTCTTTCTGGCATGTTTTATTCGCTTACTACGAGTAAGTCCATTGTTCCATGTAAGTTTTGATCTCATCAGACTTGTTCCATTTCATGGACAATCTTGGTTTAACTATCTTTTTCATTTTTCATTGAAACAACGTTTTGTTTGTGGTTATATGGGAGATGGAAGGTAATAATCAGACGTTTATGCAGTATCATCTTAAGATTTAGAAAAATTAATGGGTGTTTGATAAAAAATTGTATTTGTTTGTAAATATGCAACAGTAAACTTTCTTGATTTTTGAAAAGGAAATCTGAAATACTGAAATACTAGAAAAAAAAAAACGAGAAAATGAAATCTAATACAATATCGATTTTTCCATGAAAATGCGTCTTAAATATTTGGGGGGATATTGTTTTTTTTTTTTTTTTTTTTTTGATAATTTCAATTTTTTAAAGAGGGTGTTTCCCTTGATTTACAGATACAGCGGTTTTTTTTTTTTTTTTTTTTTTTTTATTGAAGCATAATAAGCGACTTGAAATTTTATTGACTAAAGTCAATAATTATGCATTGGCAAGTAGGATAAACAACAATTATCAGGGAATAAAATCAATTATGAGAAAGTTTCAAATTCCTTCAACAATTACAAAGCTTACACTTTGTTAGCAGAAATGAATGTAGAACAAGAGCACATGAATACATGAGAGGAGATTTAAAAAGTAGATCTTAATGTACCTACAATGTTGATCAATCATAGTATCTGGTACTTATATGATTATTTGAGATTATTTTCGACAATATAAAATTGTAGCAAACCTGTCATATTTTTTTAAAAAAAATTTATGTATATGAATTTTTAGACCTATGTGACTAGTATATACGATTACATTCATATACGACGGCATATGGCGATTACATTCATATTGACTAAGATAAAATATAATTTTTAGTAAAGAATAAATGATATACGAAGGTATGATAGAATAAGTATTTTTGATAGAATATTTCTTATCAAAATTTTTAGGCAGCGACAAATTAGTATTAGCCCTCAGTTTAATAGATTTTTTGAGGAAAAAAAGAACTTTTCACTTTTAATTTTAATTTGGATTCTCAATGAGTTGTAGTTAAGGATTCAAAAAAAATTAGAGGTATTGTAATGGTTTGATGATTAAATACAAAGATCTTGATAATATGTAATGCATGACAAAGTATTGTTAGTAAAATAACTTACTGAGCATTTTGTATAGAGTAATATCATAGACAAAAAGATATCCATCTGATAAGATCATTTCATATCTATTTATAAATTTGAAATTCTCAGTGCAAGATGTAAAATTTAAAAAAACTGTCACAGCGAGAAGGAAATGAAGTAAAAATGACTAAATAGGGAGGATATCAAGACATATAGATCAAACGAAATGGTATATCATATCAGTATATCAGCGCACATAGTATCGCTTGAAATAATCGTATAAAAGTTGTAAATATTTTTTGTTATTCATTTATCATAGAACAATTTTATCACTAACTAATATCACTAGTGACTTATGACTTATGACCATTACTGTTAAGTTCTAAAAGTTACAATGATATCACTAAGGTCTATTACTTCATTTCCTTCTACTAATCCTATCAATTTACATTTCATCAGAACTTTCGTTCTCCGAAGAAGGAAGTTGTAATTGCAGTTTAAAATCAGCAGAAAGTTCTGACAATTTTAGTTGTATCGGTAGATTGGAATCAATAACATTTGGATAAACTATTGACGTTGGCTTAAACAGAAATGGTATATTGAAATTTCTCAGTGCTTCTCTATCTGAAAACCTATAACTTATACCGGGTCGACTTTGTTGGTCATCAAAAAACATCCTAGGAGGTGGTAGTGGTGGTAATTGTGGTAATGCTGGTAATACTGGTAAAGGTTGTTGTGGTGGTAAAGCTGGTAGAAGTGAAGCTGGAGGTAGAAGTGGAAGTAGAGGTGGAGCTAGAGGTGGATATCTCAGGTACAACGGGAAAGTAGATCGATTTTGAAGGTAGGGTGGATATGACAAGCTAGGTCTCCAGTTCTGTTCATCTTGCCATCGTTTGCTGAAATAGGAAATCTATGATTTAAATTCTTATAAATTTTGGAGACTTTAAAATTCACTAGACTCATTCAAACTTGCACCATTAAGATAGCATCCAAAGAATTTCAATCATCAAATGATCGATGAATTATGTGATCCGCAAATATTGTTATATCAATGTAAGAGCTAAATTATCCGAATATTTTAATTGCTAACATTTTATTATATGACAATTAAAATATGTGAAAAAAAAAAGGCTTGCAAGAAGAGTTTTTATAAAATATTTAAAACATTTTTATTGCACTCAAAACAATATATCTAAAAATGAATTAAGAGATTTTATATTTCTTATATTTATCAAAAAAAAAAAAAAAAAAAAGGAAGAAAAAATTATAAAGGAATCTCGAAGAAAGTTAAATGATAAATAACTTACAATGTCCTTACATATAACGGTCCATTAGTGGTATCTTGCTTTTCTAGCCAATTACGATAAATCGGCACTTCATCATTTCTTGTTGCAACAATAAAAAAAAATATTTGTTGTTCTAGTTCTGCTCGTAATGCAGCTATTCGTGCAAGCACTAAATGTTTTTCTTCCAAGTTTGCATCATTCAGAATAACTAGTCTAACTTGTGCTGAGATTATCTACAGAAATAAAGTATAAGTTAGAAAAAATATATAATTTAAAAAAATAAAAAAAAGTAATAAATAATATATTAATTTATTTCAACAACAACAACAATAGCAAAAAAAAAAAAAAAACACATGCGATTATAAAAAGTTAATCAATTCTGGAGTACTAATGGAATTTATGATGATATCACTGAAATTATAAATTAGAAATAGATGTATTAGAATTAGATAATGTTAAATTTAGAAGTATACCTGTTGTTTAAGATTCTGAATATTATGAAAAATTTGTTGTACAGTAGCACCAGGAAATAATTGATAGAATAGATCTCGTAACATTTGTAGTAAAAAATTATTTATTTGAATGATAGGTATCAGAAGAAGTGATAAACATCGAGTAGGATTATTTAAGATTTCGAAAGTAAAGGAAATAATTCTGTTTTGGAGGCATATCTATGATCATATAAAATCTTAAAGATCATTGATTACCCTTTTCTTTTCTCCCTCCTTCTTCTTCCCATTTCCCGGGAAAAATGAAACTTTTAAAAATTTGTGAATAAATATTTATTCATTACCAAAAAGATAAGAAAGTATTCTTGAAATATTTGAAACAAGGAAAAAAAAAATTGATCAGTTTAATAGTAAAGCTATCAAAGCAAATAAATATTCATAATAGACAGAAATCAAATATAATCCAATGTAAAACAGATTTATCGGTTTAATTTCTAAGCATAAAATTGTACTCAAAATTTTCTGCTTTAATTAGGAAAGATATCAAATTTGCATTTTTAGCAGTGAAATTATAAATTATAAAATAGGATACAACTCGATAAATTCATATTAGATAAGATAAGAATTGAGTATGACTTGTTGTGGGTCAAAGAGTAGTATATTCCTGAATTTTCTTCTGTATTTCCTTTATGTTTTACTTATTTTCGAAGAAGTATGCTTTCTTTTATTATCAATTATCTGTTTTATTTGAGAATGCAATAATTAAATAGAACTAGTTAATCTTATCAAAAATTTGTAGCATACAATAAGCACAAATAATTAACATCATTTCTATTGTGTAATAAATTGATGGATTTTAAATTAAAATTTAAATCCATTTTTTGATAAATTTTCTAATTTCATTTCAGTCATGCTTAATTTGCACAGCAATATTATTGTTATGTTTACCTGCTTTTTTATTTTATAAAGCAATTGCATTACTCACAACCTTTGCAACTTTGTTTGGCTTTGGTTCTATAATATTGCGCATGGGTACCTGGCGAGAAGTACACCAGATGGAAAAGTTACAAGCTATTAAATCACCACCTGTAAATGCAACAAATCATCCTGAAAAATAATTCGGAATTTATTCAAAATCTCCGTTTCATTAAGATATATGCTCAAGAATTTTTTTTTTTTAAATTTCTTTTGAATTTAAATTTTCTAATTTTTTAATTTTAGAAAATATTCTTGAACATTTCACGAACATTGATTTAAATTGGAGCTTATCAAAACTAAGCTAGGAAAGATATTTAGCATATTAATAGCATATTTTATTAATTAACCTGTAATTGCTAAGCATTACATTATCGTTAAGCAATGTTTTTTTTTTTTTTTTCTCCTTTTTCTTTAATTGTGTTAAAGAAATTAGATTTTTTCGATGTTAAAAATTTGCTGCTTTTTAATTTCAGGAAATATTCTTGAATGCTTCACGAGCATTGATGACCTGGTCAGCATTGATTGCTTGGTTTTGGCTCAATTACACATTTAAATTCAACGATTTTGTTAATACAAGATGGTTTATTTCGGTACCAATAGCAATTTCTTTCTATTTCACTTCATTTATTTGAGTAACTAAAGAAAGAATTGAATTAGCTATCAGTTCTTTCCGCTTAGAAATTTGATTTTCAATTCAGTTTCTAAACGAAAAAAATAACCGAAATTTCTTGACATCCTCTATCTCTATAGTAATATTTTTACAGAATTTATTATCGATGTCCAGTTTAGCTGTTCCATTTCAAATTTTGATCTATTATTACTAACATATTTGTTTACCAATATGAACAATTATATTAAACAATGGAAAAGATTCTAAAATAATTTGTTTTCATTTTGCATCACAATATTTCATTTTATTTGCAATAAATTTCAAATTTCCATTAAAGGATTCAACTTTTTGATATGGTAGCTCAGTAAGACAAATTTTAAATTACTCTGAAGTTTTGTTTGTTTGATAGGAATTATTTAATGATGAAATGAATCAATGATGATTGATGCATCAGATGATTACAATAAAAAAAGGAGAAATCTTGCATTAAAACAAAATCCCCTGTTAAGTGATAAAATTTAAATGAGTAGTATTTTATTTATTAACATATTGGAAAAAAAAAAAAAACATACATATAAAATAATCTTTCATAAATATTTTATAAACAATAAAAATTATATTATATTATCATTATTCACTTATTGTTTTCTTTTTTTTGTAAATTATTGAATTTATAATGTAAACTCGAAAGATAAAATGCTATCTATATTGAATTATTCCATAATATAATTCGCTAAAAGTGAAACCGACTAAATGTTTTTTTTTTTTTACAAAATAAATAAATGATTATATCCTAATTCAAAAAAAAAAAAATAAGTTAGTCCATCAAATTTATTGATTGTTTGTTTTGAATTTGTTGTAATGAATTGATTTAATTAATGATTTAAACAATAAAAAGTCGTAAACAAAACCAAAATTTTCTCTTTGGAAAACTGAATAAATTCTTTTCCAATCATTCATTTATAATCCCATTTGCTTCATTTAAATATAATTCTAATGAACTTATATAGCATTAATAAATTACTTTGTTATTCCAAAGTATTTATAACATCTGAATGTAGCGATCATATATCTAACAAAACAAATCTTTCAAACAGTTTATATTCGTTCTTCGTTTTTGAATATTTCTTCTCTTTTATAATTTTAAGTTCTTCCGATAGTATCTTTAGTAAGTAAATTGAATGATACAATGATAAAATGACAGTATGATTTACAACTGTTCCATTTGTTCATTGTAAACTTGGGTTCGAAGAATTTAAATTGAAGCAATAAAAAAAATCAGTGAATCTGTTTGTGTTGAACTTTTGCTGTTATTTTCCATAAAAAAAAAAAAAAAAAAAAAAAAGAAACCATTTTTCAAATTATCGATAATCAAATTAAAAATACAATAATAAAAAGTGGAAAGATATATTCTAGCCAATGTTAATGAGAATGAAAAAATGAAATGAAAGTAAATTATTTATGAATTATTTTTTTTTTCGTGAAGAATCGAACGTTTTACACAAAATAAATATGTTATTTGTTTTGGACTACAAAAATAGTTTTTTTTTTTTCAACTTTAGTGACCTAATTTTTGTCATTTTTGTTGGTCTTTTATAAACATACTTGTAATAATTCATTGCCTACATAATATTTGCATAAATTTTCACTTTTAATATTGTATATTAGAAATTCTCAAAATCTGATCACAAAATTGTTTATTCAACTTTCAGCATTTCTGATTGTTTTCTGATAGAATATTTTTTTTATGGAAATAATTTTGATGTAAACAAAAGTTCAAAATTTACATTCCAATAAACAAGTTCCAATGGAACAAATTATATTTGCATTTTGATTTGAGATATATTTTCATAAAAAATCACTGAAATATCATCCTTTGAATTAAACAATTATTTACTATTTGAATATTTAAAAAAAAAATAAGTTAAACTTTATAATCAGAGAAAAAATAAGCTAACATAGCTGATTAATTTAGCTTAGAATATTTACATTTTGTTCACATATTAATTAATTATCGAGAGAATTTGAATACTAAAGAAATATGCAAATCATACCAAACATATTTATTAAAGAAAAAGGTTTCATTAGAATTCATTTAAAAAAAAAAGAACATTCATTGATTACTTAAAGATAAGTGATCAAATTCTGTTCTTGATCACAATCCCACATAAATTTTATTTCACGAAGAATTCAAAAATATGCTTTCTGCTAATTAAACAAAATATAAACCTAAACTTCAGTGCACGAAATATGGCAAATTCTTTAAGAGAAATATTACTTCAAATTCGTTGTTTGTTTTTTAAATTAAAAGAAAAATTTTCAGTGTATTTATAAATATTTATGATGGTGGTGTAGTATACAAAACCAATTAACCTAAATACATAATACAGATTTGTTTATTTCTTGTTTTCCAAATAATCAATGTCCGAATAATCCTGCGGGTTTAAACATGTTGACAATAGCGCCATCAGTGATACATCAGGAAACTTTAGAAATATTCATATCATACAGAAACGAATACTCCATTTCATTCTCGACAATTTTAAAATGCGAAAAGCGTGCAAAAGAAAATATATTACTCTCGCCACAAAGTTAAACTGCAAGAAATTATTCACTTCTTTTGAAGCAATAAAACAATATCTAAACAATTTTCAATCCATAATTAATAGACGACGATTAAAAGTTCAGAGGTATATTTCGGCAAACAAAAAGATGCGCAAAAGTCAAGTGCTATTATCAGACTGTTGCAATGAATTTATAATGTTTTTTGTGATATTAACCTTCCGATTTGTTTTTCTCTTCATTCCTCATTCTCTATCCCATATTTCACAGAAGTGGCGCAAATGTATTAATGGTTAGCTATCTTGAAGATTCGAAGGTGAACATTTTGACAGGCGCTTTAGTACTATTTCCACAAATCAAAGTTATACATATAAAATTATTAGCGAGAGAGAGAGAGAGAGGGATACTATTCGATTTAGCCAAGGTGGAAGGTTCATTAATGTATGTATGTTAATCAGCGCCAGAAGAGGGAGAATTGAGCAGCTTGATTAAACACCAACATTCTCTTTTCTATAAGCGAAATTCTAAAAGAATAGTAACAGAGTAGGTTTTTATTTTAAATTAATTTCAAATTATTTGATGGATCAAATTTGATGGGTACCATTTCATTGATTTCCCAACGATAAGTTCCTTCTTTCAAAATATTGCTAAATTTCACTTGTTTTCGATTCCTGATACGATCAATAATGATGCAATATCCGGAATTTCTCTTTATCGTATTACTATCACAACGGATACGAGCATTAGAACAGGAACCAACACTGGTAACTGTATATGTTATTGGTACTTGTACTATTACTACTACGTAAACTGATGTACCGTATATATGTTAATTAAATCGGTCGATGATAAAAGTCCATATCACTTTTATCGTTAACTTATGGTTTTTAACTTCTCAAAAAAATCACTAGACAAAGATTTCAAAAATTTTTTTTGTTAAATTTTTAATTTATGTTTTTCTTTTGTTCGATTTATAATCAATCTATCAGCTAATTTCTGTTGTCAAAATCTACGCAAATAAAAAGCCTACTGATATAAATCTTGCAATTAGCAAATCTAAAATTTAAGACAACAATGTCATCATTTAATTTTTAGGAATGTTTTACGGACGGTTTACGATTACGTTTCGAACTGGAAAAGCCATTTTACGGACATATTTATGTGAAAGATTCCTTTATGTATGAAAATTGTCATTTAGACTATACGTGGAATCCAACTGTTGGTTCATTTTACTTCAACGTTTTCTACAAAAGTGACTGTCATGTGAAATATGAGGTAGAAGTAATAAGTACTTATTTTAGGGCGGAAAAGTCTAAAAAGTTTTTTTGCTAAAAATAAATAATATGAGTTACAATTTTTAACTTAATCAAATGATTCGCAATGAAAAAAAAAAAAAGAAAATTAAGTTATGAATAGAGTGAAATAACTTTTAATGGAATAGCATTAAACAATTGCAAGAAACGATCAGTTATCAGGTAATTATCACCGTTTTATCATCCTTGCAGCGAGAACCATCAGGTATCAGTTATCAGGTAATTATCATCGTTCAGTATCACTATTTATTTCTTACACAAGCATATAGAGCTTATAGTGTTAGCTGTTTCTATGAAACTGTCATCGATCCAAACATGCAAATCAGGTAAATTAGATCGGAGAGTGCTGTAATTCCGGGTTTATTTACTTATTTACAGATCACTGGCAAATGGTATCGTCAGTTTCGACAAAATAAAAACAATTTAATTAATTCAAAAATTTGAAAAAAGTATAATAATATAATTTAGAGTTAAATACGTTTTTAAAATGAATCCGAAAGCATTGGGTAATCATTTGGACTTATTGTTCTGATGTCTATTATCATCTACTTTACTTCATTTTAAATTAAAATGAGTTTGAAGTAAGATTAAAATTTCTGTTTTAAATCAGTGGCTTAACGATGACAGAATTGGAAAACGAAATTACGACTAACTGTGCATACGATGTGCTAAATTCAATAAACGGTGAGTCGATAAAATATGCAAATGTTGGCGATCGGCTAATTCATAAATGGAGTTGTGAATCAGGTAAATTGAAATTACCGGTTTCTTGAATATCATAAGCTTTTGCTATGATTTATACCGACATCTAGAATTATCATAGCAGAGAATTTAATCATGATGATTGAACAATTTCTATGATTTCAGTTAGATTTTGATGAGTGGTCATTAGGGTTTATTTACTTTTCTTTTTGATCTAATCTGATTTATAACAAATTTTTTTAAAATTTTGTTTCCTTTTTTAATTTGTGTCAATTTCAGTCTTCTTTTCAAGTATAAATTAATGAAATAGAATTTATTTTCAGTCCATCTACTCTTATGCAAAAAATATTTCCGTATTATCTCATTCAATCTTATTTTTCATAATTGGATAGGAGCTCTTTTTTTTTTTTTTTTTTGCTTTAATTTTATTAAAAATTGAAAAACTTGCAAATTTTTCCAGATGAGTACGGCATGCTTGTTCATTCATGTTTCGTTTATGAATCTGATAGTGACACTTTCCAGCTTGTCGATAATCAAGGGTAAACATTGATTTACTTAACTTACAGATTCCTACTCGTATTTTAAAATTTAAATTCGTTTAATTCTTTGTTCAGTGAAATCTTTTGATGTTAACTTTTACTAAAGCAAGAATAACTTACTTATCAGTAGTTTCACAAATATTACTTTCATATTCCATCAGGAAATAGCTTGAAAAAAAAAAAAGCTTTAATAAACTACATCGTTTTACATTAAATTTATCTATACAATTCATAATTTTCTATGAAACTTTTTTTTTCACCGAAATTCTCAAAAATACTACAACTTTTCGTCATATTATCATATTAGGAACTGATCATATGATCAGTGATGATTTTAATTTGATTAAAAATATTTTCAGTTGTATCACAGATCATACATTAATGGATCCATTGCACTATAGTGATAGTCTCACAGTAGCATATTCAGTGATACCAGCATTCAAATTTGTCGATAAACTTACTATTCGTTTTCAATGCAAAGTGGCACTTTGTATTAAAGCGCAAAATGGCTGTGAAGGCATTTCGGTATTTCACTTTTTTTTTTTCTTAACATTCTATTCTAGCATAATTGTAGTGATATTATTTCTTAGAATATAAACTTTCTAAATATATCAATTTACTATGGAAAGGTTTTTAATTTTAATTTAAAAAAAAAAAAAAAGGAAAAGAAAAAACAGCGATTCTATCGTATCTTTGATAAAAAATACAAACATTGACTAATTCATAAATGCAAAATATAAGATTTATTAGATAAATATTAAACTTTAATATTTTGTTGTTTTTGTTTTTGTTTTTTTCAGCCACCCAAATGCGAATATCTTTCGACCTTAACATCAATTTCTAAACATTCAATTTCCAAATCTCCTTCTCCTGTACTTTCAAATATTTTGCAATCTTCATTGCCTCGAAATATCGAATCGTTATGCGAGGGTATGGCACAATATAAGTTAATTATAGCTAATTTAGTATGCAAAAAAGCTTATCAAACTTAATAGATCGAATTATCATTATATTTTATTTGATAAAAGATGAAAAAACTTTGATAATAAGAATGACCAAGTGATCAGTTAATTTAAATATGTAATTAGTAAATTAGCATGCTTAAATCAGATTTTGGAATTTAAAATTTTCAGATTTTGGAATTTTGAAAATAAACGGAACTTCTCTACGAATTACAGAAAATATAAAAATGAAAAATAAGGAAATGTTTGAATTATTGGTTTTTAAGATTTCTCCACTTACTGTTTTCTTTTCAGAGAACACTGAGTTCAATAGTTGCAGAGATGTTTTTAATGCCAATAAACGGAACTTCTCTACGAATTACAGACGAAAACGTTTCCTGAATGAATCCCGGCTAGCAATGAATTCTCTTTTACGGAAGTCTTTTACTGAGACAAATTCTACTAATTTCACTCGTTTCACATTAGATATTCATACTGATCAGGTCACGAAATTTTCATATCAAAATGAATTCATTTCATTAACTTAATGATAACTTATTTGATGAGTGGATCAAAGACTGATTAGTGAATAAAATAAAATTTTATTATTTCATGAATTTACAGTCAAAATGATAAGAGATTATCATTGTAATTCAGTTCTAAAAAAAAGATGGCTAGGATCTTAAATTTTTAGTAATACATTAGAATTTGCCAGGCATAATAAGAAACGAAAAAAATTTGCATAAATTGGAAATTTTTTATAGAAATACCAAGATGGCAACTATATTCTTAGGTGAAAACAAGCAGAAACATTAATCGATCCAACACAATTAGCCTTGTTTACCTTGCATTATATATGATAATATGCAATAATCTAAATTGGAAATTCATAAATCAAAATTAAAAACTTGATGAAAATAATAATTAAGAAAATATTTTCAGTTTGTGATTTTTGAACGTAACGAAATAACTCGAAGAAAATCTGCGAAAGTACCAAGCATTTCATACGAAGCATTAAAAAATGAAATTCTTTTGCAAACTGCAATCTTTGTTTTGCTTATCGGATTTATCGTAATTATTATTTTTATGCAAAAAATTTTGTTATAATAAACGTACAACCGTTATAAATTGTGAAAAATATGTTCAGCAATGACAAATTTCAATAGATATTGTAATCTAGAATCGAATTTAAAAATAATTGAAATTCTTTCTTCTGTTATGGCTTTTTTTTCAGTATCGCTTTACTTTTATTAATATTTATTCAAAATCTATTGTTCCTTTTTTTCGACTTTTGAACTTCGCCATGGCTCCTAGTATTACTTCACCGTATTATTACCATTTAATTCGAATCGAAATTTTCCGTTTTTAACCTAATTTTGAATTTGTTTTTCAATTTATGAAAATTTCATCTCTTTTTTTAGTAAAAAATTAATTTCGCTTCGTTCTTTGTTCTTTTTATTATTTGATAAACTTTGAGGATAAACATTTGGTATAATTTAAGTCTAAGTTTGTTGTAATTTTTCATATTATTATTACTATTTTTTTTTTTTGTTACTTGTCAAAATTGTTTGTCGTAATTATTTTTTTTAAGTTTAAGTCCTTTTTATTGCCTTATTTAATTTATCTTAACTTGTTGAAGTTTTTATATGAGATTGTCAACATTGTCAATATCAGGAAAAATATCAAATTTCTGCTGACCCAGCTTACCTGTTCTTAAGTCCTTTTTTCTCCAAGTTAATATAATATTAAATGTTTATATAATCGATATGTAATACTGAATATTTATATAAGATTAAATCTATATAATATTAAATAGAATTAACAGTAATATTGCAACAAAGGAACTCATTCAACGGAGACTTCAATTATATTTGGAAAAATAAAATTAATTTTTCCTTTATGAAAAGTATAGCTTTCCTATTTTGACATGCATTCATTCGATATGACATCATTTATATATATATATATATATGTTAAATTTGTGTCACACTTAAATTTCAATCGAAAAAGTTATCATCAGGTAAGTCTACATAATTGCTTATATGCTAATTAAGGTTTTCCAAAATTTTGCAAAATCACTTTCCAAGTTTGTTAGAAATGCTATTTAAACTGAAAAAGTATCAAAAATGAATTAACTTAAACTCATTTCAAAGTTTAATGCTAAGGGTTTCAATTCAAAAGTGATAGCTCCAACCCTATTCACTGATATCTTTTCATCATTCACAAAAAAGTCATACAATTGGTTCCAAATTGTGATAGATTATGAATGATTTATGAGTTGTTATTGTTTACTTTAAATGTATTCAAGTATGACATTACTTCTGGTGAAATGTAATACCAGGAATAATTCAAAGTGTTAAAGTATTTACAAGATACACTATTGAAGAAATTAGCTACGTTATCGGTATAAAGTTAAATTAGTTAATTCAAAATTTAAGATATTCACTTTTTAAAATTAAATGATACAATTAGTAGCAAAAGTATGTCATACTGAATTTAACAAAACAAAACTAAGTTTACTTCCTACAACTTTGGTCTGAGAAGGAATAAAATTTTAAGAATGGTGAATTGTTTTTTAAAAATGATCTGAGTTTCATCATTTCAAACTGAAATATATCGTATTTCCAATTTTATCTATTTGCTAAAATCACTATTTAAAGTTCGAAGAAATTAGAATAGAAATTTTGGATCATAATTTGTTGACAGCTTTGTTATCTTCTATTCGTTTTATTTAGTTTTGTTTTTTTAACTTTTCATTGAAAGGAAAATTCTTTTGTTTATTCTATTTGTTTTATTTTTCTTTCTTCCTGGCTTTACCATTAATTTATTTTGCTCATTCTTTTCTTTCATGAATTCCGATTACTTTTTTTTTTTTTTTTTTTATTTGAGTTCACCAATTTTCATTTCCATACTTTGAGTATTATTAAATTTATCATTTATAATTTTACGGAAATGAAATTGTTAAATAAGTATTGTTTTCTATAAGGCTCTTATGAATATTACCTTACTGTGAATATTTTTTATATTATTTAATTTTATCCATTTATATACTTGCACATGTATTTTAAATTTTCTTATCGCAACATGTTAGATTAGATAAAATGGTGCTAAAATTTTAAATTGGTAAATATGTCGGATATCATTGATTTGTATTCCATAAACAGTTTCGGGTGATATGTTCTTATCATGAAAATTACTGATATGATATATTTCTCTTCTTCCACTTGATAAAAACTTTTCTTTTTGCAGCATTTTTGTGTCAATTGAAATTTGTGAAAGTTATAATTAGCAGAAGAGTGCAATAAGCACTATTATAAATGTAATAGTGCCAGTTTTTATCTTATAAGTACTAATTTATTTAATGTTATTGTGAAATCTTTTTAAGTATTATTTCATGTATAGGAAGAAGGTAATCCTTAACTGAATATTTTAACTCTATTCCGGAAGTGGTTGAGCCATATCAATCCGTATTCAATCCTGAAACAATCTTATAATTTCAACTATTATGAACAACTCAACGAAGATTTGAGTTATTTATGTAATCAATTAAGACCCACATAAGGCAGTAGACTTAAGTTAAACTTCCTTATCCGCAAGTAAACTAAAGCATTTGGCATCCGCATGTACTATGTTGAGATTTCCGCAAGTAATGGACGCTACCGCCGCCTACGGAGGCACTTATTATTCCGAGCAGTTAAATTGCGCTAATTTCTTTATCAGGCATTAAATGCACTGTGGAGAAAGAAAAGAGGATTTTTTATGTTTTGAAAGCCAACACTACTTGCCAATTTGGAAGAGAAAGATGGGAGAGAATGAATGCTTCAGGGACGTTCTGTCACATAATGTCGCAGATGCGTAACATCTAACCGACCGACAACATCATTTTACTCTTTTGCCAACCTACAATAAGGTACTCTGATGTGCAGCACAAAATATCCAAGGTCATTGATAATTTGCTTTTAAATTCATCATCATCATCTTATACAGTTACTGTTATTATTGTTTACAAGTATGCTTTGATCATAATCTAATCTCATGCATTAATGACATTTTTGATAGTCATTTGAAAAAATTTTTCAAAAAACTTTGTTTTACAATAAATTATTCAAAGATTTTTTCAAAACAATTTTAGAGATTTGAACTCAATCAGTGTTACTTATATATATATATAAATTTTAAACATGGAGTATTAATCGTATTATCCTAAAGTAATAAATCTTTTTGTTTGGGAAGGGAATATAAAAAAGTATGAGCAAAGAAAAAAAATTAGAAATATAAGGTATAATGGAAAAATGAAACCAAAAAATTAAACTTTTGAAAATTGATCCATCCTTCTTCTTTTCACACCAAAGGAATTTTGCCTATTGGCTGAAGATGATCTCTCATTACTCAAGATTAACTCATAATTCTATTTGATCTTTCTTTTACTACAATATACTGTTTAACTCTTAGATCGATATTTCCACTTGTATTTTTTGTTTATTTTTCATTTATTTTGGAATAAGAATCAAATAGTAAATAATTATTCTCGATATATATGTTGAGGTTTTGTACCTTTTTGTAAATCTAAGTTAATTCTCCAAAAATGCTCTGTCATTTGCTTTATAATATCTATCAAATAATGATATACACAAAAATTCTGTCAAATAATAAAACTTTTTTTCAAAAAATGCAAAAATTTGCAATTCTCATATCCAAAGTTCAATTATTTTTCTTTCTTGAATTGTAGAAATTTGATACTCAAAATCCAATTTCTACTTAAGAATATAAACTATAAAGAAGTCACGTACGTCTTTCTCGACTCTGTACGTTTCACAGAATTTAAAGTTAAAATTTTTCTCTCTAAATTTTTTCTTTCGACAAGATGATAGTTCTCTTTAGAAATGTAGAAATGATAATCTGATAACATAGTGTTTTGATAACCTCTACATTTCCAGTTTTTCCTTTATGAAACCATAATTAAATTCCTCTTTCTTGCTCTCTTCTTATCACTCTTTTATTTTATTCTTTCGATGGTTTAACTATCATCAAAAAATTTTTAACACTACCTTATATTGTTCTAATCTACTTTAATACTTAATTTTTGGTTTTAATTAATCATGTAATTTATATAATTTTATTTTTGAGAATTCATATGGCTGGAGAAGTTTTGCATAGATTTTATATTAATTCAAGGTTTAGTATTAGCCGTCACAATGTTTCTTTTTGAAACCATTGAACAGTGCATTATATTTTTTCCTGATTAAATCGTACAGAAAACTCTTCTGATTATCATTTAAATTGCATATAGAATAGCTTTGGTTTGGACCAATTCATCATAATCTGTATGACTGAACTTCTTAATACTTTGGATTTCTTAATTTAATTAAGTTCCAAATAAGCAATTAAGCAAAGAGATCAACTTGTTGCTGTTCAATTAAAATTTTTTCAATTTATCACTTATGAATAGAAAAATTCAAGTTTAGTTTAAAGCTTCTATATTTAATAGTAATTTTTATAATAGAATATTAGCTTAAAATTATTCTCTTTCAGATCTCTTTTCTTCTATTTCTGACAGATTTTTACAGAAATAAACTGAATAAACAGGTCGAATTAATTGAATATATTGAATTAATTAAAACACTGAATTACTTAAATTTCATTGAAACTCTCTTATGTCTTTAATTTTCCTATAAAATTTATTGAAATTCTTATATGATAAAGGAATGCTATCTCTCCCTTTCTGTATAATAAAATTTTTTTCATTTTCTACACTTAGCAGTAATGGAATCCGAAATACTTCATCATTTACACTTTCATTTATCAACATTCTTAACCACATTCCATTTATCAGCTCGTTATCACTTCCTTCTAATTGCTGATAAATATCTTTATCTTACAATCGTTACATCTTCAAGATTTAATAAAATAAACCGGTTTGTGATGTGCTATTTAGCTTAAAACGAGTATTAGTGACAATTTGGTTAAAATAATCTGAGCAAAAGTGTTTCATAAATTTGTTTTCTCTTTAATGCAGGTGGTGTTGTTATCACTTAACCAATAGTAATACTATCACTTCATTATCACAACTATTTCCTCACTTTTTATCATTTATCTCAGAATATATTGCATTGGAACAATTATTGATCAGTTGAATTCAGCCAGAATTTCAAGTTTATTAAAATATAAATTTTCTAAAAAAGACGTTTACTTTTTTAAAAAATTTCGCTACTAAAGTTTATTTTTTTTTTTTTTTTGCTCAAATTCTCTAACACAAAATTTAAATGAAAAAAATCCAATTACTATTTAGTGAATGCTCACTTTTTTAATAAAAACTGAAGTGGTAAACGGAACGAAAAGTCGAAATGTCAAAGTGCAATGAGCCAAAAGGTCTAAGTCCAAATCTTCTAAAGTATTAAATGTTACACATTTTTAAAAATTTAATTTATAGGTTTAAATACAACACATAGTGAGTATTTCTTCTTATAAGCGGTTCTTTTATCAATTTTGAAATGGACGAACTAATTTCTAATTAATGCACATTTAATTTCCTCGTCAATGAATGATCGCAGCATATTCACTTTGTGCTCTGAAATTGAAATGTTAAAATATTGTAGTCTGCGATGAAAGAATGATCTACAGAAGATACTTTTAGCAAAGATGAAAAGATTGAAAAATGATAATCGATAAACTCTCTATTCGATAGTACTGATTGATAACTGTTGATAATGCACTAAAAGATTATGGAACTTTTACTTTGGAATTTAATTTGCTGTATTTGAATTTAAAAGCTTCGTTGAGTTACTACGTAATCTATCAAATTTAAGTTATGCATGAAATTGTGCATAGAAATACATTGGAGACTAAATAAATATGTCAATATAATTAGATCACCAACAAATTGTTCCTTTTCATACCATTTCATAATTTTGAAAACTTAAGAGCTGAAAGGAAATATTTAATTACTTCTTTTGAACTAATCACCCTAGTATTTTTGATTTTCCAAATAGTTTAAAAGATTTTTGACTGCAAAAAGCTTCATGTTACTAAATATAGTGCCATACTGTAAGAACTGATTAAAATATCGAAAAGTACAGATTTATATCAACAGATATTCAGATTTTATAGCAATAATATTTCTTGAATTCAAGGATTAATTCATAAAACTTATTAATTTCTTTTTTCAGTGAGCGTAAGCAAACATTGTTTGTCACAAGAGATCAAATATTTCCTCAAGATTTTAAGCTTTAACCCTAACAAAGTAGATTAACTTTTGTCAGGTGGCCAATTTTGAGTAAATTAGATCGATTACTTTTACTTTCATCCAATTATATTTTCTTAAAAATTTACCACATAGAACTATAAAAAACGAAAAAGAATCGAAGAATTCAACAAAACAGATATATCTTTGTGACCATCAATAATCTGAATGACCCTATTTATGTTGTGGCAACATAAGGGTTCTAAAATAAGTAATAAAGACTCATAACAACAAATTATTAGATGTACCACAATTTTATGGTCATTTCCATAGTAATTCCATCCAGTTGTACAGCTACCTAAATGTAAAAAAGTTTTGAGGAGGTAATTGGGAAGGTTAAAAGTTCAAAATGTTAAGGATGCGTGTGACCTTTACATTTGTTATTGCCATTACTATTCAACAGAAAGGAATAAACTTGTAGATATTTTCTATCACAAAGCAATTCTCTAACTAAAATGGACAAAATAACATGTCAATCTTAGATTATGATCCAGTTCCTGACCGGATCATAATTAAATAGAATGTTTGTTCATAAAACTTTGTTTCAAAAAAAAAACAATAAACAGAAAAGATTCATAAAACTTTTTAAGATAGTCGTCCTTCATGTTAAAAGGATAGAATCAGTTTGCATTTTTTATTTGACTTGATTAATAAGAAATTTGTATTTCTAAATGTGCCATCAAAATCAAATCTCTCTATCTTCAAATTTTATTAAAATTTTTAGGAATTCAAGTCAAATAGTGCAGATAGTTTCAAAATGAAAACAAATATGACACTTTTTGTTTTTACAATATTTACTACTCTGCCATCTATAATTTCTAGTTAATATTCCGTTTTTGGATTTGGAAACAGCAAGCATTTCGGAAGAGTTTTCTTAACAAGAACTAAGATGACCGCCTAGCGTTATCAGTGTTTTTTTCTGCTTTACTGTTGGCAGTGGCAGTATTACTTTTTGATTTTAACGCTCATAATTAAATTTAAAAGTTGGCTTTAAAAAAAATTAATTGTACTAATTGCTATCAATAAAGATCATTTAATTCCAATTATTTAAATCATTTCTAAACACTTCTCTGATTATGTTCGCAGGTCTTGTTATCCCTTACTTACTGCTACAACAAACAGTTTTTTGAGCATCATTAATTTTAGTCAAACTTTTTTTAATTTAAAATGATTGTAGAAAAAACTGCATTGTAGAACAAATATTTGTATGATAATTTCGTTGATGAAATCTGAATAGCTTCTTTGTAATGCAGAAACGATTAAATTTCCTCTATTTTTCGGTGATTTACGATACAATTATTGGATAATTTATTTTAGCTAAATTTTCTCCGCTTAATACTATCTCTGCTAACAAGAAATGTGACAACGAGAAGTACAAAAATTACCGTACAATGAAAATAAAATTTCAAATTCAATCATAATCGATCAGTGGACAGTCATCGTAAGAGCTATGCTGTACTATTTCACTTGAAATATTAATTGTTTTTAAAAATTGTTCTTAAAAAACGTGTAGAAAACTTTTAGATATAGCATGTGGCAATTATACACTCTGTGGGCAATTTATCTGATAACAATGAAAATAGGTATCATTGGTAATCTTTGGGTTATCTGTTCAGTCATACGTAATATACGACCTCAAACAAATGGTTGGCTAAGACGGCCAAGTGATTGTCTAAGAAGCCATATTTTTGTTTTGGCATTTGTTGATTTTATTGTCGTTTGTTCGCTTGCTTTACGCATTGTGTACATTTGGGATGAAACTTTAACTTTTGGTAAGTTGAAAAGTTCGCGTACTTAAATGCAAATTAAAATTTTTAGAGGATATTTGAGATGACATAATAAGTGTAAATGAAACGAGATTCAAAAAAAAAAAAAAAAAAAAAGAATCAGTTAATCTTTCATTTCAGATTATATTAATTCTCACTTGATAAACAAATGCTTGTTTATCAAGTGAAAGTAATGTAGGAAACTGAATGTGTAATTCGAGATATCCTGCATATGATCTATCTCTGTGATATAAATTTCTTCTTAAAACTTTGTTTACTTATGTTTTTTTAATAAATGTTTTTGTAGAAATGTTTTTTTTTTTTCTGAATTAGTTCATAATCAATTATTGAATTTTAAAGAAATTTGGAATTGTCGAGGATTGTATTTCATTGAGCAGTTATCAAAAATGCTATCCATGTTTTGCATTGCATGTATCAGTATCGGAAGATATATTACAATACGTAAACCTTTTAATAATCAGGTATCATACAATTTTTTTGTAGGAAATTGAATTTATTCGGTATTACTTTTATTTTAATGATTTACAAAATGTACGGGATAATTTCAATTTAATTTAAATGCTTTAAGAATTCTGAATTTAAGCGATGAGTTAGGCTTAAAATAGTTCTTTTTTTTTTGGAAATTTTGGTCTTAAATTAAATTTGGAATCATTAATCGACATAAAATAGTTTAGAAAAATAAAATTCAAACTTTTGGAACTAATCGATTGATTATTTTCAAAAACTTTTTTCATTTTGTCTACTTTTTCAGATTGTAATTTGAAATAATTTTAACGACTTGGAAAGTATGTGCACCGAAAATGAGAAAATTTCAGATTCGTAGACATTTTTATCGAGGTTTCCCAGCAGTACCTTTATTGCTATGCTTTCCTATTCTTATTCCAATAATATTTACGATGAAAACAATCGATGTCACCTCGGATAGATGGGATTGTCGCATTAGTAATGATAATGCATGGAATCGATTAACTGGTCTACTTGTTGGAGCATGTTTTATTTTATTAGTGATGCTTATAAGCGCCAATTATGCTGAAATTGTGCGCCATGTGCATCGAAAATTTTCAAGACGAAAAGCAAGACGTAAAAACTTTCAAATTGTAAAGTGAAGATTATTTTTAGACTTAAAAATTTTCAAAAGTGTATTTCATTATGAATCCTTTTATATGTGATGAATTTTAAAACGTTAAAATTTTTAAAACGTCACTGTTAGACTTTTTTTTTAGAATCAGAAAGTTCTAATAGCAAACATTATCATTTATCAGAGCCACGATACGTACGTGAAATGACTTCTTCCATTGTACGTGTGGCTGTATTTCATATGATCTGTTGGCTTCCGTTTTGTTTCATTGCGGTGATTCCTACTGAAGTAACTTTTTTTTAATGAAATATTAATTATTATTACAGTCTTCAATATTATATGCAACCAAATGTTAGTTTACTTGTTTTAAATACAAAGAACCGAATTTGTTTTCATTATGAAAATCTAAATTCAAAAATTTGATTAAAAAGGAAAAAAAGAATTTCAAATTTAAGACATGTTCACTGGTGTTAGTATCGATACGAACGATAAGTAGGATTAATGAACACGCCTGGGTGTTGTGGATTTTAATACTGGCAAATTGGTTAACATATTTGAATTCCGCATTGAACTGGATTTTCTATGTCGTGTTAAATCGAGATCTCAGGGAACTGATCAGGTTTTCGCTTCTAAAATTACTATAGAAGCAGGAATGAATTTATTACCTTTCAATAATGCTTTTCAGTGATAGTTTTGATAAGAAGAAATACTCTGTTAATAAATTAATATTAAAATATGTATAAACCTTTCCGGCACGTATTATTATTGTACAAAGCTATATTCTGTTTCTTTTCGGAATTGGACGAAGAATCACTCTTTTCCTGAAGAATTTATCGTACTTTTTGAGAAATGACATGCAATTTAAAGTAGTTAACAGTATCCTCCTTTACTTTTTTCCAGTACTTATTAAAGATTTGGAAGGGAAAAGTAATAAAGTGGGACTGTCCAGTGGTAAAGCCTTAAAAATATATTTCATTTAAAGGTGTATTCCGTAATGTTAAGCCTTAAATATCACTATAATATACGATTCAACATTGTCAATCAGAGTTCCTCTTGCAAATTAAAGTTAGAAAATGCAATATTTGATGATTGCTATCCTATAATAAAATAACTGAAACAATAACTGAGATTAAATCGAATGCTATGGCATTAGAATAATCGAGTTGAAAGATACTTTCATATAAAAGTTGAAAAAGTGAAAAGTAAAGAAGGCTCTAACTTATGATACTGTTTTTAATTTTGATGCATAAAGCTTTAACAAAATTGCTACTTAAATTAAAACAGTAGTATTATCAATTGTGATAATTGAGCGATTGAATTAATTCTCAATTTAGCTCTTTGTTTATTCTTCAGTTTTGAAAGATTTTTCAAACTTTTACTCCAGGAGTAATACGAAACGACGAAAACGTAGTGCAATGGCTAACTACTATTCATCATCAAATTTAGCGAACAGATATTCTCGACAACGTTTGGATCGAAGTTTAAGTATTCATGCATTAGCTGAAAGTCTGTAACTGTAAAAAGTGAAATGTGAAATGATGCAAACAATAAATATTTCTTTCCTGAAATTAAAAGTTTTCAATGGTACGCGTATTGTTCAATGGTTAATTTCAAAACAAATTGTTTTTCTTAAAGAAATTTAGAAAAAAAAAAAAGAGCAGTAGTTTTCCTGTCATTTTCTGTTAGTAACATTCCGGACTATCCAATTTAATTTGATTGCTTTTTTTCAGAATGTAAACAGATTTCCGTTAAAGTAATTGTTATTGACTGTTGCACGGATAAGAATTTGAATTCATCATGGCAAGATTATTTTTGAAATCAAATGCATATTTGGCAAAGGATATATTGCATTTCAAAATAGACAAATTTAATTTTATTTTAGAATTCTGATATTAATGATAAACACAGTGCTTTCATAATGTCTACAACAAATAGTGATTTGTAATTATTTAGATAGTTTTTATGTAATCAACTGCTACACTTTCAAAGTTTCATCTATCACTGGTGACAAAAACAAAAACAATTATGTTATTGGGAAATATCATTACTAAAAAGACTTTCTTGTAATGAAATTGGTAAAGAAATACGTATCAACAAATTTTATTGGTCTATTAATAATCAGAGATGATAATAGTAAACCGATAGAAAATATATTGAAATGTCACTCTTAACAGTAACAATATGTCTTTTAATGAATGTGAAAAATAAAAAATTTAAATTCATGGCATTATAAATAAATTAAAAATACAAATTGTTTATGATATGTAGAGTATGAAATATGTCATTTATGATTACTAAATGTACTATTTTCAGTGTCATTTGTTCACATATTACTTCATATAATCATAATTATGATAGTAATAAAATAATGAAAAACAAAAATTTGAAGCTTTTCACAAACATAAAACTATATTAAATTCTATGAAAATCATTAAAAGATTTACAAAGCATTGGTTCCTGTATTCAGTTTCATATTATATTTTTTCCACAAATTCTCAAGATAACAATAATTATAAATAAGAAATTTATTCATTTTAAAATTTAAAATAACATTATGAAATTTTTATGACGAGGGCAACTTGCTATCTGATGAATATGTTAAATTAAAAAACAAAACTCTTACTGCCAATTTTCATTTTCCTCAAAATTTAAAATTTTAATTCTCAATTTTCCAGAAATCATCAATCATAATGAATTATTTTATTAATTTCTAGTCCTCCAAATTACACTTTTCTTCAAAGATTTTAAACACTTCATTTATAGCCATTTTATCCAAATTTAAATTCACTTCCAAATTTTCGCTTGATCACTTTTCAATGCATTTTTCTGATCCTAAACTGATCGGACGGAACCTCAAACAATCAGTTGTTAGATTCATTTTTAAACATTGTATATATTACTTTAATAAATTCTGTCGTACTAAATGTTAACAAAAGCTTTATAAAATTTGGATGAAAATTTAAAGCTTACTTCAATATTATAACCATATGTTTTTGTACTTTTGATATTAACAGTGGTTTTAGTATGCCATACGAGAATATCACGTGGCGTTGATTCTATTCCAAATGGTGTTAAGTCATTCAAGCTTACATTCAAATGATTCATTAAACATGGTTCTGGTGAATACTCTCGACACTTTACTCTCCATCCCGCTCTGCAAAAGGTCAGCAATTATACATATATTGACGTGACCCAACACTTATCTCCTCCTCACTTTCTTTGTTTGTTGTCGAGAAAAAGTCCAAAGAAATGAGAGAAATAAGCGGACGTGTTCCATAAAGAATGCAAAAACTAAAGTTGTCTTAATCAGAATAGGAAATCATTTCATTTAAAACTTTCTAATAAAATTGCAGTTCTACACAAAGGTAAAAATTTTCATTCTTTGTACCTTAGGATAAGTTGTTAAAACTTTACTTCGGATGCTGCAAAAGCAGTTCAAGATTTACAGCAAATCCAGCCATATCAAAACCCCATCTACGTTTAGGCGCATAAATTGTTTGCCAGCCTACAACTTTTGCATTAAGAACTTTCGGCGCTTCGACTGCATTATGCGCTACTAAACCTGCAAACAGAACTAGCATTGAATAAATTTTGAGGGAATTCTTGTGCAGAAATAATATGAATCTAAATGGGCTAGTCAATATTTTCTGAAGAGAAGAAAAAGGAAAATAGAGGAATAATTGGCTCTAAGGAATATTTCCAAGTCCTTTCATTTCCATTTGAAAATAAGAAGTGAATATGGTTTAATCAATTTTACTAAACAGCAAATTTACATTCATTATTAATTTATTTAAATCACTAATTACTTTTCCATATCACAGCTGATATTAAAGTCTAAAAATAAAGATAAATTTTTTTTTTTTTTTGCTGTGACTTTCAAAACTAGTAAAAAAGTATATGTATATTTAATTAAAAAAATTATCTGATCTGATTTTTTTAGCATTTTTGATGTTATTTTCTGATGAGAAGAAAATAAATTCAGTTGAATTTTTTTATGAAAATAAAAATTAGATTGCATACCAACAGCCCATACACCAACTTTTTCAACATTTCGAATGTATTGATTGAAAAGGCGAATATCGTAAGTGTTATCATCATCAGCAAAATAAACCACCGCATTGTTACCCAACGATGCGAATTGTTCTCGAACAAAATTCAACCCAGCATCACGTCCAGTCCAACCACGTGCTGTAATTCTTGATAGTTAATAAAGTGTTAATAAAAAGAACAATTTTGAAAATTAAATACTATCATTTAAGAAAAGACTGAATGAAAAAGAAAAGAAATATTTTTATTAAAAAAAAAGGATCGTAAAAGTGGAGAAAATTTGAGAATGGAAGAATAAGATGAAACTACTGAACAATAGATTTCATTTAGTTTCTCATTTTAACTTATCCTAGTATTAAACTACACACCTGGTATTCCAGGTCGGCGTTTAACAGCTAAATAGTAACAGTTGAGACCACTACGATCCAACAATTGCTTTACAGGTAACGATATATGCGTGGCATCTTCTACAACAATCCAAATTAACTGGCTGATATGCATCAGTGTTTGTGATAACCTACAATTAATTTAGTACTTGGATAAAAGCTATAACATTCGTATTTGATAATTTTTGTTTTTGCTTAAATTAAGTGTGAGATTGATGAGGAGCAGAAAGAAATTTTATTGTCAAAGATTTTACAATTAGTTTCTCCTAATTCCTGAACGGATTTTTAATTTTCCTTTTACTAAAATATGTATGGAGTAAGTTAATTACTTGATTATTGAATTAATTATGAGCTAAAAACGACACAAGCAATTTCGTGTTCATTTTCAGTTTTGAAATCAGTGATAGATAATTCACCTGGTCATGTCAGCCAGTCGTGCAAGTCTCAGGTATGTCGGTGTGATTACGATAATTGTTCGATTATTTCTATTTTGATTATTGTGAAAAGCATTATTCGATATTATTCTTGGTTCATAAATTTCATAGTTCCTTTCTTCCACCAAATATATGATAATACACATTTGAAAGCTGATTACAGCAATTGCAAATACAGCTTGAATAGTGGAAAAAATCCCATCAACTGGTCGCTGATTAGTTCTGTAAGCAAACAGTTAAATATTTTAGCGATTCAGTCCAAATGTCACCTGACTGACCTCTGTGTCATGTCAAAGACAACGGGATTGTGAGAAACATTCATCAATTTCAATAGTTGCTCAAACGAATTAATCCATATTTTGTCATTTTCCTTGTATTTTAATACTTCCGGTAAATGTATTCAAAACTTTTTAAACACATTTCAAGACTGTTATATTGAGTTGTATTTTGAAGAAAGATAAAAATTTATAAACATCAATATTTACAATTTAAAGTCAAAACTGCAACTATCATTTTTTTAGGATATAAGATTTTTTTAAGTTTGAAAATTTTCACCGCTATCATTATTCTGCAATAGTGATAAAAAGTAAATATTTTGAAATCTTCAGCAAGAAATCATCTTACAGTCTTCGTAGAAATTTGATTCTTCGTAAATGCATTTATTCTTCAAAGATTGCCACAGATTTGACTTCATGAATCCAAATTCAATTTAAAACTGAGATGAATAACAAAAGTTGTTGAAGAAAAATACATCGAGATTGATCATGAGAGTTAGTAATGATTACAACAGAATGATTTTTTTTTTTTGGAAATTATGTTATGATAATTAATAATTAGAAATGGCAGTTAGAATTGTAACTATTAGCTTATAAAACTAAAACAGTTTTCAAAAAAAAAAAAATTTTAACTAAGTGAAATATAACTTAACTTGAAAGCAATCATTTTCAAAAGTCAATTCCAAAATTTTTGTAATCAACGCAGAACAATGGAGAGATCGCCCTCAAAATAAAAATAAATTACCTGAAGTGTTCGGAACAACCAGTCCAAACTCACGACTTTTATTAAAATAATTTTTGTAGAAAATCTGAGAACAAAAAACTATGCAAATTCCGAAATATTAGTGGGAACTCTGTTGTTGTCCAAGAGCATATCATTTTAAAATAGAAGACTTCATAAAAAATGCCGCTTTTGCACTTGTGAATTGCAGAAAATTTGCTATGTAATTTCCTTTTAATCAAAAAAAGATGCAAAATGAAGCTTTCAAATTCTGTTGTGATTTAATTTTTTGAATCTTTGTATGAGAATTGAGTGAAACTTTGTTTTGGCAGCCATTTAAATACATTTTACAACAATGTTGTGCCATTTCCTTCTTTAACTTTCGATATTTCTCGTGGAAAACAGTTTTCATGTTTGTTTATGGTGACAAACCATCGAAACATCAAATGCGGCTTGCAATCAAAAACAAGTGACTATGACTGGGAGAGGAGAAATGGGGAGAAGTCAAACTGCAGAAAAAATTTTAACAAAACTACGCAGAAAATCTCGAACTGTAACAAGAAAACCCACACCATACCAAGGTCTAGATTTTTTTAGATTCACAATTCACAAGTTAAAAGAACCGAATAGAGTCTGAATTTATTTCAACTGCAATTACAATTTTTTTCTCCAGAAGGATTGTTGAAATTAATGAAAAAATGGTACAATGAGATGTAACAAAGAGTTGGCGTAAACAATGGACGAAATGAACCGTGACCCGGTTCAATTCATAAATACATTAGCAAAAATAGTGGCCAAAGAAGTGAAAATTTTGTTGTCTTCAGTTTTATGGTAGAAATTACCAATAGCAATACCGATATAATGTATTCTACAGTCATTTCTAAGCATATAAAACTCTTATTCTCTTATTCTCCCATTCCTCGATTTCATCAATCTGTAATACATCAGATGCAAAAAATTCAATTTAAGATTTGCCTACATTAAATTCCACGATAAATTAAATGTATATGTATTTCCATCCAACACAATTCAGTTTTTTCATGTAGATTTGCAGTAGGAAAAAACTTTGAAGTTAAAAATTAATATACACAACAAACACTTTTTGTTTCGGCGGTAATGAATGATTTATACTTATTCACAACATTCAGAAACATCAGAAATAACTGCCATAAAGTAGAAGTTAAAATTAAAACTACTTCACGAATCTGGTTTACATACACTCTGACGTTACTACTAATTTTAATACCAAAAGATGTTTCCCAGCACCGTTTCTTTTTTCTTTTTTTTTCGAAGCAGTTGTCATCGAACTTCAAACTAAAATCTTTTGTTATTATGTACAATATTGCCAAGACACAACAGAAAGAAGAAACAAGAAATAAACAAGCAGTTTCAGGAACTAAAAATATGGCACCACAAAGAATTCATAGAATTTCTTAATTTCAGAAATATTAATCATTTTACCCTTCGTTGTTTGGTCAAGTTGCGCATCGATATAACACTAGAAGCAGTACAGGTCGCGGGCCTTTTCCGACTACCTGAAGTGAAAACAATATATTTACATAATTAGGAGCGAAATTAGTTTCATATTTCAAACCTGTATATCCATATACTCAAATAAAATGGAAAAATGGAAAATTGTGTAAATGGAAGATAACAAACAAATTATAAAAATAAAAAATTTATTGAATAGAACCTGGATAAGATTCTCCATCAAGCGTACTCGTCATTTCTTCTGTTTCTGAATGAAGGCAGTATGATACATAGAAAAAAACGAATAAAATCAAAATGCTAAAATCTAATATACACAAATTTCCAACGTGGCAAAGTAATTAAAGTAAATACCTGTGAATAATGATGCAGGGTTTTCCTCTGGATTTTCGATTTCGGGTGCAATTGGTAGAAACCAAAGTGGGCCTTGTTTAGCAGTTAAATCAGTGACATACATGCTACCATCATCATCTTCGTCCGAACTACAGTAAACAGCGTTTGGTTTAAGAGTTACAACGTCAACAATTTCGTCGTCCTCTTCCTAATTAGGACAATCATTTTAAATTCTTAATATGCTGCGCATGAAAAAAAAAGAATATAATCCAGAATCTATGCACTAAAATTTGCAACAGTTCATAACTTATTTTCCATCTATTTAAAAAATCTATTTTAAAGAATCTGTTTCAAAGTAAGAACTTTGGAAGTTTGTGGAGTTGGCTCATCCGCATCTTCATCCTCCAAATCGAATTCCGACTCTTTCTCGATGTATTTTACATTCTCTTCAAGTTCAGTGAATTCAGGTGCAAAGGCGCTCCAATTTTCAACATGAGCCTAGAAATTCTGATATTTTCAATAAGCGTCAAAAGATCAGATAGAAAGCAGAAAAAAGACTAACCTGAGTCCATACAGAAACAAGACCGTTAGCAATTGAAAGTATGATGGGGCGTGTCGGATGCCACTGCACGTCATGTAAGGTCTCACCCTAAAAATATAGAAAAATAGAAGTTTAATACTAAATGGGTTATTTCAATATGCATTTCACTGCGTCATCTAATTTCACTCATTCGTTATTCAGAAAATTAAGAAACTCAACCGCAAGCAGTCGTTTCAGTGATATTATGTTCAACTTATATATCTACCTTTGTGCCATGCAACATTTTGATCAAACTTCCAGAATTTCTTTCCCAAATGTACAACGAATGTGCCTTAGTACTGGCGCCACAAATATAATCACCATCATTCGATACACATATTGCTTTCCAAGAAGCATAAAAATATTTCCAGTCAAATTTTTAAAATAAAGATTTCAGAATTCCAAACTCTATTTGTCAGAAATTAATCCAATGCTAAACACGTTAAAACAGTGAGCCTTTACATTCTAACTTTCTCCATACTAGTGATATTTGAATCAAGAAAATACTGGTATTTTGCCACGTTTTAACAAATTATTAGGAATACATTTTTAATAGAAAACGTACTCCCAATAAAACAATTTTTGTATTTTTACTATCCCTATAGTTAATTGTTAGAAAAGTAGTATAGGGAGCTTCCAGAACACAAATAAGATCATTTAAGGAAGTAAAATAAAACAATCCAAAAAACTTCAAAAGCTACAGCAAAACAAAAACAAACTTTATTGATTATATCTAAAAGCTTTTGCAATGGTTCAACAATAGTTCCATGATGTTTTTTAAGTAAAACATCCAACTTGTAAGTTCTAATAATACGATCCTGAGAATTTGTTAGTAGGAAATCACCACGACGTGTAAGCAGTATATTTTTAATCTGAAAATAGCACAAAAGAAAGTTGCATACATAACAATTTGAATAAGTACTCTTAGCTAATGACAGTAACTATAAGCTTGCAATGATGACTGGCACAAATTCCATCAGAAATTTATTCAGAGAGTTTGAATGGATATGAACATCCAACACCCTTTGAATTTAATCAAACCTTATCTTTTCTGACCAAAAAGGTAGGAAAATTACCTGATGTGTGGCATTCTGCTTCACGAATGTGATCAGTTCTAATGTCTGGGCATTGTAAAAAGCAATGCGACCTTTACTACTACCGGTAACGATGTATTTTCCTCTACGATCAAACGTTCCCACGGTAACATCTCCAGATTGATCATCGATTTCTTCAGGAAACTTTATCTAAAGACAAAATAGACAAGCTAACCCGTTCTCGCCAATTTATAAATAAATTATACCGTTGTGATTGAATATCACCACCACAGGAAGTTGATCAGCGATTAACATTTTTGTGGACATCCTGAATTGTAGGAGTGATTTCCTTTAAATTTATTAGAAACTTTAATTCTTAACTATCTACAGGTTCTTTTGGAAAGTTGTTCATGTTTAGCTCGAAATTTACACAAAAAAATTTACTTCTGTCTGTAGTTTTGCTTCCAAATCCAAGAGCACTGGATTAGCACCTAAATAAATAACCAGTATGCGTTTGTCGTTGCTGCAAAAAGGAACCAAATGAAAGCAGATATGCGAGTTCTTATTTTTCAACATGAATGGTAACAGGACTACGTTATTCAAGGATATCAAAGACAGAAAATAATACGGAGAATGATGCAGGATAACGAACCGTGGATTGAACATTGCACAAAGAACAGGAGAGCCATAAATTTGTCTTTCAATTCGAGATCCT